ATAGGACACTACCCTTCTTCCTTGTGACGTGTGATCCTTGTTTTCTATGACATAGCGATCGTCAATCTCGTTGCTGAGGCCCATGAGTACTTTCAGTAGCGCTTCTGTAGTACCGATGATAGGTCGCATCAAAAGTATCGGCGACGACTTCGCTATTGCAGCCAAAGAGTCTGGCACATTGTCCGCACTAGCTATTTCCTCTTTGAGCTTAGTTAATGTGTTGCCCGTTGCACCAAGATTACGTCCCATACTTTGGTACGCCTTACGAATGCCTTCTCTGGAGGTAACTGGTTGGTTCGAGTACAAACTAGTCAACTTTTCTTCCTCTCCACCAGCTACTTCGGTATCGCTTTCAAGGGTTTCATCAAATGCCAATTCGTCTTCAACTGTAGCGTAAAGCCCACTATCTCCGATGTCGTAATCGACCAATGCATCATGAAGAACATCGGGGTCAAAGTCTCCACTCTCATCAATCTCTGCAAACAGATACGATCTCGGTTTCTTATGCATATCCTTATCTGTGGTTGCCCTCTTTTGTAGTAGTTGTGATTTGGCCATAAGATCAGAAGCTGCTTTCTTAGTGGTCACAGCATACAAAAACTTTCCCTCATCTTCATCCACAGACGCCAGTCGTTGGCGTGTGTTTCTAGCCAGCGCTCCTTGTCCTCCCAAATACTGTTCTGACTGCTCAAGCAATACCTGTGTTCCAGACGTTAATTTTGCACCCAATCTTAAAAGCTCAGCGGTGGTGGATTTTGCAAACGCAAATGTGCCCTTGCGTACACTATTTGCAAGCCTACCATCCTTTTTGTACTCAGCAATGGGAATTGCAACGAGGTCCTTGAAACTTCCGCCTAAACTTACGAAAGATTTGAGCGGTGAAATTCCCGACAATAGTCCTGCTAATTGCGTTTGTTGAATCACAGGTCCCCACACGCGACCCAAAGCCATCCCCAACTTCGGAATTCCAGGTATACCATACAATACGGTCCGTGGCAACTCCAAGTCAGAGCCATCTAGCACAAATATGTTCATGAACTCAGATGCATTTCCAGAACGCATGCCGGTGTAATCGATACTCTTCGGCTTGTAATCAAGCTTCAAACGAACCTGACCAAGGGAAAACTTTTGAATGTAAAGGATTTCATCTGGGAGGAAGGTCAAAACGAACATCACGAAAATCAAGAAAACGGTTCAAAAAGTCGAGGGTATCCTGATCAATGTACATCCTCAAAGGAAGAACTTCCAAATCAATCATGGCCTCGGTAGCGATAAGTGATGGGTCTGGTCGAACATTCACTAAATTTAATCGAGCCATGTGCGTTCCCTGTTCACGTTTTCCGAGGATGTTCATATAGGTCAAAAATTTGTTCCAGGTGGAAGATGGAACATTATCAACTATGTTACAGGTGTGCAATTTGAGGTCAATGGAGTTCATGAGCTCGTAAGGTCGACTCAGTTCGAATGGTTCGGTATTGGGGTCTCGTGTTGAAAACACTTTCACATCCGCTGAAACATCAAGAACCTCAACCATCATTTTATGGTGGGTGGACCGTCTTAGATGAAGATTCTGGTATGCCTTTAAGGAGCCTTTGGGAGTCGTTTTTTTTTTGTCTGTCAGCACCTGGTCATTGATTCTCGCAGCTAGATCATCAACATTGCCATCAGTAGGAACCGACAAATGTATTGATTTGTACAATGTTTCCTCAATAACTCCACCAGCGCCCGTTTCAAAGCTGACTCGGGGCTCTTGGTTTGTCAGATTAGTAGACGAGGAATTTGGTGCCGAATCATTTTGGCCGGCTTCAGATCTATCCAACTCTTGTTCAACTCGACGTATGGCGCTTTTGATTCCCTTCCGAGTCAGCTTCCAGTCATACCCATCATAAAGGTAAATCACGGCTTTTCCAAGATTCAAAGTCAAATCAATTTTGCTGGACTCAGAGGTCTCCTTTTTCACAGAAGAAGCGAAATGATCCTCCTGGATCAGAATACCAGAAGAAAGTTCTGAGTCGACGAGCTCCAACGAGCCGATTGCTTGATCGATTTGCAGTACTTCATCATCCGTTGCAAATGCTGCCAGCATATATTTCTCGTCAAGCATCGATAATAAGTTGATAGTTTCATTCGTCTTGACCTTACATTTTTCATGTTCTTGTAAAGATATTGGATCAGTCATATCGTTCAACAGTTGCGTTAGCGTATGAGCTGAATCTGCACACACTTCAAGCTGGAGCTCGTCGGCATTGACTTTGATTTCGAGCTTGGCGCCACCGCCTGGATTCTCAGCAGATGATACCGCCACATGCAAACTAGTAACCGTTCCAAGTGGAATGTAGCCTATGTCTGAAAAATACTCAAGAGGTCCCGGTTCTGAATGATACCCTTTCAGACTGGAATGGAACTTCTTCCGGTTACTAACATCGTCAATCACGTAAAGTTGAACTTCCTTCAAGGTGCTCTTCATGACAGTTCGACTATCGGCACATCGAACGTCGGAAGTGCATTTTTCGATGGAAGCAATGCATTTGCTCCGAAGTCGACCAGGATTGAATGCTAAGGCACAATCGTTGAAAGTCAAGTACAAATCAAATCTTTTCAGTGCATTTTTCGGCGTATTGGATGGATTCTGTTTTTCATTCGAGGACGATTGGGATTGAAACTTCTTTAGGAGCGAAACCCAAGAAGCATGATATTCAAGCTTTAAACGATTAAAATGGATATCCAAGGCACTCAGTTTGTCACGATTGCGGACATTGAACAAAATTAGTGGAGTCTTCACAGGAGATTCGAGCTCAGTAAAGTCAGACAACAAGTACTGAGAAGACTTATCTGGGGTTTTCCTCGCTGAAAGAAGTCGCAATACTGAACCGTGGATTTCATCCTTCGATTTGAAGACAAGAATATCATCGAGAAGTAGTTCGAGGCTGCCAAAAATGTCATCAAGCTCCAACAAAAATCTGAACTTTTCGATATGGAGACTAAAAGTAGATGCCATAGATCTAACATTTCCCATTAGAATGTTGGGAATTCCCGTAGCATTACCTCTCCTTCTACTTGAAGCATAGTGAGATACTGACATCGATAAGTCTGCCTTCGTCTCGAAGGAGGATTTTTGTGGGACAGACGAAGTATAATCTAGATTTTGAACCAAGTCACGAAACCTGTCGCTCAAAAGAGTAAGATGCGAATGCAGAATCAGCCCGGAAACCTTTGCGATGTTGATCGAGCTCGAAGAATCGACTGAAGTTGTTCGTCCTGCTGCCTTTGGATTATGGCCCGATCTAATGTAAGCCGTGAAACTCTTGCCAGCAGTTTTGTACTCAACTGATTGCATGGAAATGAGTGGAATGTCAGATCGTCCTTCGATTTGAATTGTCAGCACAATTCTATCTATCGTCATCCCCCCTCGCTTGCTGCTGAATGAGATGGGAAACACCATCCAACTCAAAGTTGAGATCTCATCAAGAACAAGCTCAAACGTAAAAGTTGCGGTTTGCAACGTCAAATCAGATTCTGAATCTTCGACTGGCTTGCTTGCTGCAGACATATGGCGAGCCGCCGATAGTTGCTGTGTAGCTCCTTGAACATCGCTCAAGACGTAGAAAAACCCAAGAAGACTCAGAAGTGACTCCGAATCCAACTTTATATGGCAGGGTTTTGACATCAAGAATGTAATTTCTCGTACACCCTTGCTTATAAAGTACTCAAATCTTAGGTCGGCTCTAGGTTTATCAGGTTTCCGATTGATCGAATCTGAACCTTCCCTGAACAGAAGTACATCACGAGTGGAACCCCCAGACTCAAAATAAATATGAATTTTTTCAACACCACCAAATATGAGTTCGTTATCGCGTTGCAGTATGTTAATATTGGAGAGCAGAAGTGCCATATGAGACGACGAGAGAAAGTTTCCTGCTTCGTCTAAAGCCGAGGATGTGCTTATTGCGATGCTTGATATATGCAACTTTTCGAAAAGAGAATTACTCGAAGACTCTTCGCTAGACATCTCATCATCGTCAGTATACTGAGGGAAACGATCGTTACGTGTTTTAAGATCCTGCTTTCGATATTGTTGATTGCGAAGCTTAAAGTTTCGGGTCAAAGAAGATAAGATTGCCACGACAGTGGCAGTGGCTGGAATTGTTGCAACCTTGACGTTTCCCACGTCAATATTAATATCCGAAATTGACGAAAGACCCTTAAATGTGAAGGAGAGGCTATCAATGTGAGCAATGGTGGTCTGAGTATTTCTAGAAAATGCTGTGGAGCCAGGAGCAGCGTTTTTGCTGAAGGAGCGAGAAGTAGCACTCATGTAGATGGAGCTGGCTTCATCATGGGTAAAAACCATACTATCCATGAGCTCTGAGCCCTCGTTTGAATCATTGGAGTTGTTGGAGTCGTAATCATTATCATCGTTTTCGCCTTCATTATCATCGCCTTCATTTTCATCGATTTCATCAATTTCATTATCATTAGTATTCGTTTCTTCGTCTTTTGCTTCTTCATTTCTTGACGTTTGTCCAGCAGACAGAGACTTATCGCCCGTAGGCATGCCTGGTTTTAGCGTAAAGACACTTATATCTTCGACTGATATTTGTCTTACACCATCTGTAGTCTTCATGTGAGCGGTGTGTAATTTGATAGCAATATCCACCTCTTCCAGAACAACTTTGATGACAAGATTCTTGATTGTAACCTGGAGCTTCTGAAGTGCTATCTCGACTGCCTTCGCCATGACGCCTCCAAGTGCTGATCGTTTCGTTTCTTGTTTGTCGTCTTCGTCATTTGCTGAGCTTTTAGCATCAATATCATGATCATTATCAGAGTCAATAACCTTGGAGTCACCCGAGTCATCTTCCACATCAGTATCATTGTCCTCATCGATTCCATCATCTTCCATCGTCTCCATCATACTTGCCAAATTGGCGGTGCTTTGTGCCAACGAAAACTGAACATCATGGTTGTCCAAACTCGGAGCTACAACAATTTCTATGTCACTTGCATCTATATTGACTCCTCCCATGACACCTCCGTTAAGTTCTAGCGTCCCTACTTGTCCATATCGAAGGTTAAAGCCTGGAAGTTTACCCATCTTCTCTGGATCAAGGGACACATTTCTTAACACGATATTGTTTAGAGACACTTCTTCCAAGTTGGGAAGGTCTATTTCCGAGAAGAGCGAGAGCTGCTGTAGTACATAGAGCAAGAGTCGCTTCTGGATGTTCTGGGGCATCCATTGCGGACTCATCTCCGTATAAGTAGTTAGTGAGTATATTCAAGTCAGCAAGATAAGATCGCACCCATGCACCACTTATCGGGACGAGAAGACAGAGAGGAAGAATAGAATGTAGTTGAAGTTGAGTCAGCACTGCTTAAGGATTGATGGCTGTATTATTATCGTATCTCATGAAATGTAGCTGGTTTGTGCTCTAATAGTGTGGCGGCAACTTGAACTATTGAATTATTTGCACCTGCCAAATGGGGTCGGGGTCCAGTCCAGTACTGGCTCAAACAATCGTACTGTAGTCCTTTGTCTTTTAGGAGAGTTTGAGATAACGTTGTTGGTCTTTTGGTTGTCTGTGACACCCAATATATCTTCTAAGCTTGGTGTGGAGTACTGGGCCAATTCTGCTTGTCGCTTGGCTTCCGCAGTCTGTTTCTGCATTTTCTCTTGAATTTCTGGCAGTAGCATATTAGTAGCCACAAATATCTGGTCTCGAAGAGAAAGTAGCTCAAACTTTTCTTGAGGCTTCAAGTTTTGCGTTCCATGTATAACCTTCTCCGAAATGTCCCATAGGCTATCCTTGGAGCAGCTTTGTACCATCAATTTCATAATTGCTTCACACCATTCACGTGCATGATCTGGCGGTACCCTTCCATTTGCAGCGGCATCCCTTACAGCAATCAAAACGTCCACCTGAAAGTCCAAGCCTAACTCTTCAAACAAGGGCTTATATAGCTTTGTGACTAGCGAATTGAACTTTTGTTTTTTCGATTTTGACTTATTGGCAAACATAAAGTTACCTTCAACTAGTGTTGTTGCTAACAACTTTGTGCTAGTTGATTTTAGAGCCTTTACAGCTGTCCAGTACTTTGAACCTGTATCGGAGGAGTTTCCAAACTTGTATATCATATCCAAGTTTTCTTTACGGATAGACTTATAGGTCTTGAGATGGCTTATTGTTTCGTCTCGTGTAGCTGTTTCCGATTCAGTTGGGATTGCGTCGCCGTTTGAAACGACAGGAACCAGTTCTATACCACTCCAGTAGTTATCAAATAGCCATGTTAGTGCTCGATTGCAAGCTATTCGCAGCATGTGGAGTGATGGAAGCAGCTCGTGAGTACCCATGTGCCGAAGCTCAACGAAAAAGCTCGGCAAGTTTAAACTCTTCGCCAAAGTATGGAGCGGAATGGCATAGTTGGATTGCTGCATCGGATCCAAAAGACCATTGACAAATCGAATAAGAGCCATGGCGTATGATAAACGAAGGACGTTCGTGTCAGGTGAGTCGTTTCCGTTATCTTGAAGGTGTACGGACGTTAATAATGCCGTCGACTCCAAGCCATGAGGAAGTTTTCCTCTAGTCGAAAGAGCTCTCACTCGCTTTATTGCACGCACCCTATCATCCTTTACGTCCAGAAAATCATAAAACCAGCCCTTTAGCTCCGAGAGGTCTGCGCTGGACCGATAACACACAATTGAGGGGTGTTTCATGCACAAAAACAATTCGTGTCTGGTGCGGCCATCATGAATCTTCGGCGATGATGTACTGTATACAAGCACACTTCAAGCCTTACCACACGAAGCACCCACCAGCCCTTCGGCTCCGCAGATTCGGACTTTACATGAATGTGGGGCAACATTGTTCTTCTGTGGCCCAATACTGTCAACTTTTCAAAATATGAACGTGCCCCACCTACCCCACACCAACCTGCATAGCACAAGGGTTTAACACCGCCCACGAAAATGCCGTGATGCCCAAAGCACAACATACGAACAAAAAGGGCGGCTTCTCGAATCCAACAAATCCGAAAAATTCAACTTTGCTGTTGGTGCTGTTTCCTCATCAAATCTCTTCCTTTTTTTTTACCTCGTAGCAAAGACTATTATCCACTTTTTCAATATTCCATCTTTACTCTGGATGGTTCAAAACAGTTTGACGATTTCCCGCCCTCAAGTGCTAAAGACCACACAATGAAGATGGGCAGCGTAAACAGTGGCGCATTCTATACATGTGAGACGTCACTCTATTTTTGCTCCCCACCTTTCGGACTTTGATACTATCACCGAGACCGGATTTTGCAGCATTTGCAACACCCATATATAACACAGATTGTACCATGTAATTATCACCAATGTCATCCATCCAATCTTATGGTAGCAAAAACGATGTGTCGCACGATTCAGAGAACATTGGCCGTGTAGAGGCCACTGGCGCTGGCGACGAGCTTATTAGACTCGGGGATAAGACGTACTATAAGCATGAACTCATGCTGGCATTCGGTGGTACTTTGAATGTAGAAAGGTACGCTCCTTATCCAAAACACCAATTTGCCAATGCTGCAGCCCTTGGACTTGCTGCCTTTGCCTTGACAACTTTTACTTTGGGATTGTACTATGCTGGAGCCATGGGAGTCAAGATTCCTAATGTTGTTGTATCACTCACATTTTTCTATGGTGGTATTGTTCAATTTTTGGCGGGAGTTTGGGAATTGGCCATTGGAAATACCTTTGCAGGCACGGCATTTGCAAGTTACGGGCCATTTTGGTTTGGATTTGGTTCCATTTTTATTGAAAGTTTCGGAATTTCTGAGGCTTATAAGGACGAACCGGAGCAACTTGCGAATGCAATTGGCTTTATGCTTGTGGGATGGTCCATCTTTACATTCTTGATGGTCTTGTGTACTCTCAAGTCCACAGTGATGCTTTTGGCTTTGTTTGTTACCTTGGATCTCACATTCATCATTTTGGCTGCGGCGAACTTCACTGGTAAAGCATCGTGCCAAACCGCTGGCGGTGTCATGGCAGTAATCTCGGCGTGCTGTGGGTTCTATAACGCATTTGCGGGTGTAGCAACACCTCAAAACTCGTACATCAGGGCCAACCCAATCGCACTTCCTGGTTAGGTGTATAGTTCGACAGCCGACCAAAGTTGTTGTGCTTCGAAAGTAATATTTGGTTCTAGTTTTCGCAATTGTAGACTCTGGGAGTTTGCTACTTCTCCAGCTATCACGTTGGTGTAGGGAAATTTCAGATGATAAAGGAGTTCATCCATGGACCGATCGGTAAAATCATCTTTCAGATCGCCGTTGCAACTAATGAGAACAACTCCAACAAGAACACCACTCAAGCCCACTAATACCCAAAGAAGCTGACTCACGGTCATTCTATCGTGAAGAAGCTGATTGAAAAGCAAGTCGTTGATCAAATTTATGAGGTTGTAAACCAAAAAACAGAGCGGGTAAAGGATAGTGGTCAGGATCTGGGCAAGGCCAAGATTGAACGCGGCGAGTTGACAACCAATGATCGCTAGCATGAACACAAGAAGTAGGTAGGGCGTGGCACCACCAGCAAACAAGGAGCGGCCAGCGCCCAGAGGGTGATTCCACAAGGAAGCCACCACCACATCGAGAATTGATTTGGCAAAAAGAAATGTATGTGCCGTCAATGAGCCGGAGATGAGTCCATAATTAATGCCCTTGATGAACAGGTAGCGGCATATGAGCGGGAAAGTTGACTTTGTTCGTTTTTTGCGGGAACTCAATATTTTTTGCCGGGTTGTCAATATAGAATTGATCATCAATAGAAGACCCATTACCACAAAAGTAGTTATAAACCAAGAGCCAAACGACAGCGCCGTCAACTTTTGAACCACCTCCTTAAACCTATGGGCCGGCAGCAGGTCCTGGGGTGGTAACGGAGGAACATTTCCATGGTAAGCGATCAAAAATGCTCCCAATGCTATGACCACCGTTCCCGTCACCAACTTGTAAGTAAATCGTTCACCCAAAAACATACAGCCAAAAACTGAGTTGAAGATAAGTCCAATGCTCTGGAGCGGTGATAGTATAATCAAAGGAAGGGTGGTTATTTGGATCAACGAGCCCAAAACGTTGGTGACAATGAATAGGAAGAAACCTAGAAGCCACATATTTCGCTTTCTCTGATGGCTATGAGCATGTTGATTTGATATAAGATGAGATTTGCGTTGCAACGTAATTCCAAATGACTGAACAGCGGAAGAAATCACCGCTACCGTACAGCCAATAACGGTTTGTGGTGGAAGCATGATAAACTAGATGGCAGCCGCAGCACGACGTGTTAAGTGTGGGGTCTGCCTGCAGGAACACGGAACACATGCAGGACTTTTCAAAACAGACGCTCGAAAACGGTTCTATTACAAGCTCATGGAGTCTGCCATCAACCACATCATATACAGCCTTGAAGGGCAGCTGTGGGAGGAGATCTGTGCTGGCGTAATCGAGTTGAATGACTTTCTAGCTCTGTTAGTTCCTTATGTCGCCACGGCTCGGAATTCTCTGACAAAGCATCCTAGTTTGGCGCGTTTTCTAGCACTTCAAGACGGGTTTCAGCACAATTTAGCTTCTAGATTGCTTTGCGTGTACCGATATACAAAAGTGGACAATATTCAGGGCGAAAAATATATGGAAACAATCTTAATGACCAACAGATTGCTTCAAGGATTGCTCCTACTCCATCCAGATTCACGTCTGGTGTTCTCCAGCGCTTCAAATATGCAGTGTGTGCTTCAGTTTGTCGGTAGGAAAGACCTTCCGCTGGGGTTGATGGTACTGTTCGTGTCTACACTCATCCATATTCTTCTCAAGAATTCCAAGAATATGCGCCAGTTCGAGCAATTGAACGGCTGTACTGCCGTCATTCAGCACCTAGCACTCCTGTCGCTCACCGAGGCACCCCAAGAACACCTGCAGCAGCAGGAACTCAACTTCAAAATCATCGAATTTCTTTTGTTCTATTTCATCGACGAGTCTCCTCTCCCGCCACCCCGCCTATCCACCGCGCAAAAAATTGAGCTTTTCCGACCGGGGTTTTCCCACATTGACGTCCTCGTTCGAAATTTGGACGATCTTCGTGCTGTTTGATACCCAGAGCCTCTTGCCTGGTTTCGACATCCATGCACCACAAGCATGCCTGCATTTTCTCCGCGACTCGTTGTATTTTCAAACATGTACACATACATGGAGTACCTCCCAAAAATGTTTCTTCCATGCCACTAGATGGAACGAAGATAACATATATTCCAATATAACCGCATCTTCTCATGCCTTGCTTGAATTTCTGGTTCCTTCAGGCCTAAAAATGGATGTTTCGTCTCGGTCTTCGCCGAACCTGGCATCTTCTTTCACCTTATCAAACCACCATTCGCTCAATGGATCACTAGCATACATGTATTCGTCGACACAACTTAAGGGTACTCCTGGAACGCGCCGAATTCCTCTCCAGGACGCAATTGCTGGATTCAAAATTGTGGAGCCCAATGAGATGCGACCGAGCGCATCGGGCACCATTGCTCCATCTTCGCTCTTATATGGCCGAATGTACTTTCCTGGCGCCGCGCTCGAGGCAATGGTTATACGGCGGTTTTCTCCACACACCCAATTGCTCATAAAGTGTATTCATAATCCTCAACTTGACAAAAACGGAACTTTAATTGCATACTTTCAAAAGAATACCCAACGGTACTCTCGAGAGGTAATATACTCCACCAATGATGCATTGGTGGGCTTCAGAGGCCTATACAACATCGGTTCAACACCCTCATGGTCGCCATCTCCTCCCAATTTCGACCGTTCGGTGGTGTCTGTTGGCGCCGAATTGTGGTACGCAGCACGCACCATGAGCCCAGGACTCTCGACGGGTCTCCGCTACTCCACTCGCTCAACATCCACAGGGAAACCGTTGACCATGACCCTTGCATGCAATCCCATTTTGGGGCACATTTCCTCCACTTACACGGTAAAGACATCGGTTGCGTCTACATTTTGTTCTCGCTACGACTTTAATCTTTTTTCCTACGCCAGCAATTTGTCATTGGGGTTTGAGCTCTTTAATTTCGATAAAAATGCTGCAGTGGAACGGAATCCACAATTGCCAACTCCAACTACAAATCCCTCGGCTTCAAAGCAAAACCTAATTAACCCCATACGAGATCACAGCTATTACCAAACGACCCCCTCCACTAATGCGACAACATACCAGTCGTCGCAAACCATATCTGACTCGTTTCAAAAGCTCGTAAACCGCTCGGAATTCTCCAGCGTTGTTAAAGTATCTACCAGCTTAAATGATCGATTAGTCCGTTTGCTCTGGGAGGGCCGCTTCAAAGACTTTTTAGTCAGCAGTGGGGTCAAAGTCTCGTTGAACCCCGCCACAAACGCCGTGGAACTCAATCGCTTCGGTATAAGCTTCTCGTATGCTTCTTGATGTATAGACAGTATTGTGTGCAGGTCTCACATAATGAATTTTCAACAACATTTTTCTCAAACTTGTAGCCATAACCATGCACAACAACGAGCTCTATGGGCTTTTGCGTAACTCGAGATTGGCACAGGTGGCTACTCCTCTTAGCAAAAAGTTGCGAGGTGAGTCCCATATCCCCACCCATCAAATAATATACACCCCAAAGTCATCGGCTATTCGGTCCAGTTTTGGTATTAAGACCCAACTCCCCAAACAAGTTGGGCAGTCCCATATAGTATTCAATGACATCGACAACCCCAAGAACATGCCGGATGTGGAGAAATATTCAGGAAAATACTACAACAGACTCAAATTTCAGGAAACTGGAATGGTGGTGAAAAATTACCAAAACGAGTCCAACCCTCTTTTTCCCTCGAGCACAACAAAATCCACCACATCCAACAAGGTGGACAGCATATTGGCATCGTTCAACTTGAATGACAACGCCACAACCGCCGATGTGACCAGGTTGCTTTCCAAAAACCCAGAATTGAACAAGAGATTTCAGCAGTGGCTCTTGAAAAACAGCCCCAGACTGCTCTTATCCAAGCCTCTTCGTTACTCGGACTTGTTACGTAGATTCTTGAGCTCCCAGAGTGATATTGTCAGACAAGAGCTTCAACTCAACGATCTTGCACGTCCCTATGGTAAAGCTACTAGCAATGCTCCACGCACCAAGATCCAAGGAACAGGAGGTTTTTCATACGCCCAGAAAGGTAGACTCACAAACTCTCCTAATGGAGTCAAGTACGGTGTGATTGCTCCCGGAAGAATGGTGGGCGATCGAGAGGCTGCTATTGGAGGATTTGTTGCAAGTGTCAATGACAGAACTACTTTATTGCAACATAACTACTCTAGAAATTTCCCAGGAAAACACTCGAGACAGTTTGTTATGCCCTTCAAGTTGAATGAGGCTGAGATCACCGGCAATGGATCTGTCAAGATGTATGCTGACGGAGTCAAGGTGGGCTCATGGATGCAACGCACTAATGCTGGAGAATACGGCGAGCGCAACTACGAAGCGTCGAATCCCAACTTTGCGTCTGCTTCCATGAGAAACAGAAACGAAAACGTAAAGCTCGAGACGCTCTTGAACTTGATGGGAGCAGGCAAAGGCAAGTAAAAAGTAGAATGACTTTACAAGTAAATAAAGTAGAATAGCTCTATCTGTATATACATATTATTCGGCTTTTTTGATGGGATCAGCTTTCATCAACTTTCTCTTTTTAAGACCCAGAGTCGTGGTTCCTGAACCAGACACAACGATTCCGTTCAACTTCTTTTCTTCCTGATGGAGCTGTACACGGATTTTTTCCGCTAATGCCTCATCTTGCTTACCATCCACTTGATACCAAAGATAGTAGTTGGACGTTCTTGTGCCTGTCTCAAGTATATGCTTCATCTTTTCCTGTACTTTCTCCACAGGATTCACACTGTTGGCCACAATAGGAACAAAACGGGTGGGTACCTTGTGAATGGTAAACGACATAGCGGTGTATCGAATCTCGGGCTCTGTAGGCATCTCTGGCTCTTTTGGAGGCCGTGGTTTCTGAGGTGGAGGAGCCCTCTTTCCTTTCTTTCCTCTTCTTGGAGGAAGTCTTCTTGTGGGCGCAGGAGATGAAATTTCCATAGCTTCTGATGTGTTTTCGTCAACGGTTTCTGAAGCTTCCTTTTTGACTGGCTCCTCAGAATCTTTCGTCGCAATGCTTCCTTCATCGTCTTTCGACTCATCTATGGGCTGGCTAGTTTCTGTACTTTCGGTTTCTTTGTTTCCAGTTTCTGAGTTTTCAGTTTGTTCGACAGCTTTCTCTTTGTCATTATCTTGCTCAGTTTCTTTCATTTCTACGTCGTCATCTTCTTTTTCTATCTTCTCGTCGTCCTCCCGTTGCTTTTCTTCTGCTTCCTTTCTCGCTGCTTCCTCCTCTTCTGCTTTCTTTTTAGCGTCCTCTTCCTTCTTTTTCATGAAATCTTCGTATTCCTTCTTTTTGGCTTCATATTCGTCGACCTCTTTTTGATTGTGTACCCAAAGAAAACTGAACAAAATATCCTTTTCGTCAGCCTCGATGTTCTCCTTTGTTTGAGGAAGCACTTCGGCGATGGCATCCTTGGGAAGCGCATAACGGACGTTGGAGTTTTCTGCAAACTCAAAGAGAACAGTAGCATCTTTAACATACTTTTCCTGAAATGCTGTGAGTTTTTGGTCTCTTGGTACCTTTGGTTTTCTGTCACGAACTGCTCCCGATTTTACGTACCTACCATTTTGAAAGTAGTTGGGAAATAAATAAGCATGGTGTGGTTGTGGCCCCATTTCCCTAGCTCGCTGAATATAGCCTTGGAATGTCATAATTTGCTGGGGAGAAGCATTACCCAGAGCAACGATTTTCATGAGAGAATTTAACGATGCATCAACTCTAGCAATCGCATTCAAGTTGGCAATCATTATAGTGTTCTCTACCGATTGCATATTCGAAGGATCACTTCTAGGTGGAGGAGCCCGAACAGTAGGGGGTGAGATTGGTCTGGGTTCGACCTGCGGTGGCTGGGAAGTTGATGGCTCACTGGTCTGGTTTGGGGCCGGAACATTACTTCCATTGGAAGTTGTTCCCACTTTGACTTGGGGACGGGCAATTGGGACTGTTGGAGGGGGAATGTGATTCGCTGGGGAAGTTGAAGGTGAAGTTGTATCTTTAGTAGGAACCTTTGTTCTCAGATTCGTTAGGGTGATTCTCTGACGAGGAGCAGAACTGACAGTTGGCGGAGTGGTGGAAGGCTCAACTGGTGGTGTATTAGATGGTGGCAGGATATGAGATGATGAGTTTGTAGGTTCAGTGTTTTTAGTGGATGTTGCGTCTTTAGTGGACAATGCTTCTTTAGTCGATTCTGTGTCATTTGGATTAGTCGATGGTTCTGGTGCAGAGTTCGATTGTGTAGCGGGTTGAGGTGCTGGTGTGGATTTAGATACATGGGAGTTTTCTTTTCCTGTGTCCACTGTAGCACTCAGCTTGTCTTCACTATTCTGTGGTACAGTAGGAGGCTCAGAATTGGGTTCAGGTGCTTTCAGTATTTGTGGGGCTACAGGCGCTGGCACTGGTAAGGGTGATGGCCCTGGATGAGAGCTTCCGGATGGAGTTGAAGTTGTAGGTGCTGGAGTAGATTCCTGATTCAGGTCCTTTCCCTCTTCCTTTATATCCTTATCTTTTTTCTTCTTTTTCTCTGACCTTTCGTCCTTGGCGATGAACATGCGTATTTCGAACGTATGGGGTCCCAAGTCCAAGGTTCCGTCACACAATTTTACCATAACGTCCCTGGCACTCACATCTCCTAACAATATGGGTTGTCGAGCATCGGAATTGGGGTCGTTTTGTACTTTTTCATAATATTTGGAATCCTGTGCTGCCATCTTCTTGGCGTAGGCGCTCTGCTTTATCCAGTATAATGCAAACATAGGACCCTCATAGACGTAACAATGGCGTGAACGGAGTAAGGACAAGTACAAAACTCCGGTATCTTTGACGGTTAATGGGTTTTTGAATACCAGCTCATACGATCCTGGTTCGTTGTAGCTGACAGGAAGATTCGCTACGAGATCAAAAGGACGATTTATAGACTTTGCAAGTGCCTTCTGCTGACGATCGATTTCCTCTCGAGTGGCAGTCGTAATACGACGGCGCATACGCGGTGGCATGATCGTTGGTGGCTGTTATTAATGGTGAAAATAGTGTATCTAAAACACCGATTTGGTGAGAATGGTGCGTGCTACATGCAGTGCCAAGAGGTAGTACGCAGGCATACGGTTGCGAAAAGACCCCGGGTAGAAGGTGAGTTGTGATCTAATTAACAGGTGCCTTTCATTCTCCCTTTTTTTCAAAGTATACTTATCTGGTACTGACAAATGGTGTGTATTTTTATGCAGCTCGATCGTAATTCATGCAATCGGCAAATGCTCTATAGTACCTCGTCAAGGCAGTCGAGACCCTGATTGAACAATCGTATCATCGTATCCAATTCATTTATCAATTTGTGTCGAGGAGTCGAGTCAATAAAGAACTCAGCAGAGATGGGTGGAATAGCAGGAAAAGTGCGATTACTTGTTATAGCCGGTGATACAGACACTGGTGGAACAGCACCGCTAAACGATCCAGAAGTGGCTCGATTCATAGCTGGTGGAACTGAAAGCAGGTGACTTTTTTTGCGTACATCTCGCTCAGTTTCCGTAACCGGAGTCATTGACACTGAACCATTCATCGCCAGTGCCGGTACTCCAAACTGGTTGACTTCACCGTCAAAAGATGTGTTGAGATTGGGGAGATTGGAGTAGTTTGTAGAAGGCAAAGGCATTTGTAAGTGCCATCCAGGTCTACGTTTGGTAGTACCGGTTGAAGCTTGCTGCTGAATAGGTTGCGCCGAAGACTGCGGTTGGGGTTGAGTTGGATGTTGTTGTAGTTGGGATTGAGGTTGGGATTGAGGTTGGGATTGAGGTTGTTGGGGCTGTGGTTGAAGTTGTTGGTGTGGTTCCTCCCTCTCCTTTTCTTTGCTCAAGTTTATAGGTTGCAATAACGGATTGGTTGTATGTTGAAGGGCCTTCATTGATTTGGAGGGTGGACTATGGTTAGCACTGGCAATGTGCGAAGATTGAGAAGGAGACATAGAAGTCATAGTATGAGGAGGTGTTTGCGGTGCGGATGGCACATGAGGAACGGAAATGGACGAGGTGCTGGAACCAGTATTGGATATGGTTTTTTTGCGCGGTCTGTTTGAAGGTGAACCACCTGTTGAAAATCGAGAATCTAGGGATGCAGACGCAGATTGAGAATGGTAAAGTGGAGGTGGCTTGTTCAATAGCTTTGAGGTTGGCGTCGAGCTTGTGTTGGGTTTATTGTGATGCGGAAGATTATCCATGTCAGGAATCTCGATGGTGGGAGAGTCTGCAGAGGGAAGCTGGATTGTGGTGGGCGGTTCAATTTCGGGCTCATCAGAGTCTTGGAAGAGCAGCATCAATGATTTTGGAGCGGTGGTGGTTTCGGCGATGGAAGAAGGATTGGTACTATTGTGGTCATTTCGCAGTTGACGAGCGGTGACAGTGCCTAGCTGGGTAGAGGTTCCTGCCTCTGTACGCATAGTGGTCTGTTCGTCGCTGTTGTAGGAGTCCCAATTGACATCGATGTCGTTCTCAACAATATATTCTTTGCTGCTCAACGAGTCAAAGTCCCATTTGACCTGGATGCCCTCGGCTTCACTGATGCTTCGCTCGTCATCTAGTCTCATAACAGACTCTCGCAGAGAATGCAGATCGCGCCAAAGAAGGTACCGAGTGATGATCTCCTTGAGAATCAGAGTTGGGTGCGACCGGTACATTTTCACAAGTTTACACTTGAACAACTCTTCAGCCATGGGTCTCTCTTGCGGGTTTTCGTCAAGACAAAGAGCCACTGCCTCCTTGAGAGCCGGAGAGTATTCACGGCCTTCTAATCGAGGTGGAGTCAGTTTCAGGATCAATTGCATTGCCCACAGGGCATCTTTATCACAATATGGTGGGTTCCCCGTGGCAAGCTCGTACAAGGTTATACCTAGAGACCATATATCTGCTTTGACGTTGTAGGTGTCGCCTTCTCGAATCACTTCTGGAGCCATCCAGTACGGTGTTCCAGCCATGGTGGTGCGCTTACTGGCGGTCAGACTGATGCGAGCAGCCACACCAAAGTCACACAATTGGACATTTCCTTCGTTCGTAATAAGCACATTGGCCGACTTCAAGTCTCGGTGGATTACTCCTAATTTGTGAACCGCTTGAAGAGCCACCAAAAGTTCACGTAGTACCACTCCAATGTACTGCTCTTCAAACACCCCCAGCTTCAAAAGCGTACGAATCAGCCCTCCAGCACAGTAGTCCATGATGATCCACAACTTTGTGTCCACTAGGAACGACCCGTAGTAGTGTGTGACATTGGGAACTTGTTTTATTTCAGAAAGAAACTGAATCTCCTGCTGGACTTCTGCCACTTCTTCAGGCTCCGTGTCTAGATTAAGTACTTTTATGGCCACCACATGTTTTGTGGTCTTGTGGTAACCTTTGTAGACGACCCCAAACTTCCCTCGTCCAATAACGTCGGTTCGTTTGTACATGACGAATATTCGGTTGTATGTGGCTATAAACGGAGTGCCCCAACACCGCGCGCACTCGATCTGATCGAGCCAGTGCGATTTCGCATCCGTGCACCCGCGATATTGAGTCACCAGTGGAGCTCGATACTACACGATGCGTAGTGCTACCGTTTGCCGCAAGACCAACGAAACCAATATCCAGATTGCTCTTTCGCTAGATGGTGACTATGTGCAGTTAGAAAAAAGCATTTTGGACAAGAATCATGAAAAGTCTACTTCTGATAACAAGGCACCAGTCATCTCTGTTCAGACTGGAATAGGCTTTCTTGACCATATGCTCCATGCTCTCGCCAAACACGCTGGGTGGTCCCTCATCGTAGAATGTGTCGGAGACCTTCACATAGATGACCATCATAGCGCCGAAGATGTTGGGTTGGCTTTAGGAATGGCGTTCCATCAAGCCTTGGGCCATGTTCGTGGAGTCAAGCGTTTTGGTAGTGGTTTTGCTCCATTAGACGAAGCACTCAGTCGAGCTGTTGTCGACTTGTCCAGTCGTCCATTTGCAGTTGTGGAACTTGGCCTTAAACGAGAAAAGATCGGAGACTTATCGTGTGAAATGATTCCTCATGTCATTGAAAGTTTTGCTCAAACCGCCGCCATAACCGTTCATGTAGATTGCCTCCGTGGCTTCAACGACCACCACCGTGCCGAGAGCGCTTTTAAGGCGTTGGCAGTAGCTATAAAGGAAGCCATTTTGCCGACTGGAAAGGATGATGTTCCCAGTACCAAGGGAGTGTTATTTTGACTATTTATTGAAAAAAAGTGGACGATCCATGCTACGCTGCTACTGCTACATTGCCACACATGCTACATTTGCTAATTTACATTTGCTACTTCATTTGCTAGTTCTGCTACTTCTTAAGTCTACTTTTCGCTTACATAACCTCATGGCTCATCGCTCATCGACAATCAGATCAACTCTCCACAATGTTTACAAGACGGTTTAGCACATCCTTGTGTCGACAAGCAAAAACAGTTTCTCGGAATTTACCCACAGAAAAGAAATCTCCCAAGCCATGGGAAGTCAAGAATATTTCTAAAGACGAATTTTTCGGCCGCAAGTATGGCTCGATATCTGCAGAACAACGTCAGAAACTTAACGACAAAGTTGCTCGGCAAAGACGAGCCAGAGCCGAGCGGAAAGAAGCCGAGTACTCCAGTCAAAGGGAGTCGTCTCGCGAAACCACTTCTTATAGACCTACAGGAATGAGCCGTAATCCAGTGTACGAGTACATTTATGGTACCCATCCTGTTCTAGCAGCGCTTACTGGGGGTAAAAGAGATTCTTTCAATAGGCTATTTGTCTTCAATCCGAAGGAGGGAACCTCGCAAATTCTTTCACAGGCAAAAAAACTCGGAATTTCTATTGTCACCAAACAGAGCAAAGGTGATATGAACATTCTTGCTGACAACGGGGTCCACAATGGAGTAGTTTTGGAGACCAAACCATTGGAAATACCGTTTATTCATGAATTGGGGGTATGTGACCCAGAAGCTGAAGAATACGATGTTTCAATTACGAATGAAATACTTAATTCTCAAACTCCTTATACCCACAAGTGTCAACGTGAAGCTGCTTATCCTCTTGGGATTTACTTGGATGGCATCACCGACCCCCAGAATTTGGGTGCAATTGTGAGAACAGCATACTACATGGGAGTTGACTTTATTGTGGTTCCAGAACATGACACTGCTCGTTTAGGACCAGTGGCTGCGAAAGCAGCAGCAGGGTCTCTCGATTTGATGAACATTTTCCAAACATCTGATAGTCTTGGGTTTGTGGAAAGAGTGAGAAGAAACGGCTGGAACGTAATTAGTACCAGCTCTCAAACCTCGGAATCTTTGCAACAAGATCAAAAACTGAAACACCAAAAAGTGCAGCAACAACTCGGCACCAAATTCATCGACCCATCAGAGTTATCTACTATTGCCAACGAGTCACCAGTTCTACTTGTGATGGGCTCAGAAGGTGCTGGTGTAAGAACTCATCTCCAGCTTCGTTCTGATTATTTGGTTGGTTTGAGTAAAGGAAGAGAAGACGAAGGTATAGTTGACTCGCTCAATGTCAGTGTTGCTTGTGCATTAATGGTAGCCAAGTGTACAGAAAAGGTGTGAGAGAGAATTCAGTTATTAACTGATTCCATCGTAATCAGCTCATCTCCCAGTACACCACGCCCAACATCCCCGCAGTGCCTGTGATTCTCATCGCACATTAAATATATTCCGCGGCCAACCGCGCCTACCCTGAAATACCTACGAACATGCACTTGGTAGTGGTGGTCCATGGACTATGGGGTAACTGCTCCCAGATGAACCATATCAAGGCGGAACTTGAAAAATATCATCCTACAAACACGATAGTATACACTACTGGAACCCATGCTGGGTACCTCACTTACGATGGAATCGATGTCAATGGAAAGAGAATAAGAGACGAAATAGTGGCGGAAACTGAACGCTTGGAAACTACCGGAACATCGGTGACAAAGATATCCATCATTGGTTACTCCTTGGGTGGTTTGGTGTGTAGGTATGCCATTGGTCTACTCTACCACGAGGGCTATTTCGACAATATTGTTCCCGTCAATTTCGTCACTTTTTGCTCTCCTCACGTTGGAAGCTTGAACGCCAGTATAGGTATTCGTGACAGGATCTATAACTACTGTGCTCCTTATGTCTTGGCAATTACAGGTTCCGAGCTCTTTCTTAAAGACAATACCTATGCCAACACTGCCATGGGAAAGTCAAATGTGAACAAGTTGCCGTTGCTCGTATGGATGGCAGAGCCAAACTCGTACTTTTACAAAGGTCTCCAGATGTTCAAGCATCGTGCTTTGTACGCTAACACCATCAATGACAGACGCTGTAGTTGGTACACTGCGTCGATCTCGGCGCTCGATCCGTTCAATTCGATGGTCAACGAGAATACCAGTGCCTATCTGTTTGAGTATATGGAGAACTACGCACCCACCGTCTTGGACATCTCGAAACCGATAAACTTTCAAAAGATTCACCACAATTCGTTGTACAAATCTGGCACAACATTTTCTCGGTCAATCTTGAAAAGGCTCCGGCTCGTCAAAGTCGTGCTTAAAATGATCGTTCTTGCTCCAGTCCTAGGTATTTTTTTCATGTGCAATTCCGTGTGGGAAAGAATCAAACTTCATGTGAGAGTCAGGTCTTATTTACGAGACCACTCTTCAGTATTGTCCACCATTAAGGAATCGTTACCTCAACCACCTGAGAACGATCAGGCAGCAAATGAAATAGCTCGCGACACCTGCCATGAGTCTTTCTTTTACTCGTTCGAAACTTACCTTGCGAGCCACTTTAAAGACCAAACAGAAGTTTTCGTCGACAATGTGTTCGATGCCGTTAATACAGAGCGGTACCACGACTATACCTACTCAATCACCACCGCCAAGGGCAAAGGTACTTCCACCCCAAAAGGCATAACGAGATCGATCAAACAGATGGATGAAGACGAAAAACAGGCACTTTTGGACAACTCTATTATAAATCTTGAAGGGCAAACTCTTCTGGACTTTAGAGTTCGATTGACCAATTCACAGCTTTATATCGTAAAGCATCTCAATGATCTAAAGTGGGAAAAATACCCTGTAATTATCAGAAAGACAAAGTTGGCACATGCGGCTGCAATTTATAGACTTGACATTCCCGCCTACGATGAAGGAAAGGTGGTGGTACGTCATTTTGCCAAAGAGGTGTTCAAGGACGAGTAGTATTTATGAGTTTGGAGTTCAATAGATATTTATACTGAGTAGCATCTTTTATTGGCTCATTATCTCAATGTGTCTTATTTTCATGTTTAATTGTCACTATCAAATATATTGCACCACCTATATCAATTCTACATAATTGGCCGGGAAGATTCCCGTAACTCCGTTGTTGCGTCCCGTCCACCAGTCGTCGGTGGTATCAGACTTTTTCAAGATATCAATTACATCACCCTTCTTGAACGCCAAATCTCCGCTCTGTTCTCCCTTAAACGTGAACAAGGCAATTGCTTGTGTGGAATTGGCCTTGGCACTGCCACCAAAATTAGGTTTAGTAGTATCAGCAGGACGAGCAGGACCCCCACTAGATATGCGAGTCCCACCAAGACGTGACCCCAAACGATCCACATCTCTGTTGTCGTAAACGTCGTCTTCCCATCCCGACCGTGAAGCAGACGCTTTGCGAGACATTCTGTTGGTGGAACCCCGCCCAGAGGTACGAGATGTTCCGTAATCGTCATCTGAATCGGAATAGTCTGAGTCGTACCTGCGACTGTTGCCACGAGCGTAGGAGTTGTTGCGCGAGCGTGGAGGGGAGCCAGAAGTGGTGGAAGAGAAATCATCAGGAATATCATCGTAATAATCGTCATTGTAAAAGTCGTCGTCTTCGTAGGGAGTTCGATTGCTGAACGCCCGGCTTTCCAATACTCTCATTAACGAGTCACACGCGGGAGGGACCTCGACACGGCCCGCCAAAATTTGTGCTGCTTTACAGTTGTTGCCGTAAAACTTTCTGTTGGCCTCTCGACGCTCAAGGATGGCTGAACCCTCGAGAGAAACTCCGGCGAAAAGGCCCTTAGTTTTCGAATAAGCAAAGACCGCCGAGGCACTTTTCAACGACGCCGTACCTGCTGCCTCTGCGTTTCTTCCGAGAGGTCCTGCTGCCACCGAAATATTGGTACCCAAGGTCACCGACCCCATTTGAGCAAACGAGTCTACAGCAGCCTTGGAATTGAGAATAAACACAAAATCTGTGAGTTCGGCACCGATCTGGCCTCCCACTCCGGCTCCAGCAGTGACAATTGCCGAAGGAGCAGACCACGAACCGTCGGGAAGACGGGCGACAATCACACCGGAACCGGCACGTCCAGAAAACAAAAAACCAGCTTTCAAAACGGTGATAATGGCAAGACCTTTGGCATTTTTAAGCACATGAGGAGGAATGATATCGTCAGGACCTGCGATTTGATTGGGCTTTACAAAAGAAGCCAAAACTTTTGCTGCTTTTCTGAAGTTAGTATGCCAAGAAGTGATGAAGAAAGTGAATTATTAACGTAAAAGCTCGGTTCAAAGTTAGCCAAGAATATAAACCAGCTAGGCTTGTTCCGAATACACTACATACTTCGATTCGCTTCGCAAACTGCGAGGAATAGGATTATTGATACCCATGGAAATACGGAGTAATGATGGCGAAGTGTATACGAATGACACAAAACCGGAAGCGCTGGGGATCTCGGGGCTGTATGCACACCCATGATTGCGAGAGAAGAAGGAGCAGTAAAAGAGGAAGGGGGAAGAAAGTGAAGTATAAGAGAATCAAGGAACAGGTAAGAAAGTGTAGACATACATTATCAGCTGCTTAGTATTATGGGTATGGTTTATGTGAGATAATTGCAATTGCACTACTTCGTTGCATTATTTGTAATATTCATTCACCCTTCCAAAGGCTAAAATTGAAGTTGGTTTGAATTTGAAGGTACCACCTCTAATACGCCTCTTGGTTTATTCCATACTCTAATTCAGGTGAATTGACCCCGCATTTATTTTATACCCACAAAAAATCTTATAGCTATCAGGCTCCGTATTTGAGATATATGGCTACTTCTTTGTTCAGTTTAAAATGATCCCAGTTTGTATTCAGAACACGGTGGATAGCTATTTACTCAATTGAATTAAGAATCTCTTCGTTAAGCCAAAAACACTGAAACGATTGATTACTGATTATGGAACTTTGCCATAAAACCGCCATGCTGCAAATCTGTAGAGCGGTGCAACATCCTGGAAAATATTCCAAAACCATTCCTAAATAGTATACTAAAAATATGATTCAATTATTTAGGTTCACTTGCTTTCCATGGTCAATTGCAACCGGTTTATTGTGCATTTTATAGTTTGTGAAAAAAATAGTTGTGAAAAAAATGGGGCGAGCTGGGAATTGAACCCAGGGCCTCTCACATGCTCAGCTTTCTCAAGCAAGCCCAAAGCGAGAATCATACCACTAGACCACACGCCCGAATGTGGTATGTTTTTTCCCCTGTACATTGAACACAAAACGCGAGCGGCCCATTTCCTCCCCACTCTGTTCTTTGCGAATCTTATTATGCGCGACTTGCCCTATTCAATCTCTTCGAAGCTAAGCGTACTGCATACCGCCTCTCCCGCGTACCGTCACGAAAAGATAGAAACGATATCGTAGCAAGACAAACTAAACGAGGGTATACTCGATCCATCAGCAAAACTGCAAATAATCATTTATCCCGCGCAGTTCCCTCGTCTTTGAATATTTATAAATCATACAGCTTTTGATTTAATCTCGAAAATCTTTACCCGCAAGGTTTTCCTTCTTTGTGCTGCCACTCAAAACACAACCACCGGTACGTAGTTGCAATAGTCCCACACTCGTTATCATGGGTGCCGTGTGTAGTTGTTTATCTCCTCGCCACGATGAGAAATATCTGCCATTATTATTGGCCGACAATGAAAGAGAGGCCATTAGTGCCCTTCTTCAATATCTTGAAAATAGAACCGATGTCGATTTTTTTAGCAATGGTCCATTACGGGCTTTGAGCACTTTGGTGTACTCGGAAAATATCGATTTGCAACGCAGTGCTGCATTGGCGTTTGCGGAAATTACCGAGAAGGATGTACGAGAGGTCAATAGGGATGTGTTGGAGCCTATTCTTATCCTTTTACAGAGCGCAGACTCCGAGGTACAGAGAGCTGCTTGTGGTGCATTGGGCAATCTTGCCGTAAACAACGAAAACAAGACTCTCATTGTTGAAATGGGTGGACTTGAACCCTTAATTCGTCAAATGATGTCTACAAATATCGAAGTCCAGTGTAACGCTGTGGGTTGCATAACAAACTTGGCTACACAGGATGATAACAAATCTAAAATTGCCAAGTCGGGAGCTCTAATTCCTCTCACTAAATTGGCCAAGTCAAAGGATATCAGAGTGCAACGCAATGCTACGGGTGCATTGTTAAATATGACCCATTCCGGTGAAAATCGTCAGGAATTGGTTAACGCAGGAGCAGTACCAGTGCTAGTCTCACTCTTATCAAACGAAGATGCTGATGTCCAATACTACTGTACTACTGCATTGTCCAATATTGCGGTAGATGAAATGAACAGAAAGAAACTTGCAACTACTGAACCTAAATTGGTCTCTCAATTGGTCAACTTGATGGACTCTCCATCTCCTCGTGTTCAATGTCAAGCTACTCTTGCGTTGCGGAACTTGGCGTCTGACTCAGGTTATCAAGTGGAAATCGTTAGAGCCGGTGGCTTACCCCACTTGGTTCAGCTTTTAACCTGTAACCACCAACCATTGGTTCTTGCAGCTGTTGCATGTATCCGCAATATTTCAATTCATCCGCTCAACGAAGCACTTATTATCGAAGCCGGCTTTTTGAAACCATTGGTTGGTTTATTAGACTTCACCGGCCTGGAAGAAATTCAGTGTCATGCCGTCTCTACGCTTCGGAACTTAGCTGCATCGAGCGAAAGAAATAGAATGGCGTTATTGGCGGCAGGTGCAGTGGATAAATGTAAAGATTTGGTGTTGAAGGTGCCTTTATCTGTCCAGCTGGAAATACTGGCTTGCTTCGCCATCTTAGCCCTTGCCGACGACTTGAAACCCAAACTTTATGAGAGCCAAATTTTAGAGGTATTGATACCTCTCACGTTCAGTGAAAACGGCGAGGTGTGTGGTAATTCAGCAGCTGCCCTTGCCAATTTATGCTCTAGAGTTTCGAACGAGCACAAGCAGTATATCTTGAATAACTGGTCACAACCAAATGAGGGTATTCATGGATTCTTGTTAAGATTCTTGCAAAGTGGGAGTGCCACGTTTGAGCATATTGCGTTGTGGACTATATTACAACTTTTGGAATCCAATAACACAGAAATCAATTCTTTAATCAAGGATAATGAAGCCATCCTGACTGGAATCAAGAAACTTAGTGCATCTCAACAGCAGCCAAATCAGCAAAACAATTCTGATCAAGTGGACCAATTTGATGATCCCAAGGTCGAATTGTACAACTTGACCCAACAAATACTACAAATTCTTGGTTAGATTAGTTGAGAACTTCATTACGCTACATCTGAATATAATGCCATTGTTAGTAATCACGCAAGCAAAGGTTCCTCTTTTTGCTGGGGTTCTTCGTTGTCAGAAAGTTGCAAATGTTCCATCTTGCTGGTTACATCGTTCTCTTTTGGAAGTGGCTCTGTAGCAGTTTTAGCTGGTTCAGCAGGATTCTGAGCATTGCTCTCCTTCGCTTCTTTCTGTTGAGCTTCTCGTTCCATCTCTTGCAACTCTTGTTCAATTTCGTCATCGCTTGCGTTTTGCGGTGCGCTTAAAGCATCTGTAATCTCATCAGTAGTTTGAATTTGCTCTTGAATATCTTCTTTGAGATTAAGGACTTGATCTATATCGATCTTGGATTGCATGGATGTTAATGCCTTGGAACTTTGCGACAACAATTGGTATGTTGCAATGTTGTTGCTGCTGTCGTCGATCTTGTTGAGAATGGTAGATAATTGAATAGAGAGTTCTGAAGCATTTGTAAAAGATTTGGTGAGCAACCTTTTAGTGGACAATAAAGACTTGATTCTCTGTCGTGTGGTATCCTCATTCGTCTTCAATTGTTGCTGAAGTAAAGCTTTGATTGAATTCCTCGTAGATTCAATTTTCTCATGCAAGTATATTTCTCTCTTGGCAACTTTGAATGCATTATCTCTGAGATTGGCGATAGCAATATCTTCGCTTGTGATTTGCTCAAGCTTGAACTTGACTATAGCCTCATCAACGTCGCCAGCCAGCACATCGGCAGCCCTTTGAAGAAGACACACTCTCTGGTCTCTGGACCAATATACCAAAAGTATCTCAAATTCAGCGGTATTAATATCCTTTCCCAAGAACTCCAGTATGTGCTGTCGTAGTAAATGACCAGTGTAAATACAGTCAGAATAAACACCTTTAGTCATTTTTTCCTGGAGGTGCTTAAGTATATTGCTTCCCACCTCAACAAGCTGGTTCCATATAATGTATCTCTCGTTCACTAGTTTACACTTGGAGTCCACAGATTTAAACTGACCAAAGCCCGCCAGGCTCATGATCCTAGAGAGAAGTACTCGTGGAGAAAATGAAGAGCTAGCGTCTTTCTTGAGACTAAATCTTGTCTGATGTGATACGAATTGTGAAGCTGGCACGATTGTTTCAGCGTCTAGCATTGCCTGGAGGACATCGCCAAGAGATCGAGGCTTTCCAAATTCTGCTAGGGAGAGAAAGTCCTCCAAACTGGGCTCATTGACAGGAAAGGAAAATAAACCAAAATAATTCTTCTTAGCCAAGGTTTGAAGGAGCGAGCTCCATGCGTATATATTAGCATCATAGCCCTCTGGATTCAATAGTTTGAGTTTGGAAAAGTCATTGTATAGCGACCGTAGTCGGGAAGGCGTAAAGCTCTTGTGGTTTCGTATCTCGTCTTCTATGGTCATGGGGAGCCTCGCAGTTCAGATAAGTTTCGCAGACTTTAGTTTCGCAGACTTAGTTTCGCAGACTTGATAAGTTTCCCAGACGATAAGAATGGGCTAATATACACTATTTACAGAAAATAAATCTACTTGATGGACAACAGCTTGAGTCTATCCAAGCTCTCCTGGTCTTCAATTTGGTCTCGCAATCCGTCAACCACATCTAAGATAGCGGTAGCAGCAGGTGAATCGGCGTAATTGTCGAAAAATGAAACACCTTCGTCACAAGCTTTACCAATACGAGGGTCCAAGGGAACAGATCCAAGGAATGGAATCCCCAATTCCTTACAAAGTTGGCGTCCACCACCAGTGGTGGGCTTGAAAATTTGCGATTCTCCTTTACAATTGGGACACACGAAACCGGCCATATTTTCCACCAAACCCAAAATTTTGATATTGGCTTTCCGGCAAAAATCGATCTCTTTGCGTACATCCAAGAGAGCAACTTCCTGTGGTGTGGTCACAATCAAGGCTCCATCTATGCCTGCTTCCTTCATGTAAGAAGTTACAGATAAATGTTCATCAGATGTTCCTGGAGGTGTATCGACCACCAAGTAATCTAAATGATCTCCCCAGTTGACGTCCTTCAAGAACTGCTTTATGAGTCCGTTCTTCTTCGCTCCTCGCCATATAACGGCAGCGTCTGGATCAGGCAACATGAATGAGATGCTCATCAATCCAAGGTTATCAGCAACATAAACCGGAGATAATCCAAAATTGGACTCGTGCACGGTTTCACCTTCAGCCCCCAACATTCGTGGTAGTGAGGGACCGCATATATCTAGGTCCATAGCCCCAACTTCCAATTCTTCGTCTGCCGCTAAAGCCCATGAAAGCATGGAAGTGAAGGTCGATTTTCCAACTCCTCCTTTTCCACTAAGAACTAAAATCTTGTGATCTACAACCTCCAACCGTTTGTTGATCATGGGCATATCCGGATCAGGTCCCTTAGGCATTTGGGAAGCACATATACTTTGATTTGCGCAGCCGTTGCAAGCGTCATCTTTTCCAGCATCTTCAGATTCGGGTCCTGGACAGTGTTCTGGCTCAGGATTGGGTAGTTCCTGAATAGGCATAGTCAGTATGTTATGCTTGATGTGATTTGGGGTGGGATTTGTGCGTAGTTTAATAAATATATGTTGTATTAGCTGATAAGAATCGTACTCGGAGGTCATCGGGCTTATTAATATGTATTGGTGTCCGGATGTAGTATACGACTTTTAGTATCCATTCCATATATCCTAGTTTGACGCCAAGCGGCATCTAAAGTAGTTTCTTTCGTTCTCACCTAAGCGTAGTGCCAATACACGGTCTCTGTAGTTAGATACCCGGGCATTGATAGCTGAGTCGCCCACTTTTCGCGATATCATCTTGAGAGCTACCAGCAGGCTGAAATTGTTCTCTCCACTAAAATGGGGAATATTTGTGAGCAAATCGTTGATTGTCGAGTTCTCATCTCCAGTGCCATCTACCAAACTGATATACTTTGTGTAGAGACCTGCACCATGAGACCAAGTGGGCACAACAAAACCATTATCGGGGAACCGGCTAGTAAGATCTAAAAGCATAAGTTTCTTGCTTGGATCGTTGGAAACGACTGTTTCTGGTCCAAGATGGTTAATTATACAATCATGCGCTGGGTTCCAAAGTTTGGCGCTGATGAAGGAGCGACATGCTTGCCAATAGTTTCCTTCATTTTGCGCACGGATGGCCGCTGCTTCATGAAGAAGTGCATCGGGAATGCAAAGCTCTCGCAACACCTGATCTTCAGTAGAGCTTGCTTGTTGCATGTAATTAATGACACATTGACGGATTTTTGAGCGGCAGGTATCATCGTCATTGAGATGAGAATACACAAAAACTGCTTCACGCCAAAGCGAAAGCAGCTCCAAAACATCTCCCAATTCTGTCGAGAGCTGGTCTGTTTGGTGGCTTCCTCCAGACGTTAACACCAAGCTGAAGAGCCAAGCTTTTTCAATTTTCCAACCGGCTTTCTTTATCCAAGTGACTACGTCTTTTGTTCCGTTTTTAGTCGTGTGAACATACAAGCGTAGAATATCAAATGTATCATCTGCACCCACTTGGTTGCCGAATTGATCCACAACTTCACTGATGATATCCACAAGTAGCTGAGAGTCACTGTAGAAGAATTTGGATGCTAACACTTGCTGCCATGAGCCATCGGTAATCGCCTTTGAATCACCACTCAAAAGCTTGTAGATTCGAAGTAGATTATGTGGAATCAAGGCCAATGCATCAGTGTCTTTCCACTCCGTTACTTGGTTCGAAGCAATGTTGCGAACAGCATCGTCATTCGAGTCGACAAGAGTCAAAAGAACGGACAAATGAGGATTGGAAGATTCTTGAGCACAAATAACCGCACCTTTGATATCGCCAACGACTAAGCGATCAATGATATTTTGAAAGCTATCTTGTGATTTTTCACTCTTTCTGTCAACAAGTGAAGACAAATGTTGAGACAACCAATCTTTGAATAAACCTCGTTGCTTTAATAATTCTTGACGAGCAACAACGTCCATTTCCATCAAATCCAGTTCTACAGCGTACCTTTCGCGATCGAACAAAGCTGAAGCAAGGGCGAAATTATCGTCGTTTCCCAATTTGGCAAACGTAAGACCACCAGTATCAGTACAGCGAGGATAATCATTGTCCCTAGAGGTGATTTCGACATTCCCTATAAGATTGTCAATGATAGAACTGAGTGACAGAAGTTCTTTGGGCACAGCCTTGGCGGTGGTTTTGGGACTTGATAAAGGAGTGGACATGGATTGGACAGCTTTCTGGTTAAACTCGACAAACAAAGAACGGTCTAATTTTTCCAATGCCAAGTCATGGTCAAAGCGACCTTTTGTGTCTTGCATTTCGTTTGCTGCAACATATGGCAGTATTGCCGAGGTGTAGTCATTTGCTAGTTCTAATTGCACCAACCAGTCACCGGATACAGCCAAATTTGGTTTATTTTGAATGCTCTCAAATGCTGCATCGTTTGTAATTTGTGGTTCAAACGCTTTTTCTTGGACAATGTCATCCATATTCTGATTGCTGGGAAGAATACTCACCAAATTCTTAAGATAGTCAACATCATTTTTCTTGTCTCCACTTGACTTCAAAACTTCGACTGGAAGCAAACCTGGAGACGGAGGAGCACTTTGGTCCAGCTCAATGGTAATCTCACTGACCTGCTCACTCAATTTACGAGCCTTCCTGTCATCCTCATACACTTTCAAATGGTTGTCAATTTCATCAGCTACCAACTGCCGTTTGATGTTAATGGGACTGCTGGTGCTGAAATGATTATGCTTCCATCCGCCAGGAACGCCCCGAGTATAGTTTGAAAGCTTTTGATTTCTGAGCTCCTTATTATATCTCTTGTCTTCGTATACTTTTGAATAATCCAACACCGAGTTATTTTCTTCTTGAAACCTTTTTGGGGCCGTTCCAGCATCAGCTTCCTCTTCATTATCGTCTACCAAACCCCATATACTGAAATGTTTTACCTTGAATGTCCAAACATAAGTTATAGGGTCGTAATTGACAAACTCCATTCCCAGCTGACGCTTTAAAAGCTTTATATATGCGGTAGTTGAGGTACCGTCCTTGGGCTTCATTTTTTCGAGAGTAATAGTAGCGGGTATGTTCAAGCCAAAACCAACAGGCGGTTTTTCTTCTGAGTTCTCATACACTATGACATGTTTCTCGAGTATTTGTACAATATTGCCAAATAAAGATTCAGCAATGGAAGGTCCTTCAGATCTAGCGTTCTCCGCGATACTTGACAAGTCAACGGGAAAGTTGAAAGCTATTTGACCGTATCCTTTTCTACCAATGATGAAGTTTTCAACGTTCGAAAGATCTTCGAGCTTCATATTTTCGAGCTCTGCAATGCTAGGTGTACACCAGTAACCATCTGGTGATTCAGAGGGCAGGCCGTTCTGAGCTTGTGATTTGAATGCTTCTCCTTCAAAGGTTGACTTTCCATTTGAAGCCTCATCAGATAGTCTTTCATTAGTGGTTATTCTGTAAGGAAATCTTTTAGTTGCTTCATTCACAGACAAATCTTCTTCATCGGAGCTCGAAAGATCATCCTCGACAGCTTTGGTAGATGCTGAAGCGGTCCAAGAACTCACTATACGTCTCCTCTTGGGCTTGAAAACCTTGTCTGTATCAATTAAATGAAACTTCACTGGCTTGGAAGCTATGACCAAGCGTTTGACGTCGCCAATTGAACGGTTTTCCAACGAAGTGTAACTGCGCCTATAGTTTTTGTCCTTTAGAGAGGAATGCTTGATGAGTTTGCTCTTTTGTGTAGGTGGCTCAATGTAATCCGGTGAGCTGAAAATCCCAGAAGATGGAGCACTTTTGGTCTTGGCCTCGTACAGAAAGATGTTGAATACTTGGCCAAGTTTTGAAAGCAATGACGACTTGGGTGGCTCGCTAGACTTTTCCAAGTAAGAGAATTTCCTTTTCTTTTCTGGTTGAGTTTGATCTACTTCGTCACCAAAAACAGACTGAGTAATGGATTGTGGCATTGATGCTTCCTGGCGTTTGACGCCGGAGATGACGTTGTTGAAATTATACGGACTTGGTCCATTTTGTTGGTTGTTGGCAAGTCCCGAAGCAGTCAGAGTATTTGTAGAAAGGGCATTATTGGCCGCTGAAAACAATCCTCCAGAATTCAGAGCGTTTGTGGAAGCTTGCAGTCCGTTTGTGGCGTTTGTGTTGCTGGATCCAAATAATGAGGTATTAGCGCCTAAGCCAGAGTTATTGGAAGTAGAATTTTTGCCAAAAAGATTGGATGTTGATGAATTTCCAAATAAACCTCCGCCAGAAGAGGCGGGAGTCTTTCCAAATAACCCTGAAGATGTACCGTTAGGATTGGAGAAGCCGGTAGCTGCGTTCCAATTATTACCTTGCGATGAAGTGCCAGTTGGCCCAAACATTATACGACGAAAAATGTAAAATCACGCAAAATAGCGAGGACTGTAGGTCCTATATGCGTGTTGATCAGATACAAAGTACTGAAAACGGGGAGTTGACACAAAATTGTTTGTTTTTTATACGTCGTAGTTCCAATGTCTTGAAAGAACGAACATCAAAATATCAACATTTTCGTGATAGATGCAGGACTGGAAGAAGAGAGGATTCAAAGAGACATAACTATGATGGATTCGTATATGGTTTATGTAGATACGGAATTAATCAGCTACAACCTCCAATCGTGAAGAAAACTCAGCGTTGTACCAAAACTTGTCGAACTTGCGCAAATTACCCTTCGATTGGTACACCTTATTGGGCACTCCGACGTCTATAAGATAATGAACAACCTGTGCCTCGTCGTCGTCGTAGGTTAGCACGCCATTTCTGTAGGCGTAGAGCAAGCCTGATATGGGTAGACCCATGGAAACACACCAATGGCACTTGATGTGGAGAGAATCGTCCAGGACGGTTCCGGAACCTCCATCAATTCCAGAAGGTATATCCAAGGATAATATGCGTTTTGAGATATGTGGTCTGTTGCACCATTCGATTAATACACGGAGCTTCCTTTGCGCCTCGTCCTGATAGAAAATATCTTCGAGATGGTCGGCATAACCTTGGAGTGCATCGATGACTAGTTCCACTGGAGTATCAAGATCATTTTCAATGGTGGAAATTAAGTTTGTAACGTCAGAAGTGAGGACTTTTCCGCCAGTTTTCTCAAAAAGACTCCATTGGGTTTGAAGTTCCTTATCTACATCTTCGGTATTGAGGACAAATGCAAGCACTCTGATTCCGTGATTGCTGAGATGTCTACCAGTTGCAAAAGCTCGAGCCCCACAACGGCCGCTGCCGACGAGAATGAGCACAAGAGGCGGCAAATTATGGTTTTTCTTGTTGCTCAATCGAGTAGACCCGCCAAGAATATTTTTTGTGATCAAGCGTGAAAGGTGAGAGGCCGCAATTTCTGCCATCATTCCCGCATCGATGCCGAAAGTTTCGGTGGTCAAGCGCTCAATTTCCATGAGCTGAACTGGAGTACACTGCGGAACAACACTGCTTGTGTCGCTGTTGACAAGCTTAAAGTTGCGCAAGAACCGAGGTGATGCTGTATCCAGACGGTTAACAACTGGGCGCATAGAAGGCTGAGGTTTACTTTTGGTTGCGGTAGGCGCAGCTCCAATAAGGTCCCATTTGTCTCCCTTGGAGCTATCCAACACCATCTCGTCGTTATCATATTTTTCCTTCTTGATTTTATTGTGGTCCACTAACCGATCTCGAGGACTAGTAGTGTCGCCTCGCTGGAAATCTTCAAATGCTGATTTTTTATCAAACATGGCCAAATTGGCTTCGAAATCAAAGTCTGCACCCAGCGATACTCCATTGCCCCAAGCAGGGTTGATTTTATCTTTTTTGGACTTGATTTTGGGAGTGCTAGACCGAGTATTATCGGTGCTACTTGCAACACTAGCAGCACTGTTTGCCAATGTACGTACTGCTGGCCGTGAAAACACAATGGCATCGTCTAGAGGTTGGTCTTTGGTCCTATTATTCTTCTTTTTCGACATTTCTGGTGGAAGTTGAAGCATCTTTAAATCGCGGATTTGGTTGGTGATGACATTGGTGGTTTGTCCCGTGTCTGCCAGTCTCAAGAGAATGTGCTCCTTGTCAATATCATCAATGATACCGACGGAATGCGTCCCATCACGCAACGATAGGTCTACTTTGTAGTGTAGAAACTCTGTCATTGTGGTGAGGAAATCGACGCTGTGAGTTTTGGGTGGTGGGTACAGGATCGCGAACTCTCAGCAGCTAAGAGTGAAATTATTCATATTCATATATTCTATATTCATACATTTTCTTGGTAACTTGTCATGTAGCAATAAGCAATTGCTGATGTCCTCAATTAAGATTTCGTAACATAAGTTTGGCAAAGTAGTATAAAGATATTTTCATGTACTTTCTGTTTTAGTTCATATTTTCGTGCAATTAAGCATTTTGGTCATGATTGTCAGTAAAGAATCACATCTCTACTTTTCTTCTTTTGTCTTCCGCAGTTTGTCAATACGCAGAGCAGCCGTAAATGCAAGGGAAAATATCGAAGCACAAGCCAAAGTGGCTCCCGTATACTGGATTGCATTAAAGTAGCCAGATGGGCTGCTTGAGTTGTTATCAATCAAAAGACCAGCCAAAGGTGACCCCAAAAGATTTCCCACTCCACGGAACAAGTATAACATTCCAGACACAGAATAGTAGACTTCCATCCCAAACACCTCTGTTAAGCACGACGGTAAAAGAGATATAATTGGGCCAGATGCAACTCCATAAAGAACAACAAATGCCAAGAATGTGGCTCGTTGTGGAACCAACCACAACGCATACACAGTTATGGCACTGCAAATACAACAAATCAGCTGCATGTTGAGCCGACCTATGTAGTCTGCACCTTGGCCCAAAACGATCTTGGAACAGGCGTTGACAACATTGTTGATTGCAATAAAGGTGGCACCTTGTTTATCGGAGAATCCAAGCGTAATTCCATACGTGGACATGTAGATGAGAGGAATCAAGTAGCCCATGGACTGGAACAAACTGCAAAGCATTTGCAGATAAAATGCCCATGATTTGAACACTTGAAAATCAGAACGCACCACAGGAGAAGACGTTTGGTAGGTTGGATGTGGTTGCACGAAAAAACTGCAAGTCATCGTTATGCTCAAGGCTATCAACCCCAAAATACGAAGTGACCATCTCCATCCAACGGAAGTAATCAAAGCTCTTGAAAGAAATGCAAAAACCAAAGATCCAAACCCAGTGCCCGAAAACACAACTCCCATTGCAACTCCTCTGTGCCTGTCGTAATATTGTGGGCAATATACAATTGGAGGCATGTAGACCAAGGACGATCCAATGCCAAACATTAAGCCCTGGGTCATAGCAAACTGCCATGTTTCATGGCACCAACTAGCAATGATCATACCAAACGACAAAAGAATGCTTCCAATAAACATCGAGGTGAACGAAGAGAAATGCTTTCTTATCTGAGGCTGAAGAGCACCTCCCATATAAGTGATTGAAGTCGCAATGGTTCCGATAATAGCCACCTTGGCTGGCTCTACTCCAAATAACGGTCCCTTCTTGGAGAGATAGAATTCCTGGAAAATACCATACGTGAAACTCACACCGAAGACGGTAAAGTTACAAAAGAAGCCAGCAATAACACAAAGAATTCCTAGTTTTTTGATCTTCTTTATTTCGGCGGTTTTCAGAAGATGACGCTCGAGACTGGCTCTTTCGTCTTCAATGAGATCCATAATGAAAGATAAGCTTGTTGAATGTGGATTGAACCTACCTGTGGTTCATGGGTTTTCTTCGTTGAATGTAAAAAATGACGTATGTGGGTACTAATGAGTCAGGCAAATCAATATTATATGTGCGGCTGCTTCGTCATCGGTGAAAGTCGGGTGCGGGGTCCAAATTATTCTAACAATGTGAGCTCGAATAGTCGTGATAGATAACTTTTCCTTGCAAATATGAAGCTGAACAGTTCATGCTGAGATCGTAAGTTGATTTCGGTAGATTTTGTAAAGATAATCTTTCATAAAACTTTGACTGAATACAGCAAAAGTAAACGGAATCGTCGAGTTTCGCATGCTATAATGTAGAATAACCTGCTAGTTACACACGAAACAGAACCAGTGGATACTGTTAATTAGTGAAGTTACTTTTAATAAGTGAAATAACTTTAATAAGTGAAATCAAGCAATTGGTTGCAGCCACATTTAAACATTACTAAAAGTTTTGTCAAATTTGCACCCAAAAACCAATCATGATTCAATAATGCCTTCTTCCCACCTATATTATACTTTCTTGATTCCCTATGCCACATGATAGCAAACTACCACCCAACATTCTGCACATTATTCAAGATCTACAGCGGCTTAGTCGGCCGGAGTGGGGAGATGTTTCCCAGCCACACACCGTCCTCCCTGCAGTACCGCGCACTGCTCAACATGCGACAGACAGGGCAACAGTTTCATCAAACATGACTAAAGTTATTTTTGGCACCCTGGTAAATGAGGCCGTCCAGGAATCGGTGCGGCGAGAAATCCCCCTAGTGGTGGCGCTCTCGAAGGAAGATGAGGATTCGAGGTCTTTTATAGACGAGTACATGGTGAAAAACGACCGACTAGAATCGTTGGCTTCAAAGTTTGTGGCACTTAAATTGGTCGATAAGACGCCTGAAGCCACCCAGTTTGCTAGTGTTTTTCAAAAGTTGATTTTTCCGAGCCTCTACATTATTAGCAAGGGAAACCTACGCGAAGTCATCACCAAAGACGTCAACAAGGATGAGTATTTAAACCGATTATCAAAACTTTGTGAAGTATCTGACGAACATATTAAACCAAGAGAGAACGCGACGGTGCAGAATATGACGAATAACCCAGTTTCGTCGTCCACTACAACTTTACGCCCAGCCACAAAGATATTTTCAACTAAGTCGCAAGCCGAGGAAACCGCTCGGATAAAGGCACTTATTGAAGCCGATAAGCGGGAGCGTAAATCCGCAAAATCACTGAAAAGTTTTTGTATGAATGATCACAATCCACGGGCATCACTGGCGTCGCCGGTTCCCACTAATATGTGTGCACTTTCTATCAAGCTCCTAGATGGTACTACTGTACGACATGAATTTAAGGCCAAGCAGACATTGAATGATGTGCGCCAGTGGCTTGATGACGAAAGTGGATATACCATCTTGCCCGATACAAGCACATTTCCCGCATTTGCGGCTACTTCAGAACACCCAACTTCCTACTCCTTCTACACTCCCACCATACCTCGTATCACCTATAGCGTTACCGATGAGTTCGTTACGCTTTCGGACCTCAAATTGTGTCCACGCTCGGCTTTGATACTAAAACCGCTGTATATCAACAGACATGGCTCCTACGCCAATGGAGATTCTGGTTCTGTTCTTCGTGGTACCGCTGCGGCACTAAAACGGTTAGGAAATGCGGTATTCTCTTTCTTTGACTATGGTGTCGACGAAGCACTAGATGCAGTGCATGACGAGGATATAGTGTCTACTAGCGGACATGGATCTGATGATGAATCTGTTGATCCACATCCTACATTGCATTCATTGCACCGCAGAGATCATCGTGATGGTTCAGACGAAGATAACGAAGTCAACCTGAACTCTGAAAGAATGAGTCGGTCTCTGACTCCTAAACTCGGTTTGGCGCCGTCAATGAGTCGAATCCAAACCGTTCAAGGTGCCGCTCAAGGTACCACCTCTGGCTTCTCCCATGAAGACGAGCGTCCACAAGACATATAATACGAATATGATGAATGATTTAAGATGAAAATTAGCTCTAGTAGCATCTTAGTTTAGCATTTTCTCTCGCTCTAGACACTCTCACCAAACACTCTATTCTGGTCTCACTTTTAGTCTCGCACCATACACTCTTGATTTTTAGTCGCGCTTATCGCATTTCTTAATGGCATATGGACCAATTGAAGCTACATCATCTCGAGAAACTATTGGAGGTCCCGACGGCACGAGGACCTGTGCAGGCCAATGACATCTCAGTTTTAACCTGTGGATGCTTGGTATCAGAATCTGAATATACTTTAGAAAATGCCAATCCAGAGGAAGGTATTTGTCCACACTGTTCCAAGATAGGGCAAATTTTGGCCCCTATAGAGCCATTGAGGGAACTATATGTGATGTTGAAAGAGCTCAGAGCCTCCCAATCTCACTCGAAGTCCCGCAGACATTCATCTTCAAAAAAAAGTATCCAGGATGAACAGCGTCCAAATATGGATTTGCTTGGACTTTTCTACAATTATGCCAGAGAAGATCCCAAAATCTCTACATCAGCTGCTACCAATGCCATTCCTATACCCAATGCCAGCGACTCAGAAACCCAACTGGTACACTCGTCCGTAGCAAGAGCCCTAACTTCTCTTTCACTTTCACCGGAAGATAGGTATACGGATTCTATGGTGGACAATCGGCCATCTACCGCCTGGGAAACGGTCCTTCTTTCAGGTATGAACGAGCAGAGCGAGTACAACTTCAGCAAATGCTTTCCTCTTTATCGACAACTCACCAGCTACCAGACTCCACTACTGAAATCCATCATGTCGGCTCTCCCATTTCGCCTGGGTTCAGCAATGATTCGTAAATCCTTTCGCTATTTGACGACTTGCATCCACTCCTATATTGACCGTGGCCAGGGTCGCGAGGTCAGTAGATACGTCTTGTTGAGCCCTAAGCGGTGGGAGATCCACCTCATTAAGAACGACACCAAAAAGGCATCTTTGATTAGCTGTGGAAAGTCTTCAGGCGAGTTTGGTTCCGATCCCAATCTGGTAGCTGCTCCATTACTGGAGGGGATAGTTATTCGTAATGACTTTTCAGGCTCATCCTCGTCTACTACTACTGAAGATATCAAGCGACGGTTGAATCTGTGGGAAATGGTCCAGTGTCGTCTCTCTCAAAATTTGCTCTTGCTTTCGGGCTCTCGCGGAACTTTGAGGCTACTTGATATCAATGGAGCCCCATTGTATACGTACGTTACCAACTTTCCCATTCGGTGCATTGCTATATCTCCCAGTGAAAATCTCATAGCTTGTGCTATCACTGCCAAAGAACGAGTAAGTGGAAAGGAACAGCCATTCATAATTTTGCACAAGCTTCACTGGAATAATCTCTACTCAAATACTCGCCAACTAGTATCCGTGGAGCCCATTACCATCACCATACCTTATCGAGACCCTATCAAACTCATCAACTTTAATCTGTCGCTGTCGCATCTTGTGTGTTGCACGGTATGGGAATCCCGATACTTTGTCGTCAAGCTCTCAGGAAAAGGAGCCGGAGACTTTAACCGTCCTAGACTCGTGTGGACAGACGTGAGGGACCTGGGCCGAGATCCCCATCCTTCGTCGGATCGGGGCGATCGGTCCAGTGAAGATGATGTAATGATGGACAACGAGGGCATAACAGACATTCAATTTGGCAAGTCGGGCACTAATACCGTGGTATTAACATTTTGCTCGTTGAAGAATAGACCTCCGTTGGTTATACAACTCGAAGGAGAAACGATGGACCACAACTATTCGCATGGTGATGTTTTTTCCCTGGCTATCAGTGGCCATAGCAGCAACCACAGTTATAAAGATGATGAGGACGAAGATTTTGACCGAAGTTCGGCGATAAAATCGGCTTCTCCGCTCTTCAAAATCCATCAGGTCGGTACCTATATTCATAGAGTTGCCCTTCTGCCTCGTGGCGACGGCATGGCCTTTCTCGATCGAGAGGGAAGAATCTTCGTCGCTGCCACACCCAACTTTAGCAGTCGCCAAGCAAAAAGATTGGTTGTTCTTTTGGGCGAAACCATGGGTGCTGAACGGTTCACTCTTGCTGCTTCGATCCGATTTTCAGCCGATGGTTCCAAAATCATTGTGGTTGACCGTCGAGGACTCGTCCAGATTTTCGACTTTGCCAAGGGCGTCCCAGGCTCGGATGTCGACGTAATCAAGTGTAAATTGATTTCTTCGTGATTTTTCGCAGCCATGGTGCGGCGCAAGTACGAGACATCAATTGCGGGACTAATAAAGGAGTATGAGAATCCATGGACGTTATCCATCACAGTAAGCCTTTCTAGACCCGAAGATGGAAACGTTTTAATACTAATGGAAGTAGAGGAATCTTTTTTATACGAGCATTCGCTTCTATGGTCGTATTTCTATTTTTAGCCGCGGTTCTCGTCACATAGATTGTCAAACTAGCTACGGGGAGCTAAAGTAAGTCGTGTTTTGGTTCACGAATTATAGTATTGCATGGCCACTGGTAGAAAAGACATTGGATGATATCAAAACTTTCCAATGTATTATCTCGTCTTGTGTCATGATAAGATATCTTAGGGCTTGAAGTCTTTATGACACGGATATCGCAAATAGTAAGGTTGATTACATTGTATCAATTGTCAGAAAATGATAAGTTGGATACATTGTACTTTGACAGTTTTTCTCGTCAGTTGCCGAATTGGTTTTCATACAAAAGGAACCGACATTGCTGAAGTACCGGTCGAGTAGGAACACTGAGACGACATATCTAGCTCCTCGAAGCAACTTTTAATTAGTGTGACTGGGACGATGATCTGCCTTTCAAGTTGACGTTTTGACATGCAAAACAGCCCTCATTTAGCCCCACATCATGCATGAATAATATGTCTCGCGACAACATTAAGGTACTTGATACGAAAATAGAAACCTACCCGTTCAAATTTTTATACATTAAATTCTTTTAGTTATGGTGAGTACCTTTTTATATACCGTAGTCAATTGGGACAATACTAATGTGGAAAGCTTTACGATACATGAACATCTTCACAATTGCCAAATTCAACTAGTACGAGATTTCTCGAAGAATTACTATATATTAACCATGCTTTCATGATGTATGCTCTCCGGTTACTTTTTAAGAAAGACTGGCCAAAAAAATCTCGAACCCTTAGTGTTCATACTACAGCCACAGTGAGAGCCACATCGCTCTGCGGCTTTCCTGCGCGAAACGCAAGTGAAAATTACAAAGCATCTCACGATTTACAACAAAGATGACCGTACCAGAAATTTCTTCTGATGTGTTGGACCTCATTGGTAACACTCCTTTGATCAAGCTCAACCGCATTCCTCAGGCTTATGGTATCAAGGCTCAAGTGTATGCGAAAGTGGAACTTTTCAACGCTGGTGGCTCCATCAAGGATAGAATCGCCAAGAACATGGTGTTGGAAGCCGAGAAGCTGGGAAGAATTAAGCCTGGTTATACTTTGATTGAACCCACCAGTGGAAACACCGGTATAGGTTTGGCTCTTGTAGGAGCCGTGAAGGGCTACCGTACTATCATCACATTGCCAGAGAAGATGTCTAACGAAAAGGTTTCAGTCTTGAAGGCATTAGGTGCCGAGATTATCAGAACTCCAACCGAAGCAGCTTGGGATGCACCCGAGTCGCATATTGGTGTTGCTAGAAAGTTGGAAAAGGAAATTCCAAACTCGGTTATTCTTGATCAATACTCCAATGGAGCCAATCCTGATGCTCATTACTATGGTACTGGATTTGAAATTTGGGAACAAACCAAAGGAAAAGTGACCCATTTGATTGCTGGTGCCGGAACCGGTGGTACAATTACTGGTGTTTCTCGTTATCTTAAAGAGAAAAACCCCAAGGTTCGCATAACCGCAGCTGATCCTAAAGGTTCTATTTTGGCTCAACCCGAATCTCTTAACGACTCCACTGAAGGATACTTGGTTGAAGGTATTGGCTATGATTTCATTCCTGACGTTTTAAAGAGAGAAGAGGTCGACGACTGGATCAAAACCGACGATGCTGAGTCGTTCAAGCTTGCCAGAAGAATCATCAAGGAAGAAGGTATTTTGGTTGGAGGCTCTTCTGGATCTGCTTTACAAGCTGCCTTGCAAGTAAGCAAAGATTTGACCGAAGATGACGTTGTTGTGGTGATTTTCCCCGACTCCATCAGATCCTACCTCAGTAAATTTGCCGACGACGAATGGATGCAAACCAATGGATTTGACGTTGAAGAAAAAGAGTCTTCCTCCTCCAAGGCTGACGACTTCCTCACCAAGAAGACTATTAAGGATTTGGTTGCTGGAAAGGCACCAGTTGTCACTGTTAGTCTTGCTGACACAGTTTCCAAGACCATTGACTTGTTGCAAACGAATGGCTTTGATCAATTGCCCGTTTTGAACAACCAAGGAAAACTCGTAGGTTTGATAACCTTATCAAAAATTTTGAAGTCTCTTTCCACAAACAAAGTTCAGCCTACCAACTCCATCAGTTCCATCATTATCGACTTCCGCAAGTTGGCTGATTTCCAAAAGTCATTCAATATCACCAAGAGTTCTGGCTTTGCCAAACGTTCGTATGAGCCTATCACCTTGGACACACCCTTGTCGTTGTTGAACAAATTTTTCGAAACCAACTCCAATGCCATCATCACCGACAACGAGTATAAGCCGGTTCAAATTGTCACCAAGGTCGACTTGCTCTCCTACATGACCAAGCAGTTGGCGTACTAAGGACATCACATCTTAATATACATCTATAGAGAATATTGTAGAACACGATAGTAAACGAAGTTCAAGTGTTCACGAAGTTTCTGTGTTCAAATTGTTCAAAACAAGTTATGAACAATTATTCACGAAAACTTCCATCTATTACCACAGTTTTCGCATGTACAGAAGGTGGTAAGCGGTTCATCGGCAGATCTGGTTTGCATTTGGTAATAACTCACCTTTTTGTGTTTACACTTTCCACAAGTGAATCTGTCTGTTACAGCTCTTTTCTCGGTGGCTCCTTGAGCATCAAAAAGATTCTGTTTGTTGAGTTTTTCAATCTCCTGCTTCAAAGATTCTGGTGCCATTTCGTTGGGGTTCATGGTGATGAACTTGGAAGGTGCTATTTGGCCAGTAAGCAAGCGGTCTCGCAAATCTGGGTTCTTCTTGTTCCTCAAGTTCATGGTGAGAGTTCTTAATTTGTTTCTGTAGGCATCGTTGACCGCAGAGTATTCTTGCTTAAATACACCCAATTCAATGTTGCGAGCAACATCAAGAATCTTTTCGCTGGGATCGTCTCTTTCTATGGCCAATGCTGTGTAAAGAGCACTCACCGATGCATTTCTGGTGGAATCTTCGTACAAAAGAGTGTTCACTCCGTCCACCTTTGGATTTCTAGGGCCCTGGTGAAACTTGCTCTTTGGTGGACCCAGCAGCCGGTGCTGAAGAAGAGGATGGGGGAGCGGCGGAAGTGGATGAAGAAGAAGTTTTTTTGACATCACCATTCGCAGCACGCTTCTTGGCGTTCTTTTCGTTTTGAACAACGTCTCTCCATGTTCTAATCATGGATTTAACTAAAGTATTAATTTCGGTGTTTGTGCTGGTGCGGAACTTGTTGACAGTCACTCCTACTTTTGTTTCACGTAGAAGCTTCTCGGTGGGTTTCACGCCATCGTTGAGGATATTGAGGAGTTTAAGAATGGTCACGTCGTCGGTGGTTTTTTCCAAGTTGGAAACGGTAGACCGTATCTCTTTGGCATCCATGGTGAAGATGAAATTTCGCCTTCTCGCGAAATGAGATTATACAGGAGCCATCGAAAAGTGAGCGGCGGTCCAAAATAGTCAATATGGGTAATTGAGTCTTGAAAATGACGGTGTGTATTGTGGTGGTGGCTATGAGGCCAGTAGCAAAACTATGGCTTATTTGCTGGTCCCTAGGCCACTTTTCTCTCACCTAGTCTTCCTTCTACCGTCAGACTGTATGCAGGCTCCGCGATATTCACTTCTTCATGTTCTCAGTCTATTCATCTTTATTCCTTTTTTTTCACAATGGAAGACACCACTGTTGTCAGTATTTCCGGGCTCCCGTTCGACCAGACGGAAGAGCAAGTGATGGAGATAGCTCGCTCGGTGGGCCCTGTTGAAGAACTTAGACTCATCTTCGACACCATGACAGGAAAGTCTAAAGGCTCAGCCTACGTTAAGTATAGTGAACATGAAACGGCCGCCTCCGCTGTGCGCAACTTGAATAATCTTATGGTGGGAACCAGAAATATCAAGTGTAGTTTTTCGAGTGACCAGTTTATTTCTGGCTCGATGGGAGACAGCGATCCCATGAACCAGATCCCTCCACTTCCTTTGGGAATGCAAATATATGGTAACCAGAACCCAGCACAGGTCATAGCAAATGCTCTCTCCTCGTTGGACCAGACGGCGGCATACCAGATCATCAAGGACGCCAGACAAATGAGTATTGATAATCCACCATTGATGAAAAGGTTGTTGGAGCAGGCACCACAACTCTCGCATGCGCTAGTGGAAATATGTTTACTACTCAATTTGACCAACCGAGACCTCGTTGAGCTCTGTCTCAACCGGAAACAGATGGCTCTTGACGAGTTGACCGATGAGCACGCCGAATTGTTGCGACAGATATATCGACTCACCGATGAGGAAACTCGGTCGCTCACAGCGGACAAACGCAGAATTATAACCAGCATCAAGGAAGAAATAGATAATGGCAGCTACGGGCAAATATTGGAGACCACTAATGCATGATGACGATTTCTGAATGTAGACTAAAATTGGGAGGTGTAACTCTTCATAACTACTCTGGTAGCTCTAGCACAGATTCCTTCTGGCTACCCACCAGCAAAAAACCACAAGACACTCCGATATAGTGTAACGGCTAGCACGGTTCGCTTTCACCGAGCAGACCCGGGTTCGACTCCCGGTATCGGAAATTTTTTTTGTCGTTCAATACTCCGTGTGCAGTTTTGCGAACGGTGGTTTTTTGTTTGTATTCTCCTCGGAATCTTTTACATTTTTATTATAGCATTTTCACCGCATCATGAGTCGCCAAGGACCTTTCGTCGGCTCGACCATTCTCTTCGTCGGTCTGATTCCCTTTGACTGGGATGAATCCATGCTAAAACTGGTAGTCGCTGGCTCTGGAAATATCGTAGATGTTCGATTGGGATTCGATTTTGCAGGTAAAAACAAAGGATACGGGTTTGTGGAGTACCAGAATGCACAGGAGGCACAAAAAGGATTGAGCTTATTGAGTCAAATCATGATATATCAACCAAATGGTCAACCCAAACGCCTACGAGTCGAGTTGTCGAAGGAAGGTTTGCGTAGTGGAAATAACCAAGAGAAAGCTTTGCTACCATTGGACCGATCGCGTCTCCCTAATAATGTCCAGCTTCCCCCCGATATGCTTTTCAATGCCAATAATACGCCGCCTCCAACTTCGCAACAGAATTCATTACCACCACTGCTCCCACAAGCACCCTCTGCATCGTTCGCTGGAAGTCCCATGCCTCCTCATTTACTCTCTGCCAACAGTACGCTTCCTCCTTTTCCCAACGGAGTTCTGCCGTTCGAAATCCCCGATAAAATTAATGATACTTTGAGCAAGATACCGCCCGCTCAACTCATCGAATTGATATCAAACCTCAAAAACATTTTGACGGGACCAAATGCAGCTCGTGCAGCTGATGTGTTCCAATTGTCTCCGCACCTTGCATCGTCGGCCGCCCAGGCACTTTTGTTGATGGGTTTCATCGACTCTGACGTCATTGCCGAGTCAATGAAAAGTACTCAAGTCAAGCTGGAACCTGGGGTCAACTTCTCAAAACCGCCTCAGGCTCCCGTCCAAAATTCCCGCTGGCCCCATTTGCCTCCACAGACAGTGCAAAAGTTGACAACTATGGCGCCAGATCAGGCCGACCTCATAGCACAGGTATTGTCGATTCCCCAGGACCAAATTAATGCTCTTCCTCCAGACAAACAAACCATGGTTCTCACGTTGCGGTCTCAGTACTTGTAGCTAATTATATAATATAGTACAGCGCAATGACTTCTGCAATTACTTCTTCAATGACTTCTTCAATAACGGCTGCAATCTTGGCTACTGCCTTGGAGCTTTCCTGCATGCATTGCTTATTCGCAACCTTCAGTCGATCACGATCAGACGACACTACAATGGATAATTTTATGAGCACGGCAGTGTTCGATTTGGACCTAGATAGCGGTACACTGAGTACGGATGTCCCAGCATTACTACGTGCAATCTTGAACAGAACGTTGAATGGGGGTCTGTTCAATAAAAAATCTGCATCGGAGAGAGTCATAAAGTCATTAAAGGACCTTCCATTACTGTCGATTTTGGAGAAAGAGTGTCCTATTTGCTATGAACTGTTCGAGGAGAAATCACAAAAGAACCCCAAAAAGCCAAATACTTGTCCAGAAAAGGTAGTTGGTGCTAGTCGGGAAATCAAAAACCTTCTTTTGAAGATGAATGACAAATCGTATCAGTTTGTAGAAGATGCGCAGCAGTTTGACGACCCATCACTTTTCTTTCCTGATGACGAAGTGGCATCGAGCCATACTCGTTTTCCAATGAGAAACATAATTACCTTGGAGGAACCGTCGCTGGAGCAGATTCTACCTGGTTCAATGACAAGAGAAGATAAACTAAAGCAACAGATAAACGAAGCAGGCCATACTCCCGTCAAAATGCCAAGCTGTGAGCATATCTTCGGAAGGGCATGTATCATACAATGGCTCAAAAGCAGCGTAACATGTCCTCTTTGTAGGTCAGAAGTTGAGGTGGGACAGCAATCAGATTCTCGTGTTCGCAAAGCAGAAGAGCTTAGGGATACAACCCAGCTTGTTTTCAACGATCAAGACAATGCTATTGACCATTTGGCTAATCATCTGACCAATGTTTTTTACCCTTACAGAAGACCCTATGCTCCACAAATCACATCGCTCACAGACTCGTTCATACCACAAGCCATTGCAACCCCTTCCCGAGAGAATGCCGTGGGGTGCCCCGAGCCCGAACTTGTGATCCCACGGCCATTTCCTATAGGTGAGGGCCCCATTTTGGTCAGCCATACAGTTCCTGTAGCAGCAGTGAGTACTGACGAAAATTCACCTCGAGGTGCATGGCCATGGCTTCGCAACCTACAACCGCCTTCAGCGAACAGAGGTGGTGGGCCAGACCGGTCTCGAAGATCTCCACTGGCACAGAGCAGAAGTCACCCGTACACACGGCCGGATGAAAGGCAGTAGGAAAGGAACTGAAAAAAAGTGAAAAGCTAAAGAAGTGACAAGCTAATCGAAGAGAAGGGTCACCGCGAAAGAATAGCAGAATTGAATATGAAGGCTAAGACAAAAATATTACAGGAATATGTGGGGAAGAACAAAGCTGAAAGGACAATTGGTGGGGTACAAAGGAAGATAAAGAACAAAAGAGACCGTACGAGGACAAGCGAGAACCTACGAGAACAAACGAGAACAAGGATTATCAGATAAAGCTATTCGACCATTTCATTTCTGCTTGCTCCTCACGCAATGCGAGGCGTCAGAAGGCGGTTACTGAACTTTCTTTTGCAGCCGCGCAAAGCCTCGAATAGCATGAATGATGTTCTGGGGTGTCTATTTGTTGCCAATGGGTTTCCGAGCCCCTTCTAATCCATTGTCTTATTGGTCAATTTCTAAGGTTTCAGAGCTCTTTTTCTTTCAGAGCTCTTTTTTTCGGTGCTTTCACCTCCCAAACTGACATTTACCGCTGTGTTCGAGCTCCGCACTTTTAACCGAAGTGCGGCGGCTTTTCGTCCGATTTGCAGACGGCTGTCTAATTCGGGCCGAGTCCTGCACCCCGCGCAGGGGATGATGGGCCTGTCAATTTTTCTTTATTTGTGCCCGGTATATCTGGATGGACCCTGGTCCTTGTTACTATTAATCGAGCGTACCGGTGCAAACCATGGGCGAGTCCAAAGATTGCGATTCTCTGCTATCGAAGGGGTCAACACGCTATTTTGAGTTCCCTTTTCACTGTGATGACGTTAGATTAAAAGACACAAAATCGAGTCTCGAATCGGGAATAAGGTTGTCGTTGGCCCACTACCAAGAAGCACACGAGTGTTTTGTGAACGAAGAGTATTATCGAGCGCTGTGGCGCCAGCGAGAAGCAGAATCGGCTGCTGAGGAAGAGGTGTTGGAAGTAGATCGTGAATCATTAAGTGAAAATCATTTGGTGGGGTCACCTGGAAATAAGCCAGTGATTCGCTTTTTCACCCAGAACGAACCGGGAGTCATAGCAAGAAGAGTGAGAGATGCACTTGTATCTTATTCGGGAAAGAATGAGCCAGCTGTGGATGCAGAGGTGGAAAACTATGTCATCAATTGCGTAGCCCAAAGAGAACCCAGGAGTCACAAATGGGACGACGATGACCTTGTGGCTTACGTGGGCGAGTTGGTGACGGAAAAGTACTTTGATGACCACATCGATGATTTTGTTGATGGGGTAACGTCGCACATGTACTTTAACGTGATGCTGTATGAACCACTGATGCAAAAACAAATCGAATGCCCCAATTTCTATGCCAAATACATTCTGGTATGGAAGTACGATGGTGATTTCCATACCATGTATGACTCGCAATGCTTTATCGATGACTATTTTTCACGTCTGCATGTTATGTCTGGTGACTGCTGGGGCAGTATGCGAGAATTGCTTCAGAAAAATGGCGTGTTGATGAATGTCGACAAGTTCCGTCATTACTTTCGCCGAAGCCAAACTCGAGGCGAGCACATCGAAGTGGACGAAACCAGTATATATCTGTCCCACGAAGATTCTGCTGCCATCATGGACTACTCACCATCATACGAAACTTCCAGCGAGAGCTCAGTGCCTCGGTCTGTAAAGGCTGTGCACTTTGAACCCGCGCCAAGATTGCTTCATATAAATCAGCAAGAAGCACCGGCTTATGTATATTTAGATGCCGTCGAATAGCATACATAGATGATAGAAACGCACACTACAAATTATCCTTGAAATTGCTTTATGTTTTGTACTGATTTTATGTCTTCCACTCTTCTCTACTTTCGCCTCTTCTCGTTTTTTCTCCCTCAATTTCTCCCTCACTTCTCCCTCACTTTTCTTCCTATCTTTCTCACCTCTCTCTTCTCTCTTCGCATTTTATCCGCGCGCTCATCTTTACTACCCCACAGTGCTTTCTATTAAGCTGCTTGTGGGATCCAGACCCACCCCACGTCATCATGAGTGACGAAGACGAGAAAGCAAAAAAGAGAAGACGCACTCTAGGTTCTTTTCCTTGTCCTGACTGCGATAAAGTTTTCACCAGATCTGACCATCTTGCGAGACATCACCTCAACCATGATCCCAAAGAAGTGTTCGAGTGTCGGTTCATTATTAGCCATTTTGGAGGCGAAAAACGAAAGTGCGGTAAGCAATTTGTCCGCAAAGATCTCCGAGATCGTCATATGAAAAGACATCTCGATCCAGATCCGAAAACTTTGACAGCCTCAAAACATTCAACTGACTCAAAAATTTCGTCTGACCAACTTTCGTCGGACCAGAGGCTTCCGCCTGAACAGCAGCGGTCGCTTTCTGAGTCCTCCACATCGTCACCAATGTCCAAAATTCAAAAAGATGCACCCTCAAATGTACCTTTGTCTGCAATTGGGAACCGTGAAAAAAACTACGAAAACCCACATAATATCCAAACTCCAGTCTTTCCACCCAATGTTCCGCCTTCTGTTTCGCCGCTTGTAACTACTCCGAATGGCATGAACTCGGCGCTCACTAGTTTGCACGGATATCATCGACCTTCGGCCCCCAATGAGCCGCTTCCTCAACCCCAGAATTTTGCTTGGCCCGAGCCGTACCACCAACTGATTCCACCTCAGCTGCAGCCACAACTTCCCTCTCCTGGTCAATTTCCCTTGAACTCGCACATTCCATACTCTCAAACCGATATTCTCTCTTGGTTATTTACAGACTCACCTCCTAATGCAATTCCCGCTAATGAAATGTCTCCCGGACACCAGCTCAGAAACGAGATCTTCACGTCTCCAATTGTCGCTTCACCGCTTGGTGGATCACAAGTATCCCCATTTGCTAATAACTTAATACACCAAAATCAAAATGTGAATCACGAGCAGGCTACGGCGGACCAACTAATGAATGTCAACGATCCATATCGCAATTATGGGTTCCAAGATTCCAACGTTTTCTCCACGATCGAAAATCCGTTGGACGAAGTTTTCTGGAGAAATTATCTGGACCAGCTTGACGGAGTTGCACGGAAAGCTCGCATGGCTTCAACAGCATCCTCTAGCTCACCATCGAATACTGCCGAATCTGGCTCCTCTCCTGATTCTAGCAGTACCAATAGCTCACGAATTGGCATCAAAATTCATCCGTTCATTGAAGAACATGCTTCCAGAATTAATACTCCCCACAAAAAGCACCTTTACATTGACACCCTAATTCTCGACCTGCTACTCAAATGTCTTCCGTCAATTACCAGAGCCAGTCTCAAGCTAACCCTCCAGCATACAAATGTGTCTTTCACTGTGGAAGACCATCTTTCCTTCTATCTCTCAGTTTACTGGCTGATATTTCATCCTCAGTTCTCCATTCTTCATAAGCCATCGTTTGATACCAAGAATTGCGAGCCGCCTCTTCTTTGGGCCATGATTATTGTTGGATGCAATTACTGTCACTCCGCGGAAGCGGCGTTGGACAACAAGAAAACTCCCGAACGGCTCTTGAGTGATCTTGTCATTCCTCCAATAAGATACGTCATTTTTGAGCACGAAGATTTCAAAACACCAATCAGACTTTGGATCTTACAAAGCTTGAACCTCATAGAGTGGTGTGAAAAGAACTTTCTACTGCGACGGATGCACGAACGAGGACATATTCATCACGGCACAAATGTACAGCTTCTTCGGCGATCGCCTCTATTAGGTGGAAATCCAGCCTCTAAGAATAAAACGGGCCAAACTCCCGGCAGTACTTCAAGTACTGGAGAAGATGAATCGGATGCAGATGCCGCTTTGAACAGCTCCAACGATGATACAACTGATAGCGATCTTTTCATAAAGTGGTTGGAATCTGAGTCGTTAAAGCGTATCACATTCATGACGTTCTACCTTGATATCATGGATTACATCAAGTTTCGGCACAACCCGCAAATTGCATTTTTTCAGGTTCAGCTTTTGAATCTTCCTTGTGATGACGAGAACTTGTGGGAGTCGTTTGAGGTGAATGGATCGTTTCGCAAGATTGTGAAGCGTCAAAGAAAATTACAACAACAGCAACGCAACCATATGCCGAAGAAGGACTCGAGTTTATTCAGAATCAAGAGCGGTGATAGTTTCTTGAGTGTGTTGAAGAAATTGCTTCGTTCTGGTAGCAATCTGAAGAGCTGGCCGGTGACAAAACTCTCCTTGTTCAACAGAAAATTGGTGTTTGCTGGGTTGGTATCATTGATGTATCAAATGCAGCAGACGGAACTTCAGAATAGCTGGTCGCTTCTAGCTTCGAATCATACCAAAGGAGCTCAATCGAATAATAGTCTACTACAACAATGGAAAATCACCTTGACAAATGCTTTTGAGAAATGGAATACAACTGTGAATGGCCCTTGCTGCCAGCCATCTTTGAAGCCACCATCAAAGCTCTTCATGAACGTGTTGACGACGCAATGCAAATATGCGCTTTTTCACTTGACACAGATCATTGGTATGGGCGATATAAACCATTACGATATTGCAATTTTTGGTGGGTCCCCAGCAAATATGAGTGTCGATGCCTCTTTGAAAGATCAGTATATTGTTCAAGCCAAATTAAAGAAAATGTGGCAGAAGAACAAGAATGGTACTGACTTGATTAACCTCAAAGGTGTAATTCATTGCTACATCCTACTCTGGGAGTTGATGTTGGGTCCTTCAGATTACAGTTTTCTTGACTGGCACGCCAATCAAGATTACTTTGATGGCATGTATGCTACTGCAATTGCTACTCTAGTGTTGTGGAGTTATGTCTTTTCGATCTGCGGTAAAGAGTCCCAGGTGTACAATGAGGAAATTGGGAAGTTACAAACATATGCTGATCTTTCTAAGATAAGCACTGAAGGTGGGTATGAGTACTTGAAAAGAATACGGATGGTTTTTGATTCGAAACTGGAACCCAAGTATGACTCTACCGGTCAACTAAAAATACATCGGTGCTGTGAGATTCTTCCATCTATCCCAAAGAAAAATAACATAAGTGGTCTCTGCTTTTTAGTGGGTACTCGGTTACTCGAAAGTCAATGGGACGTGATTCGTGAAAATGCCAAACTTATCATACATTGTGGGTTTAGGTCCATTGGCAAGACGAATGCAACATGCTCCAATTTGTTTGAAAACGAACTAGATTGAGTTCTATATAATGGCTAAAATTATCGTAAGAGGAACGTCATGGCTAAAATGGGAAATGTAGGGTAGAATGCTATTAAACCAATAATACGGCATTCACACAACCGTCTCTGTCTGGCTCGTTGGTGATCTGAGCATACTTACCCCACACAACTTTACCACCAGCAGTAACTAAACCCAACTCCGAAACATTGACTTCGATGATGGTTCCCTTGGTCAATACTCCCAATTGGGTGTACATGGGTGACTGAGGGTTCTTCTTGACACCCAAAATAGGAAGGAAAACCGTGACTCCCAACTCAGGGTGGGTCACATTGGCCTTTTTCTGTCTTAATGCCGAAGGACGAATAATCCTCTCCATCTTAACTGGTCTACGAGTGAACCCTTCTCCCACGAATGTATGCTTGGTGATCATTCTCTTCCATGATTTTGTCTTCAGTTTTCCTGTTTTGATGACCTTGAACATCTCTTCCTCGGAAATACCCTTCACCTTGGGTAATGGTACGGAAAACTTATCTGCTTTCTCCATTCTCTTTTGCTTGATCGAGCTACTGATAGCCTTGGCAGTGTTGGTATCTTTACGGTCCAACAAGTATGTGGGCAACGCCTCGCCGTCGTTTTCCTTTGGTGTGGATGGTCCCTTGACCTTGGACTCCTGGTGGGCCTTTATCTTCTTTTTCATGGCCACCTTCTCGGAGTATCTCTGCTTGGCAAACTGCTTTCCTCTCCAGCCCTTCAATGTTTGGGCATCCTTGGCCACTCTATGGCCCTCTCTGGCAGCTCTCTTTCTCTTACGCTCCTCGTGGTCCAATCTACGACCATGCTGCTTTATGTGCTTTTCGATATATTCGTTTTGAGGCATAGTTATCGATGTGGGGATGAGATGAGCTGCGACAGAAAAAATTCCCTAGGCGATGTTCCTGCACAGGCCTCGCAACACCCATCAGGGCTGCGAAATGCGATGCGATGAGATTGACAGGCAATATGACAGCGAATGTTGATGACTTGCTCCAGGGTATTATAGACTCCGCCGAGGCAACCCAGCGCTCCGTAAGCGCGTTAGACAAATCCTTGGATGCCGACACAGTGCCGGAACTCGTTCAAGACATGTTGACGAAATTGGGTCAATCGGCGCCCGAAGGTTTGTCGTTACTTTCATTGAAAAATAGCGCTTTGCTTTCTTATATCAACCAGTTGGCGCTCATCACGACGTTGTGCCACCTCAAGAGAATGCATGGTGACGACGTCGAGGAGGCCAGGAACCAGGCGATAGAAAACTCCATTGCACAGCGGGTCTGCTTGGAGAAAGGTGTGAAGCCGCTTGAGAAGAAACTCAATTATCAGCTCGAGAAAACGATAGGATCGTATGTGAAGATGAAGGAAAACGAACAAAAGTTGGAGCAATCGCTCGAGAAAAATGGATCTGTTGAAGATCTGGATTCTGACGATGAATCTGATGATGAAAAACTTGCCCATAGACCAGATGCTACTGCCTTGGCCAAGATGTCAAGACCAAAAGATTCCGACAGTATCAGCACTAAAGAAAAGTATAAGCCTCCAAAAATCTCGGCTGTGGCACCTCCTACCAAAGACGCTCCTGTGCAGCGTAGTAATCGTAAGCTTCAAAGTATGGAAGAATACTTGCGAGAAAGTTCCGATTTGCCCCAAGTGGACCAATCTATTGGTACAAATATCGTCGATCATGGTCGTGGTGGCATAAAGACACAAGCCGAGAGAAAGAAAGAGAAGGAAATTCAAGACTACGAAGAGAGCAATTTTATTAGATTACCATCAACGTCCACGAAAACATCTGCCAAGCAAAAGCGTCACAATATGATGAACACATTTGCTGGAGAAGACTGGTCGATGTTCAATAATACCAGGGACATTTCTTCCAGTACGTCTCGGAAACGCAAACCAAATTCCGTATGGGACCGTGTGAAGCGCAAGAGAACATAGATGCAATTCATAACGAGTATTTGATCTATATATCATAATAACACATACATTACATTCACGCTACAAACATGAAGATCCCTCTCCAGTATTTGGTCGTGACTTGATCAACAACAAAAGTATCGTAGCTTATACCGACATTAGTTTGGAGATTCTCCTCCTTCTCTTTTTTTTTCGTTTTCTTTTTTTCAATTTAGCTTTTTAATTTTCCCGACCGTTTACCATAATAACAAATAAAATAAAAATAACATGCAAAGTATTGAACTATGCTCTTCACTTCTCGACATACCATTGTTGGGCGCCGTGCTGCACTGCAGACTGGTACTGGTTACTGTTGGGCTTATAATAAGTAGTCCCGACAAATGGTGTATCGTTTGAAATTTGCATGCCCGAGAATCTAGAGATGTTTTGGGCTGCGTCGTACTTCAAAGAAGGCTTGAGCATACCTTCATCCTGGTATGGTTCCCCAAGAATGTATTCAGGGTTGTGAGCAACGTACCTGTTGGTTGAGTTGTAAAGAGGACGTTGCATGAATCCAGGTTGATTCAATTGTGGTTGTGAAACCATTTGAGGGTACAGAAAGCCACGCTGGTGATGAACATAGGGCATTTGAGCGTTCTGTGAGTTGTTGAAGCTATTGCTTCTTCTTGAGCTCTGAGGAACAAATGTATCGGGATTCACAATGAATTCTCCGTCTGAATTCATGTTTGTAGACACACTTGTCGAGGACCTCAGCAAGCCACTGCCATTCAAAATAACATTGATCTTCAGCTGGATCCGTTTGCCAAAGCTGGATACAATCTTGCAATTTTGAAACCACTTCTTGATGATTTGAATTTGCAATGGCTCCATATTCTGGCGGTAGTTTAATGGCAATAACACCATCACATTTTCCATGAGTGGCTCTTTAAAGTTGGCGTTGACAATAACCTCAATGAGTGTTTGTACAACATAATTGCCATAAGGATCGTTAATCATCTTGTTCAAATCGGAAATAAGGATTTGGTAGCACAAATCGTACTTCAAGCAGGAGAAAGCATCAGAAATTGGTTCGTTATTGAAGCAATTTTTCAAAAACTTTTCAACCACATTGGACGAAAATTTCAACTTGCACAAATTGCTTACACCGAATCTAACAAAGTTGTTGAACACGGCGCGGTTAATTGGCAACGAATTGATGGAGATCAAATATTGCAAGACATAATTACCAAACTGATCATTGATAAGTTTAATAAAGATTTCGAATGTCAAGATTCGAGCCGAAAACTGCGATAACTGTTCGGTGGTAACATGATTCAAGCATTTTTGAAGAACGCAGCAGCCATGCTTATGGGTTGCGACCACTAACAAGTCCTTTATGATCGAATCATAAATGAACTGACAATCGTCAGCCGGATACTTGTTCAAGATCTTCTGGATGACATGATTGCCATTGAGATCCTTGATCAACTCGATGATATAAGGACTCAAGCCATTAACTATCAATGTGAGCTGGTACTTGTTGGATACAGCATCAATAATCTTTTGGAGGGCACGAGTGCCATGCTGGTTGATGGAAATCTGAAAGAGGTTATACAGCAATGATTCTAGTATGAGAGTGATGTTTTGTTCACTGCAGTAAGCAATGAGTTTCTGGACCAAGTAGTTGCCGAACGGGTCAATGATGAGCTCGTACATGTTTGGACTAACTTGCGAGAAGATAACGTCGAAATTGGCCCTGCGCTGTTGAGCATTGGAAACCACATGTTCGTCAATTTTCTTTTGAAGAAAACGACATCCATACTGGTCTTTAGCCAAGCTTAGGATCTGGGGCCTCAATTGTGTGAGAGGTACCTTGTTGATGGAGAGAAGGTACTCTTTGTCGATCTTGGTAGGATGCAGCAACGAAGGTGAAAAACCGGTGGATCCGGTTGCGGAAGTCGCAAGTCCATTAGTCCCAAAGTTCTTATTGTAAGATGACGCCGAGTCAAGGTTGAATGTGGGGAGCAACAAGTTATTTGGAGCGGCAGAGGTGGCCGAAGGGGTCTTTTCTTCCCACAAATTCAGCCTTGATGCGGGTGCTGCGGGCGGCGTTGTAGGCTCGATAATTGAATTGATGGAGTTGATGGAAAGATTGGGACGATGAGACATAATGAAGCGGTTGTGGGATAAATCACAAATCACCCCTGAGATTAAAGTCGAAAAGCTTAAAAGGTAAATGGGGTAATAACCGATGTCAAATGAAACGTTTTGTCCACTAAAACGATAGACGTATAGCCCAGAGTAATTATAGCTAATTGAGAATTTGTTTGTGCCACCCAATCACAAATATTTCCCGTTTGTGAAAGTACGTGGCAATGCGACAACACTAACACAGAAAATGCCAGAGTTATATACCGAGTCCTGATCCGGATCCAAGAGGTGGTATGTGCAGGTGACGCCCCACCAAGCCCGCCAAACCTATGCAGCGCAATTGATGCATAGTGGAGCAAAGCGAGAACATGCAGGTGAAGGTTTGTGTCAGTGGCTTCTGACAATGATCTACAATACAGAGATGATGATTACAGTAGGATTTTGAAGAAATATACTTGGTAGTTGTAGATAACCTGGGTGCAGGAGCGGTTCCTCTGCACCATTCTCAACAGGTGCAGATGCAATCCGGATTGTATACAGGAAGGTTGCAGGATTAGACGATGAGGAAGTTTTGGGATTGACGATAATTTGGCAACAATAGTTGGGTTTTATGTGGCATATACCGGTTGGGTAAAGAATTGTAGTTTCACGTGCATGATTTGAAGCAATCACCACACCGCAAGTGGCAGCATTGATGCACCATATTTGAGGAGATCCTGATTCAGTGCCCTAGACAACTGCCGGTCTAGAACCAACAAAGGAGGTGCGTGCCTCCTTGAGTAGCCGTCCTGCAGACGAGCTTGTGCTGCAAACATTTCCGTAAATAGAAGCGGCTGTGTACCGGAAGCGCGTGTTGTCAAACAGACGCGACATTATGTGGGTGCGCGCTACTGTGCGACAATCGATTCGAGGTGTCAAACCATTGCGCTTACGGTGACGAAATTGAGCTAATATTTTATGGCTTATGGCTACTAGTAATCTTGCCTCGTTCAATCTCTCAATCTGTTATATCTATTCAATCTGTTCAGTCAAAATTCTTTTTTGACTCTACTTTGTTAAATTCCTTATTTTTGAATTTTTCACAATTTCTTAATTTCACAATCTCACAATTTCACTTATCAACATTCCACTACTTTAACAAATTACAGTCTTCATCATTTATTATTCATACATCATTACATTCTGCATCACAAATGTATCGACCCGCCTCAATAAACTTATTCAAAATCTCTTCGTAGAAAATAAACTCATCGCCGTGAATACTCAGTATGAGTCTTCGCCGCAACCGGTCGTTTTGCCGGTCTATGATAACTTTTCGCCGCGCTGCAGCTTCTTGTGTCAGCGGAAACTCACTAGTCATGAATCCAGGAGGTGAGGGAAATTTGTCATATAGCTGTGATTCGGGTATTTCTTGTACCTGTTCTCCTGCCTTTCTATAAAAATCGTTAATTTTATTCTGTTCTGTTCGAGAAACACCAGTTTTGCGGCCCGGTGGTTTCATGCCAAAGTTGGGATTGGGCTTAAAGTCCGTCAAGCACCAAGGGTTCTCTGTTATAGGATTGGTGGAGAGATGAAGATGAAAGGATGGATCCTCAAGTTGGGATTGAAAATACTTGCGTAAGAAGTCCCGTCTTTGAAGCTTCGTTGAATTACGGGGTATATTGATGGTCTGGGCTGTTGTGTCTCGCAATTGTCGTTGGGAAGTGACTTTAGGTTTTGCAACCTGAAGTATTCCAGTATCCTGAGAATCTTCTACCACCTCCTTTATTGGCGAAGATGGGAGCTTCACGTAGCACGGTCGTTCAGGCGAGTTCGTGGAAACTTGCAGAGAATACTGGGTCGGAAGCATGTTGAATTCCGAGTCAGTATATTCCTGAACGTTGAATGGTTTACCTTGATACATGAGGATTTTGGTGGGGGACCTTCTGGGACCGTTTTGCTTGACAGGAGATGAGCTTTCATTTGAATTGTGGTCGATTTTGTCGATTTTGTCAATTTTGTCGATTTTCAATTCGGGTTCAGTTTTTATTCGCTTCTCACTTTCATCAGTCTCTTCTAGAAGACGCTTTTTTTGTGAAACTTTGTCTAGATCCTGCAAGTCAGCGGCAGACTCGTGTCCTATCTCCCTTTCATGTCTCAATTCATTATTTTCACGTCTCAATTGCTCATTTTCACGCTTCAATTCACGCACTTTCTGCTTATATTGGTCCTGATAAGATGCCTTTATTTCTGCCAACTTGGCCTCAAATTCATGTTTCTGAAGTTCTAAGGTCCGCTTTAACTCGTGGTTCTCCTTCTCGAGTTTCTGGAGTCCTCGTCGAATAAGGTCCAGCATCAGTCCAGTTGCAAATAATCTCAATCGCGTTTTGTTTAGTGAAAACACACACCCGTACACCCGCAAGTTTTAATTGAGTGCGACAGAAATCATCAACATCATGTTCGGGAGTGCCAATTCAGGTTTTGGAAACACCACTGGTGGTGGCCTTTTTGGCAATAAGCCGGCTAGTACTGGCTTTGGAACCGGAAACGCATCTGGAAATACAAATACTAGCCCTTTTGGTGCCTCAAATACATCTAGTGCTCCGATGTTCGGCAGCTCATCGAATAACAATACAACCAATAATTCTACTGGAGGTCTTTTCGGGGCGAAAAATACCAGTGCTCCTTCTGGAGGGCTCTTTGGAGGACTGAACACTGCCAACACTGGCGGAAATCAACCTCAAAATAATACCCAAGGTGGTCTCTTTTCTCAGGGAAACACCACCAACCAATTTGGATCGGCACCTAAATCCACATTTGGGGCCCCTGCTAGCTCTGGTGGTCTCTTTGGGAACAACAATAACACCAATCAAGCTTCAGGGGGCGGGCTTTTTGGAAACTCATCGACAACCCAAAACTCCGGTGCTACTTCTGGTGGTCTTTTTGGCAGCTCCAACACCCAGAACCAAACAGGTGCTACAGGAGGTGGCCTTTTTGGATCCAACAACAATACAGCCAACAACAGTTCTGGCCAAAGCTCACTTTTTGGCTCGAAACCCACGACTTCTACAGGCGGCTTGTTTGGAGGCAATTCTGGCACCACCAACAATACATCTTCTGGTGGCCTCTTTGGTGGGAACAGCAACACAAATACGAGTACCGGAGGTGGTTTATTCGGAAACTCTAATACATCGTCAGCTCCCAAAACCGGTTTATTCGGTGGAAATAATCAAAGTTCCGGAGGCCTTTTCGGTGGATCCAACCAGAACTCAGGAGGTTTGTTTGGAAATAACAACAATACTAATCAAGGCTCAAATAGTCTCTTTGGCGGCGCCTCCAACAACACACTCAACAACACCAGCAATTCTCAGCAACCGCAACTCACAGCCATGACTCGAGTAAGCGAGCTTTCACCACAAATGAAGAAAGAGCTAGAAGACTTTGACCAGTATATCAACACCCAGCATTTGATTGCCAGCACATTACAGGCAGATATGGAAAAGCATGATCATCTTATAACGTCTATACCGAAGGACACTAATTATTTGCATAACAAACTTACTGCGGTTAACCAAGGGTTAAGGTTTGATTTCAGTCAGCTCCAGAATCTCAAAGACATAAATAACGAGCTTTCAGAGGACCTCAGCAAGATCATGCAGCTCATTATCCAGTTGTCTACTCCTGGTACCAAGTTGTCGTCATCTATTCAATTGAATGAGTTCTTCGTCAGAAAGATTAAAAAGTATCATGAAGTAATTGCCAGTTACCGAGAAATACTTCAGGAGGTGGAAGATGTTATTGGAGGCTTGGAGAGACTGTGTGCTGAAGGTTTCGGTGGGTTGTTCAATATTGTCGCTGTCATTAAGTCCCAGTACAATTTGTTCATGGAATTGTGCGACAACATGGCCCAGATACATAACCAGGTGACAAAGTTGAAGTGAGAAGTAATAGTAATAGATGTATAATACGTGTAGCTTTATATTCAAGAAGATACAACAGATATGTCACATATCTACGTACAAGTGTCTACAGGCACAATTGATACTACACTTTATCATATCTCATTTATTTAAATTATGCGCGAAGTTCATCTCATCTTATGGCTAAAGTAGATCTCAGCAAATATTTGGGTAGTGGAAAAAAGAAGAAGAAACAAAAGACGTCCGACAATGTTATAGTCACGGAGCAGCCATTGCTCCCTGCTGCCAATGAAGTTGAGGATATAAATGAAGACGGTGAATTAGGACCAGTACAAATTTCAGAGCCGAAAAAAGAGTCTAAAGGGTTTCGAAGAATTGATACTGGAGGCATGGTACAACCCCAGGAAAACCAAGACACTGTCTACAGAGATACTAGTGGCCGTATAATCGATATTGATGAAAAAAGAGCAGAAATTGAACAACATAAAGAAGAAGAGATTCAAAGGAAACAGCAATTGGAGAAACAGATTAATCAGGGAGATGTCCAAAGAATAGAAAAGGAAGAGCTTAAGAAGAGTATTCGACGAGCCCAAACCAACCACTTATCTCCAAACGATTCAGAGTACAACGATTATATGAAATCAAGGACCCATTTTGACGATCCACTCCTGACATTTGTTGCAACTACTAATACGAACCCCACCTCCAAAACAGGACGCCCCACTTACTCAAAAGGAATCTCTCCGCCAAACCGGTTCAACATCCCGGCTGGAGCACATTGGGACGGAATAAATCGGTCCAATGGATTTGAAGAACTTGTAATGAGACGTCGCAACGAAATCAATGCTGAGAAACAGAACAAAAAGATCCACGATGGAATTGAGTTGGACTTGGAGTTGGAATAAAAAATGCAATACATAACTAAAGATAATAACTCACAACTAAAGACAATAAATCAGAACTAAGACAATATTACATAACTAACGATTTCCTTCACTTGTCAGCCCACTTTCGCATCGCCAAATTATCTTATGCTGATAAGGGAGATCCCAGGGTTCTACTATGATGAAGAGAAAAGAAGGTACTTCAAGGTAGTCAACGGAAGCACACTAGTCAACAAGAAGTACCACAATAACAGAGTTCAAGCGGAAAAGCGAAGGTTTAATAAAAGCCATGAAACCAAAAATTGCAAAAAACAAGCATTTCCCCATGTCGATGATCGTATAAATATACTCAAATTACGTCTTGGAGAAACAAGACTCCTTCAGCATGACCTCACGTTTGAAATGATCAAGTCAGTACAACAAAATAGCTACAAAAGTGCTCGAAAACGAAACTTGAAGAGTTGGGGAATAGTTTCGATGGATCACCATGGTCCTCATATTATAGTGTCAAGTCTGTATGACGTGCTGTTGATCGGCCACGGATACTGTGACTTCAGCGACTTGATGTTCTGGCGCCACTTTGAGCGAATCTCGTGCAATCTAGCACCTATTAATGAACCTACAGTGTCCAATCTCTCATGCGATGGACGATATTTGTTCTACACAATTACTGTGACATCGGTTGATTTTCCTTCAATGGTGCAAAACTATGTCAGAATTGAAAGATTGGAGGTTGACAATGCTATCAGAAAACAAGACTTTACCCTTGCACTTTATTCCTACTGGAAGTCGCTACAAGTATCATCTTTTCAACATTTTCTTGGTCAAATTTTGGGAGTAAATGCCATTGATTTCAGCGAGGAGCGATACTCTTATTTGGATGGAAATCTCTTCGTTGACACAGTATCTATCACAGCCTTACAAATCTGTAGTAAAAAGGTCTACTTGGGTTGCAGCAACGGTTCAATCGTTATACTATCTTTCGAGGAAATTCTGGGTGGCATAAAGTTTTATGACTCTTGTTTGGTAAATGTTAGCACGAAAGCACCAATTTCCGTGATAAGAGTACTTGAAAAAGATTTCATTGCTTTCACAACTGAGCGAGTAATTACCATTCTTGACTCACATCACCGTCAGATTCACCGCATAAATCATTGCAATCTAATCAAAAACTTTAAAGCTGAGATATACCCGGAATTGTCGGTGATTCATGTTGTTGGTCTTACAAAAGTTACAACCTATCGAATACTCAAGAATGGTGAAAAAATTGTAGCGCCAATTCACTACTTCAACGATAATATTACAATTCAACCATCAGTTATAGAAAGTGATCTTATGATGGTAAAAGAATCGGATCTGACCATACGAGTCACAGATCTCATGAACTTCAAATCGGCTATCCTACCGGTTGCAAATGATGATAGGGTATTAGTGGGCATTTACAAGTGTGGTGACGAGGTGATTGTACATTTTGCAGACGATTCAGTGTCTTATTTCAAGCACTATATGTAGTTATGAATTAGTTTTTCTTTATATAGTTCAAGTAACTTTGATAAGTAAAGTTACCAAACTTGTAGTCAATGTCTAACAAAAGCTTTATAGCATCCTGAGACTTGTACACATATTCAGCAGGTAATTTAACCAACGCATTGGATATGTCGTTATTCGAACGTAAACCATTCTCGGCAAACAATTTGTCCTGATTCAAATACATGATACGGTTTCCTTGAGTATTGTATACCTGGTCGTTGGTTAAGTTGTACACACCAGGATATCCACTCGTGGACTTGAAGTTAGACTCCCTAGTGTTAGGAGGATGAAGAGGAAACAAGTTTTGCAACACCTCATACGATGCTAAGGTGAATCCGAATTGGGGTGAAGATCTGAAAACACGAGCAATAGAACCCTTGAAAAAAGCTCCAACTCCCTCTTCTTTCAAGATCACCGAGAATGCATGGGTGATGCCTCTGTATTTGATATCGTGGGATTTGCTCTCCACTTGAAGTCTGGTCTTAATGACATCTGCTGGTGTGGTAAAGAACGCAGCTGGAGCACCAGCCAACGCACCAGCCAATAACAACTGCCATGAATCCAACTTGTGAACCTTATTAGGATCATTAGGATCGAAACCAAACAAAAACTTCTTCAAATTAGCATAAGTTGGGAAATAGATAGCCGAAAACGGCACATCTCTCAACAAACAAGCAGTTGCACCTTTATACAAACCTTTGGCACCAAGCTGCTTAACAATTTGACCGGCACTTAATTTTTTATGAGGAATTTCACCGGGACCCAAGATCTTGGTACTACGTCCACCTTGCATTTGCAATCTGATTTTGACAATTTCCAATGGATTGGTAAAGATGACTTGACAGGCACCAGCGGACATTCCAGCACCAATTTCCCAACCCATGGTAATCTTTCCAAAATCGTCAGTACCAATTTTTCTCACCAAATCGTTCACGGTTAATTTGATAGCCTTTTCTGGAGCCACACCAACTAATTGAGCTGCCAAACCGGAGTAAAGACCCTTGAATCCTTCATTTTTGATAATCTTTTTGAAACAATCAAAAGAGTTATCATACATAGACTTGTGCTTTTGTGCTTGCATTCTTGTCTTCACCAAATCGATAGGATATACAACGGTAGCACCGATACATCCTGCGATGGAACCCAAGAAGAAGGAGTACAACGAATCGAAAATGGGCCAAAGTGAAAAATTATCAGCCTGGACTGGTTGAGCAGCTGGATGATCAAAGATCGAATAGAGAGTCTTGTAGTTGTTATCAAAATTAGGGTTCAAAACAGAAATGAGTTCTTTTCTAGGAATGGTTTCTTCGGTTTTGTTGATCAAAAAGAACAACAAATCAAGCTCGGTGGTGGATACTGGCTTAAAGTTGGAGGATTTGAGAAGGTGATCATTCAAATGAGCGTACAAATCCCGCTTGTTAATGAGAATATCATCCTTATCCTTAGTTGTTGGAGGGGTATTTGCAATGACCTCGTTGACCAAATCGATACGATTGAGGGTATTATAGACGAACAAAACGTTTGAAAGAGAAAATTCACTTTTCTTGAAATATTCAGGTAAAGTGTGCAAATTCTTTTTCAATTTGGATGAAAGTTTGTGACTCAAGTTTTTCGTGAGTAATTCATAGAACTCTTGCTCATTAAGAACTCCCGAACGGCCTGCCACGAGTTCAAAATTACCGATGAGTTTTGTAACTGGAAGGTAATTTATCACTGACACAAAATCAACAAAATCAATTGAACCAAGAGGAGCGAAGAATCGCGCAAGATAAGCCCAATTGAGCTTCACTTTCTTTTGTTGGTAGCTAGGATCTATTGCCTTGTTCAAACCATTGAGTTTATCGATACATTCCTCATAGGTTATCTTGGTGCGGTCCTTCGATTTCGAGCTAAACATCGAGTACACAAGTTTGAACTCTCCATCGTAGGAGGTTAACACGTCTATGAACCGAACAAAATCGCTTTCTGTCACATAACCCTTGTTGGCCTTGTCACAAGCAAGATACAAGAGTGAATAAGATGCCTTGGGAAGATCAGATTCGAAAGGTGCCAATATGGTGACAAATTGCGGGAAAGAAAGGGTTTTCTCACCCTCCAACAATGTTGGGTTCTCGGTGGCAAACTGGTTAAAAATCTCTCTGGCTTTAAATTCCGAAGCCATTTTTAATATTTCATACACTGAATTTACGTGGGGTAAATTTCATAGGATAAATTTGGTTTTGTAGTTGCAAATTTCCGAGTTCAAGTTCACAGATGTGTAGAAGGTAGTTGAAGTGGTTTCTATGTCTATAGTTGATTCCCACACAATACCCAAATATTTCTATGGTACCGAATTATTCGCAAACGTTTCAGGTTATTTACCGGTGAAAGTCTCGTGAACTAAATATTGACTCTCCACAACGATTCGCTGGCCGAGGAAATCCGTACAGGAAGAGCGGGGTGGTATGCAGGCTGCAAAATAGAGACGCCTGGAAACGAAAAGAAAGCGTAGAATATGGGGATTTGGCACGTAGAATCGTGTAAGTGACTATAATGTGGTGTCAAGTTTTTAGACGAAATGTGATATTTTTGAAGTAGTTTGGATCTAGTCAACCGTTGAAAGCGCGACCCGGAGTCCCCTCACTTTCACAGGCGTCCATTTGACCGAAATTAGTGCGATGCAGGAAAGGCTACGCGGGCGGAAAAACCAGCTTAGGAAGTCGCAGTTAAGCGGATAAAATAAATGATAATGAGAAAAATAAGAGAGAAAATAATGAGATAAAAATGAAAGTTGAAGAGAGGTGAAAAGATACTGAAGGAACAAGAACAATTCTCAATTAAAAAGCGTTCCTCGAGTTCAATTCAATTCCTCTCCTGTTAGTCCGTAGTCGTACTTAAGTCAACCCCCTCTTATCACGTGATCCGTCAAACTCCATCATATCCAGTTATCTGCAGTAGAATATATCGTGATGGCTACTGGGGGACCTGGTACGTATAAACCATAAAGCTCAAACAAACATAATCTAACTATAGGAGGCTTCAAGAGATGGACACCTACGCCACCTGAACGTGGCTCGTTTCCTTTAGACCATGATGGAGAATGTCGTGATCAGATGCTCAAGTACTTGCAATGTATGAAGTATACTGGAAACATGAATGCTCCCAATTGTCGGATATTGTCGAAACAATATCTCAAGTGCAGAATGGAACATGATCTTATGGAAAATTCCGACTGGGACTCATTGGGATTGGTGAATTTACCTGAGAAACAAAAGGAAAAGAGAGTGAATCAACTGAAAGAAGAGAACCACCTGAAAGAAAGCGGACTGAAAGATTGACCGAAAGATTGATAGCTACGCATCACTTGTAAATAGAGAGAGCTGTTCAATGGAATTAATGCGACTATCTAAAGAAATAAGTAGATCGACTACCGTTGAGCCCATAAACAGTATGAAGAACACCGTAGATTAACCACTATGATACTCAGACAAGTGTAATTACCATTTCAGTCTCTAACTCTGAAAATTATCTTTTCAACAACGACCACTTGCAACCACTTATACTTTCAGTACTTTCGTAGTCTCTGATAATCACCTAATTTCAACTTCCATCTTCTTCACTTTTTATTGTCCTCCACGTCCACGGCCTCTGCCACGGCCCCTGCCACGGCCACCTCTTCCACGGCTGCCTCCTCTACCGTTCTGGTATCCACCTCTTCCATTGTTTTGGCCTTGACCTTGACCTTGACCTTGAGGTGGTGGTTGCTGAAAGTATTGTGGTGGAAGTGGAACACCAGGAACAACTGGCACAAATGATTGCTGCTGTTGTGCCATAGGAGGTACTGGTGCTGCTCCTTCATTCATCACATTCGAGTAAATTTGTCCGTAAATTTGCCTGATGGCATTGTTGGAATGTGAACCAGAATCCTCATCCATATTGTCAGGACTCTTGTCCACTTTTTTACCGTGCAAAAGCTGGAGTAATTCATTTGCTTGCTTTGGTTTGGTGTCCGCTTCAGACCCATTCTGCTCGGTTTGTCCCTTGGCAACATTTTGGCCAGTAGGCACACGAGAACCTTGAGTCAGTGGTTTTGGTCCATTAGCATTCGCAACCTTGCGTGGAGCAGATTTGCGGTTCTTCGACGCATTGCTGTGATAAACAAGCTGCTTGTCGGTTATGTTCAACACCAATGACGAATCCACAATCAAACCACGATTGGTTCTCAATTTTCCATTCATGTTGTTACCACTAAGCAACACTTCGTCAAACACTACTCCCAATGATACTTTAGGTCCAACGGTGGTGATGGTGGCCACGGTTCCCTTCGAGAGATATGGCACCTTACCAGAATCTTGAACGTAAACCACACGATCACCAAGCAGGAACCTTTGCGTGCTCAACACTTGGTAAGATTGACCAGGGTTGAAAACTGCTTCCCGAGGAACACCTTTAATATCTTTCTTTGTCAAAGGAATATCTTGTGAAACATAGTTCTCCATGTAGTCTTCGATAGCAGCGAAAGAAAATTTGGTGAGAGACTCCGATTCCAACGATACGGTAATCAAATCCAGCTTAACTTGCTTCAACCATTTCCTGACCGCAGCTAGCTCATCAGGATTGGTTATCGTCAGCGTCTTGGGCATGGATTTGAGGTCAGACTGCGCCAATTTGCTGAAAAATTTGGGGAAGGTGGCCCTGTAATCGTCTATCAACTTCACAGCAAGAGGAGAAAATTCCCAAAATTTAGCACTCTTCTTCGTAAAGCCTAATACCTTCTGGCGCCTAGCTTCAAACTTCAACTCAAGACCAACATTGACTCTCTTGCCGCCATCATCCAACATCAATCCTGAAGTAAGCTTGGACAAGAACAATGGGTTCAACTTCAAACGCTTGGCAACTTCAAAAGAAGGCATGTATCTGATTTCTCTATTCTCAATTTCTGCTCTTCTTTGTCCGATGTTGGGTTCTGCGGCTGTTTGAATCTTGGATACCTTAACGTTGATTTTATCGTTGGTATCACCAAAGCCGGCAACAGTAGCAGGAGATCCATAAGCAAATGCTCCCAAGAACACGACCTCACTATCAAGTGGAAATTCTTCATCGATAGGTAAAGGTGGCCGTGTTGCATATCTTTCATCTCTGTGAACAACATCTTCAACGATAAGTTGTAAAGGATATGCCTCAGTGTGCTTTGAATAGGTCTTCACGTACGCTCCTTTGGCGTTACGAATAAGTCCAGAAACTGCTTGCACGTATACAATAGCATCAATTTTACCCAATTCAACACCCATATTCCTCTTGTATGTTTCATACAAGTTTCTGGAAGTGGTCTTGAACTCTCTGACTCCTTCCGGATCGTTTGGAGTTGCAACCACCTTTTTAGATGTCAGGATCTTGACTGATTCATATTTGAATTCTTCATCAACCACAGACACAACTCTAGACTCACGCAAGAAGGGCCATCTACTGTAGGCAAGACGACCCACGAATTTTTGACTGAATTGGTAAGTAGTGAGTCCTTCTTCTTGCTCGGGTATACTCAAGATCATGGACACAGATCTAGAAGGTGCCTGGAAAACTCGAACTTCGGCGAGCTTAAGCTCTGCATTAAATTTGACAGTGTTTAAAGTTGGGAAACCAGCAAGTAAGTTTTTACCAAGCAAGGCCCCATCACCCAAACCAATTGCAACCTTTTGGATTTCTGGCAAAACAAATACCTTTTCGTAACACTTATCGTGCTCTATGTCGGAGAAGAATGTAGGCAAAGGCGAAGGGTATACATGATTAATCTGAGGGTTGTGAATAAACTCAATGTCAGTTCCAAAAGAGTTTCTTTTTGTCTCTTCAGGTGTGAGTTTAGCTTCAATTGGCTTGAGAGTTTCAATAAGTCTCTTTTCGTCAACAAAACTCAACAAGACAACAGCTTCCCAACTTGCAGTCTTACCATTCATATCGATATCAACCTTGTCTGGATAAAAGTCAATGATTGGCGAATGAGATTCGGTCATCAATGGGCGATACTCGAGAGGCATTAACTTGCGAGATCTTGCTGGCAAGACAGCCATTAACTGTTCAAATGGTTTGAAAGGAGTTCCAAGTTCGAACGTGATTTTCTTGTTATTTTCAAGCATGTTTTCCAAACCAATGGAAATGTCTGAAATTCTTGGAGCATAATGGTAGCGATAGTACCAACTCCAAGAAGGACACCCTTGGTAGTAGTAGTACAAAACCCACTGCAAACCCTCAATGTAATGTTCAGTAAGATTGACCATCTCTTCTTTGTCATGTATCGAGAACTTGAACTTTTCTTGATAGTACTGATCTTTCCACTTCATAAATTTGGCATCGTAAATGTCTCTGGATTCCTTTAATAAATCTTCGGTTTCGAATAAGTTAGCAGATTGGTACTTTTTAACGGATTTTCTGATCTCGTTGATTCTATCCTCATGTTCCTCATCTGTTTCATAAGGAGACATACCATCAATATCCAATTTGGCCTCATAAGTATCTTTAGATCTCGAATGTACAATTATAAGACCAACTTCAAGCGCAAATTGTTTGATAAAGTCCAAATGCTTGGAGACCTCTTCGGCAGGAAGAGACAACAGAGGGAGCTTTCCTTCACCTTCCAATTGAACAAGGTCAGCAACCTTCATCGTTGAATATTCCATGAGCCAGGGTTTGATCATTCCTACCAATTTCTTTTGGTCTTTCAAGATCAACAACTTGCCCATTCTCTCTCTTCGTTTTCCACCAGTAATTGAAATATCTTCGAGACGTTGATTGAACCAATCAACATCTACATTCAGCTTTTCAAAGTTTTCCAACTCGAACTCGGACAAGTGACGAAGCCAAATTGCCAAACGCTTCAAATTTATCGTACCGTTCTCGTTAATGTAACCATCCGACTCCGCCAAAGCCTGTTTGAAAGTTTCCAAAAGAAGAGGAAAAGCACCCTTGTTGATATACAAATCGGGAAGACTGGGTAGGAAATCATTTCCAATGACGTACATGATCAATATGAGATCATCCAATACTCGTTCAAAGTCAAACTCGAATGAAACATCGTTATCCATGTCCTGGAATTCGAGTGAAATGTATTCTCGAAGCAATGAAATATGCAACAAGAAAAACTTTTGGTCGTGAAGATCGTTGGATTTGTTTCCTGACCGAGGGCCAAAGGTGACTTCTTCTCTCAACAAACAGAAATGAGGATCATGGCTCACCAACCCCAACATGATCAAATCGGCGTCTAAGCCGTAAATACAATGACGTGAGTTGGAGTTGTAATTGGGCTGAGACTTCATTGTTCTAATATAGTTCATAATTTTGTGTTCTCCTTCTCCTGGAACTTCATGTCCACTCAAGATAATCACGGTTTCGGCCCATCGAGAGTCGGTGGAAATCTTTTTGTGGATGAAATATTTCAAGTTCTCGGTCAATTTGGCCATAAATTCCGTACCTGGGGTGATAGCATTGGAATCAAATGGGTCGTCTTTGGGAATTTCCAACCCTTGCAGAATAGCCTTTTTCAAATTTTCTTCTGCTTCGTACGCGGTCCTAAATCTTCTGGCACGTTGCTGGTTCATCTTGGCACGGGGAGCCACTCCATCAATTGCCATATAGAACACACCTTTTGGTTTTATGATTTCGAAAAGATGCTCAATATACGAGAAGATAGCGGCGTACATTTGGTCATCCGTCATCCGACTAAGGGTGTCATCATTAGAATGAGTACACGTGTGGAGAATGGAGTTCATGTCCAAATATAAGTTGTCAAACTCGGGTATCTGGGTCCCATCAATGAGTTGGGAAATTAACGGCCATCTCTCAGAGATAAACCTAAAAAATTTAGGGATACCTGAGTTAGTAAAAATGCTGAAATATGTATATAGCAATAGAGCTCCAGCTCCTAGTGACTCGGAACTGGTAGAACTTCCCCAATATCGCTGGAATTCATCTTTCTACTTACCCATTTTGTTGCGGTACTCGTTGTCGAAATTGGTAAAGTTGACGTTGAGTGGGGCTAGCACGACCGCCGCGGCGTGTATATAAGCCGTGTGCCCGTGCACTGTTACGAAAGAACATAGCTACCAGCATAAGACATTCATACGTAACCATAACTACCTAACCTTTCCCTAAATCAAATAAAAAAATATGCTGGGACGAACAAATTGAAAACAAAGCCCAAGTGCCAAGACACGGGCGGCGCTCAGACAATAAAGCGCAGTTTACTCTCAGTTAACCAAGCATAAACCTGGTGTATCAGAGCATTGCCATATCGGTATATGGTGATTGCAAGTGAGTCTAAATTCTCTTTCAAAGCTGCCAGTGACTTTTTGGCGCTGGCGAACACATACCCGTACTCATATCGAGTCTGGTGCCATGTCGAGGAAAACGAATTTTTCATGTTATCAATTGGCAATGAACGAACAAACTCAAGCCCATGGTTCCGTACCAGCTTTGCCTGAAACACGGCGTCATTCCACATCAGTTTCACTGGTATATCCGCAATCAGATTCCACATCTGTTTCACTGGAATTTCAGAAACCCGATTCCACAGCAGTCTTAGTGGAAACTCAACGAAACGATTCCAGATCAGTTTCAACGGAATCTCCGCAATCCGATGAGAAATAGCTTCTGTCAGTTTGTGGATCGTGGCCGTTGCCAAATCAGTGTAATGGCGAACTTTAGACTCTCGGAGTGGTTTCTTAAGCCATAATCGTTTGTACCATGGCAAACTCACTTCTGGCTGGAACATCAAAGTAGTCCACACCTTGCCCATTTTCTCTCTGAGATCGTCATAAGGACTGGCAGGAACACTGGGCGCCGACTGCAAACTCTGCTGGAAAACGTAGTAGGTTGCGAGTGCCGTCAAAAGGGCAAATCCAGCACCTAGCAAGTAATGTAAAAGGTACTCGGAATTTGCATCCAAAATAGCTACAAATTTCAGACGTTCCTTTCTCTGAGCTGGGGCCACTTGAACAACAGCATTGCTACTCAACAGCTTCTCCTCTCTGTTGGCATTTGGAGTTTGTTCTGTCAATTTGGAGCGGGCCGCAGACCAGAAATTGGTTGATGTGTTCTTGATTTGACGATTCAAATCTTCGTAAAACAGAATCACATCCGATATCCGCTTGTCGTCTGCTGGCTGTGTTTCACAGTTATCGAATTTGCTGTCCTGCTCTGTACCACTAGCTGTCTGCGTCGTCTTTAATACGTTAATCTTTTCAGAGTCTGATGTTCCTGGTTCCCCATCTCCTTTAGCTGGCCGGTTAAAGTCTCCCGAGCCTTCATTTTGCTCCACAAACTTGGGAACTTGCAAGGTGGCGAGGGAATCATCGTTGTCAATTCCATGATTCCGAGGCTCAGATAGAACGTTAATTTCGTCAAACTCACTCCTTACCGAACTCTGGGTCGACTGGTCGTCTTCCAAGTCAGAAGATGACGAAATAATGGACCATTCCTCATCTGGGGAAGCCATAGTAAATGTGGAAGATTGTCGCTTTCTGTGGTAAAATGGAAAAATTGGGGTTTTACAAAAAAATATGGTAAACGTGGGTTGCTGGAACTGAGATTCAAGCACTGGTATAGTCTTTGGTCTTGAAAATAAGTAGGTTTAATGGAGTCACTCTTATCTATCCCTTTCTGATTTGTGCGGTTATCGCCTGCACGATCACAAATGGTTCCAGAGTGGTGCAGTGGATGCAAGAAACTACAAGGTATTAAGGAACTACAAGGTGATCAAGGTATTTACAGATTGATATACAAATTACAATTTATATTGATCATAAATACATTAGTCACTGTGATGGTCAGCTTGGTGCTTGTCGGTATGGTCTCGTTGACCCTCTAATAGTTTCAATCTCACATTCATCTTGGACACACTATCTTGTAACGACTGTGCATAGTTTACAAGATCCTGATATTTTGCGAGTGTAACATAATTTTTGGGTTCCTCCTGTTGAGTTTGGTTCTTGGTTTGTTCATGTAGGTAAGGGTAACCCGGTGGGTTTATTTGGCCCAGATCTTGCGCGGGGTTCATTATAGTTGAGTGAGTCAGAGGACCCAGAATTGACGATGGCCATGTGGTCAGGCTCAGGTTCAGGTTGGGGTTCAGATTCAGGTTCAAAGTCAGGTTTAGGTTCAGGTTCAGGTTCAAGTTCAGGTTCGGGGTCAGATTCAGGTTCTGGTTCAGGTTCAGGTTCATGTTCTGGTTCAGATTAAAAGTTGGGCTCTGATTCAGTATCTGATTCATGCTCAAGTTCTGCGGTTCCATGGACTCTCTCTGTCTATCAAAGTTGTTCAAAACCAATGGCTGATGATGAATCGAGCGAGAATAGTTCATGTCACCCTGCATTGGGCTATCGTTAAAAGGTAAATTTTGATGTTTGTGGTGTGGAGAATGATTTGGGGACGAATGATATCGATTCTGTGAGTGTTGACGTGGATGCGGAAGTTGCTGCAGAGGCAATTGCCATGAAGGTGATGCTGTGGTTTGGTCCGATGTGTTGCCCAAGATCAGACTATATGGAGGAAGCTTGGTTTGCGATTGGGAACTATCGCGAGCTCTATCCAATGGAGGAAGGCTCTGACTCTCGTTTTGGTTTCCCAGACGAGAATCTTCGTACCTTCTGGTGGTCGTGGTGGTAGTGGTAGTTGTTGTAGTGTAAGGTTGTCTATAGGAACGATTATGACCACGAGAACGAACATTATTGCCACCAGACCCATCCAGTGTGCTCATAGGAGTGTTGCTATCGCTAACAGACTCATCGCTGATAACAGGGTCGCCCAAAGTGTTAGGTAGTGTTAAATCGGTTTCTGATTTCAATGCTGAACATGCATCTTGGGAATTCTTGTGTCTTGTTAAAGCATCTGGACGAGCGAAACTTCGAGAGCACCGATCACAAATGTAAGGTTTTTCTCCCGTGTGAAGTTTTTCATGGCGTTTCAAATCATGGATCCTTCTAAACTTACTATTGCACACGGTGCAAATATGAGGTTTCATCGACGAATGGATCAACTCATGAGACACCATATTGTGCTTTCTGGTGAACCCTTGACCACAAGTCGAGCAAAAGTACTTTTTCGTAACTTTTTTCGCAGCGTTGCTATTAGTGTTTTTTGCGGTATTCTTGTTGACCTTGTTCTTAGTTGCATTTGTGTTCAATTTGCTAGTTTCCTTGGGTTTCACAGATGTCTTGGGTTCATTAGAAGATGTATAGCTCAGCGACCGGGATTGGTCATCGCCTTCACCGCCAGGCAGAATTATACTTGATACCAGTGCCGAGCCCGATTTTGAAGAATTCGAAAAGTTTGAAAGCTGCTGTGGCAGCTCAGTCAGGTTCCCTATATCTTTTGACATTGCTAAGTACTAGCTTCGATATAGGGCCACAAAGCCTATATTATTCAAGGTAACGACTAGCCAATAAAGATATGTGTTTTGGCCGCAAAAAAGAATATTGAAAACTTGATTCACTTGAATGAAACTTGGTTGGTGTTGCAGGGACGCCGTACACGTACGTTTACAAATGTCGCGTAGTAGTTCAGTAGCGGTTTTTTGTCCGAAACCCGGGGTTTGGAAAATGAGGTGACTGGGGTCCGCGATTATTTTAATTGGTCCAGCTTACGTAACAATACGTTGCTGTGGCCCGACACCAGGCACGAAAAAAGAAAAGAGTGATCATGCGGATCGGACCCATTTGCCACAAGTGGCGCGAAATCCGGTCAATTCCGGGCTTGATTGCTTTAGCTAATACTTTGGCATCAGATTATTCTTTGGCGGAGTTCCATGAGGCGGGGTTCCTGCATGCCATCGCCAATGGTGCCTTAGTCTTTCAACGCTAGTTGAATGCAGGACCAAATGTGTCAAGGGATCGTACGGTGTAATTGAGCGAGATTTCCAGACTAAATTAAAATCACCCTTGCACTAATGCGATCCGTGACAATTGAAAATGGTTGATGTGGCTGTGCTTGGAGTGGCAAGGTATTTAGATCATTCTGGAAGATTCTTTTCCTTTTTTGATACTAGCACCCTTTTTTGGTATGCCTTGTCATTTACAGTCTCCCTAAGAATTTGGTCACTATTGTCCTGTCATGGCATTGTGTATCTGTTGTTTGCCAATGCTCTTCCATATTTGTGCACCCGTACACCACCCTCAATTCTCAACAGTTCCTCGTACAAACTAAACAGATAAGGTCCCCTACACACGCCCAAAATAATCTCCCGAGTATTGCTACCCAGGTTTTTGTCCTCTGGGAACACGGACAGATGAATATAAACCTAGATTCGGCAAAGGGGACCCTTTGCAAGAACATATTAATTTATGGCTATTGTAAATACGAAAACAAGGGATGTGCATTCAGCCATAGAAGAAACAACAATGCCAATCTGGGCCCTGGGGCTACTCCAGCGAAGTCTGTGGCCACCACACCTACCTCAGACAAGCGGAAATTCAACGTAAATACGCCATCTTTCCAGCCTTCGACGGCTCCAGTCCAGGGACTCGCCAACAAGTTTGCGGGTTTGCTGCCAAAAGTTAAGGATATACCGGTCTTTGTACCTTCTGGAACACCTGCTTCCCCTGCACAATCCACACCGTCCACCGGAAATCAAGAACAACCAATGCCAACTAGCACTGTGTCGAATGTTCCCGAACGAAAGTTCAATACTTCGACACCTTCGTTTACTCCCAGTCAACCAATTCCCGCTCCCCCTCCCCAAAACACAAGCAGTCCCCCAACCAACCCATATCTCATGAACCAGCCGGGTCCTCCAACGGATATGTACTACCAATCAGCCTACCCGCTACAATACCATCTTTATGCCCCAGCGCCGCCTCCACGATTGGCCATTACCCACTCGCTGCACCAGGTCGACGCCCATTCGCTATTCATCGATTCAGAATTACGGGAAACCCTCCAGAAACGAAACGAAGCAACTCTCCAAAGTTATCCTGGAGGTCCTGAAATCGTAGACGTATACCATACTGTGGTGCCCATTGCGGCCGAAGGAGTATCAAAAATATGGAAGGTGTCTTCTTCGGTGTACAAGGGTGTCTCTAATGTTGATGGAAACGTATACGCTCTTCGCAAGATTGAAGATTTCAAAATAATCAATGAAACACCGTTTAGAACCATCAAAAGATGGCACGGACTTCAAAGCGCCAATATAGTGAAAATTCAAGACGCATTCACCACCGTTGCCTTTGGCTCACCGTCACTAGTCGTGGCGTATGATTACTATCCGAACGCATCGACACTCTTGGAGCAGCATGTCAACCGCCGGTTGGGTGGCCGTCTTGAGCCGCTCACCGAAGATATTTTGTGGCTCTACTTGACTCAGCTTGTCAATGCAGTACGCACAGTACACAAGAAGAAACTAGCAGCAAGATCTTCACTCGATCTTTCCAAAATCATCGTCACCACCAACAGAATTCGTCTTGCCGCGATAGGAATGAGTGACATTCTCAATTGGGAAGCTGACGACGCCGAGATTGCTCGTGTGGGGTTGCCGACTTATATGGAGAACCTTCAGCAGGAAGATATTCGAAACATGGCACGCTTAATGGTTGATCTAACCACAGTAATGAATCCCGTTGTCCAAAATGACATTTTTAAATTGAAGTCCAGCGGCTTAAGCACCGATTTCGTCGCTGCCGTCCAAGATCTTTCCAACACAGACGACTTGGAGTCTTACATCCGCAAGCACCTCGCCATACGTCTTTTGGATGTCGTGGATATGCTTGAGGACCTGAATGACTACCTCGAATCTCAATTGAGTACGGAGCTCGAAAATGCCAGACTTGTACGACTTATGACCAAGATCAATTTCATCGTCGATCGACCCGAATGGGATAACGAGGCGACAGCGGCTGCGGCTGGATGGACAGAAAATGGACCCAAATACCTCCTAAAGCTCTTTAGAGATTTTGTGTTTTTTCAAACCGATGAAATGGGGAAACCGGTAACCGACCTTTCGCGAGTGCTCGTCACACTCAATAAGCTTGATGCTGGGATCGACGAAAAATTCTTGCTTGTGAGCCGTGACGAAAAGACGTGCATTGTGGTGAGCTATAAGGAAATCAGAGACTTGTTGGAATCTGTTTTCCGGACCATAACTAGAGGTAAATAGAGTACATACTCAACGGACACTTTTGTCACGTGTCGCGCTTCCCCCATCGTTGAGAGGGGCGGCTCAGCCGATAAATATATCAGTAGAGCATACCAACGACCATTCATTGGATCCCTGTTCGAATCCCCCAAAATGAAGTCGAACCGGCCCCCTAGTGGAGCAATTAATACCGGACCATTTTCTCCTAGCATTTTCTCCAGCAAAAGATTATGGGTAAAGCGTCCCAATGGTTCACCAACTACCATCTTAGTCCACCAAAACGATATAATTGATGATGTCAAACTGATGATAATACAAAAGTATCCCAACTCCTTGGGGAGAGAATATGATGCTGCTGACTTGATGATAAAAATGGATGTCCATGTCAAACTGGGATTACCGCAACCAACTCCCACTTCAACTAATCGCCAAAGATCATCATTTTCTTCTCCCGATAAGCTGACGGCGACCACTCTTGTTACACTTGAGCCTGACCAAAACGTGTGGGCACTTTTCGACAATTATTTTCCAAACGGAATGAGTATACATAATGCATTCATCATTGAAGAGCCAGGAAGAAGCAGAATGGATAGCAAACACTCATTGTCGTCGTTGACGCTACCCACGGCTACCTCGGCGCCAGTGACCACAGCACCATTGGCACTACATTCGTCAACTTCCGCCGCTTCTCCATCGTCGAATCAACCGGTTTCAGCCTCTGCAAGAACCTCCACCATGTCCCCTCCTCACGGATTTCACCTGCCTCGTCCTCAGTACAATTACCAGCACCACCAGCCGTACGCGGCTCTCAAAGAAATGTCCATATCTCCATCAAATGTTTCAGCAAGATCCCCTTCAACGGTGCACAGACGTTCACAATCTAATCCTCCTCAGTCTCCCGTAACCAGTGCTGCTCCACCGGTGTCAAAGAACCCTAATTCCCAAGCCATTCTCTTGCTTCCAAAGAACTTTTCGTTGTCTGGAGGTGGTTCTTCAAGCAACCTCAGTGCTCTTAAAGACCAAAAACGACTCTCTCTAGATGAAGGACGAGTATCCCGTGCACGAACCAACTCCATACTGAGCCCCGGCTTGGCTAATATAGGAATAGGAGGCGTGAGTTCGCCGCCTGCTGCCCAGCCATCTAGCTATCCGCTCGTTCAAAAAGGACCGAATATTCTTCCCAAAATTTCGACCGATTCCAACCAAACAACCTTGGCTTCAAGCCTAGATCTGAATGTGTCCAGTGCACCGCCGTTGGGCAAAGCAACCTCGCTTCCAGAAATACCCACCAAGCCCACAGAAGAGAAAAAGGAAAGCTCTTCAGAGAATGTAGATACCACCAATATTGAACTGGATCCCGAGTCGAACTCGAGAAATTCAACAGCAACTGTGCCACCACCGGTCCGTGCTGCGCCTGCTGCACCTAAGAAACGACAGGAGGATAAAAGTGTTGCAATGGTACAGAAACTGTGGAAAAAGAACCCCACTGCCAATGAACGAATGCTTCCGTCTGTGTCGGTGCTTGTAGTAGAGGATAATGCCATCAACCAGGCAATTTTAGGAGCGTTTTTACGGCGTCACAAGATTCGATATCAAATTGCAAAAAATGGACAAGAAGCAGTCGACAAGTGGAGCAAGGGTGGATTCCATCTTGTGTTGATGGATATTCAATTGCCCGTGATTTCTGGTATTGAAGCCACGAAGGAGATCCGCAGGCTAGAAAAGATAAACCGAATCGGAGTGTTTGCAGAAGACGAAACCGGACAAGCTAAATCGGCCGAGCTTGAAGAAGTTGCTCCGGAAGAGAGATTGGATCTCAACATTTTCCGATCACCAGTTATCATTGTGGCACTAACTGCCTCGTCGAACTCTTCTGTCGACAAAACCAACGCTTTGAGAGCAGGGTGTAATGATTATTTGACCAAACCAGTTAATTTGGTATGGTTGCAAAATAAGATTACCGAATGGGGTTGTATGCAAGCGTTGATTGACTTTGAAGGATGGAAAACAAAACGAAGCGACGAGGGGTTCAACGCCATTAAAGGCAAGGCGAAGGGGGTGATTCTACCATCCGGGAAACTGGTGGTGTCTGCTTAGGTTATAGAAATAGACAGTACTATCTGGTGCACTGGGTGCATTAATACTCAAACTTGTTGCGACTTTTACAAAATATCACCACCATGTCAGATACCATTTTACCATTAGAGGTTCTCGATCGTGCGATCGGCCACAAGATCCAGGTTCTTCTCACAAACGACAAGGAGTTCCATGGAACGTTGGTTGGTTTTGATGACTTTGTGAACATGGTTTTGGAGGACGTGGAAGAATTCGACAACGAAGGAAAGAAAGAAACCTTGAAGAAAATGTTGTTGAATGGCGGCCAGGTGGCGATGATGGTGACGGAAAGCTAGAACATGAACGAAGAAACAAGGAGAAAGTAATTAGAAACTGGTGAGAGTGTAGGTTTCAGAGTCGAGGATCAGTGTACTATAGTCCAGATACAAGAAAAACAAGATACAAGAACAACAAGATACAGAAACAGTGTAGCCGTATAAATATTGCACAGATTCGCATTATGTATAGAGACAAATATTTGAGGTATTGCTCAGGTTAATTCTCACGTTTTGTCAGCTAATTCTCACTTCCAATCAACACAACCCAAACAAAGATTATATGTCAAAGTCGCTTAAGTGTTCTACAGTTACATTTCTATTTTTGAACAGACTCTCGGCCCAATTCCAGATTCATCTTCTTAATTTGTTTCCGCCACCGCCACTCGCACTATTTAAGTCGCACCTTGTCCTGTAATCTCCATGAAGTTAACCATTAGTGTGGAATCCTCAGGGAACATTATATCTGCCGATCTCCCATCATCGCTCTCGGTGGCTGATTTCCAAGCTTATCTTGAAGCAGAAACAGATATAGATCCTGAAAAACAGATCCTTATACACAATGGCAAGACTATCCAGAAGGACAAGACACTCGAAGATATAGGTTTAAAGGAAGACGATTTGATCGTTTTGAAAGAGAAAAATGCTCGGGCTGCCGTGCAAACCGAGCAAACTGACCAAGATCCCGTCAATCACCAGGTGGAATTATTGAGATCGCAGTATATTAACAATAGTCAAATGAACACCCACCTTCGTCAGACCGACCCTGGACTTCATTCGAAGCTCAATGATCCCGCGGCATTCAAGGCGGTCGTCCTTGAACGGTTGCAGCAGGTGCAAAGCAGTGGAATGGGCTCCTATCGGTCGCCACAGCAGCAAGAAGAGTTCCAAAAACTTCAGGAAAATCCCGATGATCCAGAGAACCAAGCGAGAATAATGGAGATGATTCGACAGGAAAGGATAGATGAGAATATGCAGCTTGCGATGGATCTTACCCCGGAATCGTTCACGAGTGTCAATATGCTCTACATTAACATTAAAGTTAACGGTGTAAAAGTGCAAGCTTTTGTGGATTCTGGTGCACAAACCACAATTATTTCTCCATCTTTGGCTGAAAAGTTGGGAATATCTCGACTCATAGATCGGAGATTTCGAGGTGAAGCTCGTGGAGTTGGTTCGCAGATAATTGAGGGTAAAATCCATAGTGTACCGATCACAATTGGTGAGTCCAACGTGGAAATCCCTTGTTCTTTTATGGTGGTTGACACTCCCGTTGATCTCTTATTTGGTCTTGATATGTTGAAAAGACACGGGTGTGTCATTGACTTGCAGAAAAACGTGATGACTGTTGGCGGTGTTATCGAGACGAAATTCTTGCACGAGCTGGAAATAGAATCTGATCTTACCAAACCACAGCTAGGTGGTAATAGACTTGGATCAGGTTCCGGTCCTAGCGGTTTTGGTGGAAACCTATTTGGTAATGGAGAAATGCCTGTTCCTCCAGCTAATGCTTCTACACCACAGCCCACTGAGTCTGCGTCCAAACGCCATAACTCTGGCCAACAGCTTAAGCAGCCTCTGGAGGATGCTATAAAGCAGATTACAGCGTTGGGGTTCACGAGACACGAGGCAATTGGAGCACTACAGAGCTGCAACGGTAATGTTGAAATGGCCGCATCCTTGCTCTATCAGTAAGTCAATGAAAACAATTAAACAAGAATCTAAAGTCTATAAATCTATATGTAGCATTTCAACCGAGTATCACTCTGAGAGCACCAGTCCTCAGTCAAAGCCCGCGGCGTACTGATCATTGAAGAACTTTCTGAACTTAAACTTCGACCCAAGTTCGTCAATTTGGTTAACGTCTGAGTCGTCCAACTCAAACCCGTATACCTCAAGACTCTGCTTGATTCTTTCCTCATTGGAGGAAGTAGTGATAGGAAGTAGTCCCTTCTGGATGGTGTAGCGGAGAAGAATCTGGGCTTCGGTTTTGTCATACTTTGAACTGAGCTCACTTAAAAATTTTTTGAACGTAGCTACGTTCTCGTTTTCTTCGTCAGCTCTGAACAAGGGCGATAATGGGCCGTAAGCTTCAATCAAGATATTGTGCTCCTTACAAAAGTCCACAATACCTTTGGATTGATTCTGCAAAAATGGATGGAATTCAATCTGGTTCACGACAGGATAGAATTCTTCGGATCCAGCAGATTCAAACACTTCTTTCAAGTGAGGAACGGCAAAGTTGGATACACCAATCTCGCGAACCAAACCTTGTTTCTTGAGCTCAATTACCTCTTTCCACAAATCTCCAAGAGACAAGTAGTCCTTCAAGCCAGGAGTCACGAAGGGATGGTGGATCAAAAGAAGATCAAGGTAGTCGGTTTCAAGTTCCTTCAAAGCTTTGTTGACGAATTCAATTGGTCCCTTTGTAAGGGCTGCCTGATGAGAAACACCAGGAAAATACTTTGTAGTTATCCAAAATTCCTCCCGAGGAATTCCCGACTTCTTAACAGCAGCAGCTACCTCTGGTTGAGTGGTATAAACTTCAGCAGTATCCAAGTGACGGTATCCACAGTTTATCGTACGCAAGAGATTGTCAACCAATTCGTTATGAAGCTGGGCTTTTTCCTCGTCTGGACGTCCCTTCTTGAGCCATTGCCATTTGGTGCCCGAACCCGTGCCAATCTTGAGCAATTGACCTGATTTTGTATAAAATTGTCTTGCCATGTTTACTGTGGATGAAGATAACGTAGTGATTTCGTTGTGGAAATTTGTCATTGTATTACATAAGACTACTGATAACGCTATCGTGCAATAGATAAAGCACCTTTGATTCACCTACTCGTCCAAGCCATTGAGCCCTTCTGTGAGCTTCTCTAAAACCAATGGCTTGCCTGTCACCCGGAAATACAAATCTTTTATATCGTCGGTGGCAGATTCAAAGTGCGATGTAGCGTCGTACGATTTGGAAATGTAGATGCCCGAGGCGGTTCCATCGTCTTGTGGCTCGTAGATTTCGGCGATTCCCATAAGTGTATCGAGTCTTGGACCCAATAATTTGAAGGCTGGCTCCAATTCCACATGGGGTGTTTCGGTCTCGATGATGGTGGAGACGATGGCCAAGTAGTAGCCCTTGGGCACTACGCAATGAACATCCGACAACACGGCGATGTAAATGTCGTTTTTGCGGCCCACTTGGTTCTGCGGAATGACAATTTGCACCGAATCAAGATCGTGGGTGTTTGGCACTGGGTGTTCGAGAATGCACATTGCTCTAATCACCTTTTGTCCTGTCTTCTTCACCTTTTTCAGGAAAGTATGTAGGGTCAGCAATCACAATTGGAGCCTTGGTCGGTACCCTCTTTAGTCTTTACTCCAGCAAATTTCTTGTTGTCGTCGTCGTAGATCACCTCGTCAATTGGAGTGTCCAACATATAAGTTCCACCATAAATAGCCGACAATCTGGCAAATCCCTGTGGAAGCTCTCCCAACCCGTAGAGAGGGTAGATGTAAGGAGACTTGCCGTACTTGGCCACCGATTGGCCATACAATATGATCCGTTCGTACGTGGGTCTTGCAACTTCATTAAGGTAGTCATCGTTCGACCACAACGCCATAGCATGGCCAATGAAGTCCCTGGTTCCATTCTCCAATCTGAAATAGTTGTAAACCTCGTTCATGGTGTTCTTATCCAAGTCGAGAGCGCCGTGGGTCGAAGCATCGTCATCGTCCCATTTGGTGAGGTAGTCAAGAAACTGTTTCATTCTTCTCTTTTCAAAGATTCCCATGAGCGAGGAAGAGATGGCTTCTGCCTGGTTCGAAGGAACCTTGGCAATGCGACCATTCCGATACACATAACTTCCGCCAATCTGTTTGAACTCGATGTACCGGGTGACATTGGTGTGCACCAAAATGTTGGTCAACTCACCATTAGCCATTAAAAACTTGGGGATCAAGTCCACACACCAGTCCCGGTCACGTCCACGAAGTTCTGGCTTTTGTCCTGAGGGACGGAATTTATTATAAAGTTGGCCAAGATTCAATGATGCCAGCTCACCACCATAAAAATCCTGGCGATCAATATGAAGTACTTTTTTGCCATCTACCGACAAGAGTCCGGAAAGAACACACTCGGTTAAGCCTGTTCCCAACACAATCACGTCGTAATTCTCGTCCATGGTGAAAGCAAGTAGAATCAAACGAGGGATTGTGTCTCAATTATCAGGCTGGTGTGTGGATGGACGGTACACAAAAATAGAGAGACATATTCATACAATATAGAACAGTTACTAGGTACATGGTAAGAGCCACCGCAGATAATCACTTTCATTTAGTTCGCTTTACTCACTTCGCTCACCTTCTCCATGCCCGAAATAAGTACCCCGCGACAAACACCGCTACCGCCGCAGTTACAGTTTTTGCACCCAATTTGCAACACTTTTTGTTCTTGTTTAATCCCTTTTTTACAATTTCAGAAATCTCTGCTGGGTCAGAGGTGATTCCCGTCAAGTTTTCAAATCCATTTGCTGTAATCACGAGATCATCTTCTATCCGCACTCCGCCAACATACCAGTACTTATCCAAGACGTTGTGGTCGATATACTTGGCTTTTTTCTCATCTTTAAGCACATCTTCTAACAAAAATGGTGAAAAGTAAATTCCTGGTTCATCTGTAAGAACCATTCCCTTTTGGAGCTTTCTTCTCAACCGCAAGTATTGGAGGTATGGGTCGGGGTCTTCGTAGTTGGGACGGCCACCTACATCGTGGGTATCCATTCCAAGAAGATGACCCAAGCCATGAGGAAAGAAACGAGCCGAGATCCGGCTTTCGTAGATCTCCTGCTTGGAGTATTTCGACTTGAAAATGCCGAGTTTCAAGAACTCTTCAATCAAGATTTCATGGGCCCTCAAGTGAATATCGTCCCACAATGCACCCGGTCTGATCATACTCATGGTCACTTGCTGCATACGAAGAACAGCACGATAAATGTTCAAGTGTTCTACGGTCCAATCTCCATTGATGGGGAAACAACGAGTAACGTCACTGGCATAGCATTCCCATTCTGCACCAGCATCGATCAAGATCGAGTGTTTTGTTTCAGGGATTTCATCGTCGTTCTTCACGTAGTGCAAGGTGGAACAATTGGGTCCACTGCAGCAAATGGGGTCATACGACTGGTATTTTGAGCCTTCTCTGAGAGCATGGTACATGAACTCGGCATGGATATGAGTCTCATTGGTCTCAATTGCAGTTGCCAGCATCACCCCGTGATGGCACTTGTCGGTGATCTTGGCAGCGTGTCTCATGAGCGCTATTTCGTAGTCATCTTTGATCAATCTGGCTTCATCCAACCCATGGAAGAAGGCGTAATCTTTCTCAATAAGATGCGACTCAAAATTCTTGTTCCATTGGTTCACGTCCGTGGTGTAGATCTTGTATGAAAATGCTTTCAAGTCAGCCAGAACCTCGTGGGCAAACTTGACCTCATCAACATCATACTTTGCAGCTGCTTCGTCGCGACTCACTGGCAATCCACTCCACATAATATCTTCCTCGTCCACGTCTGGGAGATATAAAGTCAATTTGTCGTTTCCACCATCGTAAAATACGTGGGATCCAGGGATATTACAACCGGTGATATAATAAAAGTAGCGATTTTGGCGAATTGGTTTCGACTGGTCGCAGTAGGGCCAAAGTTCATAGTTCTCGCCGCTGATGAAAAATGCACTTTGCGACTCCTCGGGTAACTTTTCGAGGAAATGTGCAAATGCTCTTCTGGCGTGCTCTTTTGCTGGGTACTTGGAGACCATTTGGTGGCAATGTAAGAGATGAAAGAATCTGGGTGGTTCGGGGAGCCGATGCCGCATACATGGGGTGTATGCAGGTACGGCTGCACGGCAACGATGTTGCATTGGCGGCTGGAGATCTAAGAGGGAATGGGTGGAAGAGACTAAAATGGTGAAAATGGTGAAAATGGTGAAAAAAGGAAGAATTGTAGACGGTTAAGATGTAAGGATTGAGGAAACTGAAAGGTGGAAAAGAGTTCAGAATGTTAAAAAGAAATAGTGATTCGAAAAGAAAGCAAGAGACGGAGGAACAACTATACCTAATCTTCACATACAATTTTGAACTACCTTGTTGTCCTTATTGATAGCTCTCCCTCTATTCTCTTCCTCACTATTCTGATTTTCCTCACTATTTTTCCTGCATGTATTTCGCAACCGCCACCGTCGATTTCAACTAACCGCTACTTCCTCACTAATGGAAAGATTACAAAGACTTCTTGGGTCTGGTGCCGGCCTTGGAGGCTCTGCTGCCTCCCCTGCGGACGGACCAGCCATAGATAATGCAGAAACTGTTCATATCTCCTCGTTAGCTTTGCTAAAAATGTTGAAGCATGGACGTGCTGGTGTGCCAATGGAAGTTATGGGATTAATGTTGGGAGAATTTGTAGACGAGTTCACTATACATGTTATAGATGTGTTTGCCATGCCTCAATCTGGTACGGGAGTGAGTGTGGAGGCGGTGGATGACGTATTTCAGACAAAAATGATGGACATGTTGAGGCAAACTGGGCGCGACGAAATGGTCGTTGGATGGTACCATTCACATCCTGGATTTGGATGTTGGCTTTCGTCAGTGGATGTCAATACACAGCAATCGTTTGAGCAATTGAACAAGCGGGCGGTGGCTGTGGTGGTGGATCCTATTCAGTCGGTCAAGGGTAAGGTTGTCATTGATGCTTTCAGAACTATCGATACCACCACGTTGATGATGGGACAAGAGCCTCGTCAAACCACATCGAATGTGGGGCATCTTAACAAACCGCTGATCCAGGCATTGATCCATGGTTTGAACCGTCATTATTACTCGCTCAACATCGATTACCACAAAACCTCATACGAAACCAATATGCTTCTCAACCTCCACAAAAAGTCGTGGCAATCTGGGTTAAAGATGGTGGACTACAATCACAAAGAGCACGAAAACTTGGAGAACATTGACCAGATGGTGAAAATTGCCAAGTTGTACAATCAACGGGTACAGGAAGAGAAAGAGTTGCTGGAGGACCAGTTGAAGACCCGATATGTGGGGAAGCAAGACCCCAAAAAACATTTGGGGGATACCGCTGATCTTGCCATAGAGGAAAACGTCACATCTTTGTTAACGGGCAACTTGAATGCATTAGCTATCCAGTAAGTATCAATAAGTACATTTCATGAAGTCTACAAATTCGGTGCGAAATCTCATCTCTTTTTGCAATCATGTCAAATGAAGAGCCTCCACCAAAACGACAACGAAAAGATTCAGGGTCCCATAACGATGACCATGTAGCATCCAATGACTCAGAAGCATACATCGATACCATCAATCGCAACAAAATTGACTTTGATTTCGAAAAATTATGCCTGGTATCGCTTTCTAAATCCAATGTTTACTGTTGTTTAGTATGTGGAAAATACTTCCAAGGCCGTTCTGTATCTTCTCCAGCCTACAACCACTCGATAGAATGGAATCACCACGTGTTCATGAATTTGCAAACCCACAAGACATATATTCTTCCTGAAGATTATCAGGTCACCTCACCAAAAGCATTAAAACACCTTCAAGATATCATTTATCTTTTGAATCCCACATATTCACAACAAGATGTTGCTCGACTAGACACGGAACCTTCTGCTTATGACTTGACCCATAAACCGTATTTTGTTGGTTACATTGGTCTCAACAAGATCTCCAAAAATGACTACTCTAATGTTATAGTTCAAGCACTTGCACATATACAGCCCATTCGAGACTTTCTCCTCCTACTTCCTAACGATTCTTTATACGAAGTTCTCGAGCACAAGTACCCTCTTGTATCAATGTTTGGACTCATGGTGAGAAAGATTTGGTCTCGTCATTTATTTAAACCCCATGTCTCACCCCACGAATTTCTTCAACTCGTGTCTTTGATGTCCAAAAAGAGCTTTAGCATCACTCACCAAAGCTCACCCAAGCACTTCATGGTGTGGTTTCTCAACCAGCTCCACTCCCAATTGACGAGGGCCATAGGAAAGAAGCGAACCATTTTGTCAAAAACACTACAAGGAGAAATAATAGTTACAACAATTCCAGTTGTTCAGAAACAAGCCTCGGATAGCACCGTTCAATTCGAACGCCAAGAGAGCATGAAAAAGATCTCCATCCTGAAATTCTGGCACTTGTCATTGTCTTTAGGACCAGCCTCGGCTCTCAAAATACAAGATACCAACGATACCGTTCCACAAGTTAGCATTGAGCTGCTACTACTGAAGTATGATGGAACTACAACCTCCCAAGCATCGGCATCGGAATTACGAACCTACAAACTCAAATATCCTGGTCCTCCTTTTCTTATAATGCACATTGATCGCAACTTGGAGGAAGGAAATATACGTGGAAACCCAACTGTGGTCAAGTTTCCAATGGTATTGGACATGGCACCATATATTGAGGGCGAAATTGGACCTCAGAAATACCAACTAGTGTCGAGCATCAAGCATCATTATGTTGCTGGTGACACCATTGATCACAAGCACGACAAACAGCAGTGGTCAATATCGCTTCTTGCAGATAGCCACAAGTCTGAATGGGTACATATCCAAGATCTTGACGTTACAAAAGTCGACGGTGAGTTTCTCTTTCTAGATGAGACGTATATTCAGGTATGGAAGCGGATGGAATCAAGTCATGTCTTAGGTGACTAATACTCATCAATGATGTTGTAGCATTGTGTTACAAAGTTTTGGTGCTGTTGCACCAAGTTTGCAAGGCCGGTTTCCGGTAAAATCTCATTTGCTAGTATTGCCAAGGCAACTAGTTTGAAACTTATAATCTTCGTTAATGGATCATGGCCAGTGGCATATTCTATGAGAAGCGGTAATTCCTGCTCAAATTGCTTCAACTTGTCTTGGTAGACGATTTGTAATGCTTCCTGATCTAGTGCATTCCAAATTTTACCAGGAAACAAATTTGGGTTTCGAGTTCGGATATCGTTCCACTCTGGTATTTCTTCTTGTACGGCCAAAGTCTGCAAAAATGTCATATTTCCAGATTTTTTGGCACCAGCGTTCCAATTGAAGATTCTTTCATACTTATTCTTTCCTTGAGGGTCGCAAATCAATGTTAAAATCCACAAATCTTGAATACATGAGTCCACCATACTATTGATTAATTTCGCTTTTGGATCGGATTCAAAATTATTGTTGGTCACTATGGATGCGAGTAATCCTTTCTTTGGTATGGTATTACGAACCTGGGTTCTTTCGTTGGTTTCGATTATTATGGGAAGTTCATTATTGGAGGCGGCAAGGTATGACAAGCTGAGTATTGAATGTGGTGAAGTTTTGGACTTTGAGTTTTCTCGTGGCAATTTTAGACCATTTTTATAGCAAAGTATGAGAGAATGTGCTAGAGCTACCGGTGTGGAAGGAATTATCTTCAGATTTACGCCGATAACTCCATCGACTCCAAGAATAAAGTTGTGATCGGGTGCTTTTTCGGGGTCATCTGAAATGAAATAGAAGCGACTTTTTTCAATATCTGAATGGTCACCGAGTGGAGTAGCCTCGTATGTACTTAGGGGAAAGGTATCAAACACCGATTTGACCCATTGAGGCACTTGGAGTCTGCTCATATAGTTTAAGACAAATGAAAATTTGGATGTTCGCACAGTAATGGATTACATACATAGATCTAGTAGACGTGAATTAGTTCGTTGGCATACGCCGTTGGGCCACTTATAGGGTCACCCTGGGCATAGTATGCAAAAAGAATATGCGCTTGGCTCTAATCTTCCTCTTCAGGTATCAAGTCGATGGTCAAATCATGCCATGTTTCGCCGGCAAACTTGCATTCGCTATGGCCGTGATCGTTGAATCCGATCTTTTCGTAGAATGGCACCAATTCCTTGTGAGCAATGATCACCACCTTATCGCCCAAGTCCTGGTTGGAAAGTTTTTGGATGTAATCGTGCATCAATAACGTCCCCAAGTTATTACCTTGCCAATCAGGATCGATCACCAAAGCATGTATTCCCACGTACCTCGAGCTCTCCTGGTGCCCTGCGTTCTTGTCATTGTCACTTGGCAACGCCATCGACGATTCGGTTATACGGTTAGAATGAATCTTGGTGGCCAAAATATGACCGATTAACGTCTCACTCACCACCGACGAAGTGGGAGGAAGTTCGTCCAAATCGTCTTTTCCGGAGCTCTCGTCGTCATGCTCCTTTTCCCGCTTCTCCGCCACCTCCGGGAGATTTATAGCGTTGTATTTATAGTTGTATTCTCTGATGAATAAGCCCGAACACAACTCGGGACACACGGTGAGTCGATACTCGATTTTTTCACGAGCAGCGCGTTCATGTTCCGGGAATCCCCTGGCCTCTAGCTCCACGCACTTGTCAACATCTTCTACAGTCAATGGCCGTATGCTCAAATTTGGTGGAAAGTCCGACATAGTGTCCGGGTGTTTGAAAAGCAAATGTCATTCGAGCGAGGCGTGTGTGCGCCCAGTGCACCGGCCCCGACCTGGGGAAGTCTTACTCCAAGTCTGACGGCTTGATATGCTCGGGGGTATCGGCGTTTACGAGAGATGATCCCACTTGCCAAAGATGGACGATATTGTCATCTGCTACTGATCCCAAGGTCCAATCTTTATATGGACACCAACTGAGGTCCATTACTCCACCTGTGTGTCCTGCATGCATCATGAAGAGTTCCGGGCACCCATCTTCGGCGTCTTCTTGGGCCTGCTCTTCTCCGATCTTGAAGAGGTCCCAGAGGATCAAACGTCTATCCTGTGAGCCTGTGGCGAGAATTCCGTCTTTGTGTGGTGAAAACTCCATGCTTGTAAGTGCATCGGAATGTCCCATCATTGTATGTAGGAGTCCTTCTTTTTTGGTAGACAGTGAAAGTTTTCTGGTATCTATGAGGCCAATGTTGGAATTGGCGTTTCCAAGAGCCACCAAGTGGTGTGAGAAGGGTGAAAACGAGAGTGTGTTGATGCCTTTGGCTGTATCGTCGTGGTATACCGAGACAGGCGTAGTAGCCGAGGCTCGAATGTCAAACAATCTGAACCGATTATCGTCCGAAACCGAGCCAAAAACATGGGCTTCGTGGCCATGCCACTTGGCATCATTCACTATATCGTCGTGTGAAGTCGTTTTAAAAACCTGCGCTTCATTGGTTGCAATTTTTGAGTAGTCGCTGACAATTGCCGATTTGTCGTCTGAAGACGTAAGTAAATATCCCTTGAGATATGGGTTCCAAGAAAGCCCGTATCCATTCTCGTCGTGGGGTGTATAATGCTGTTTTGCAGCCTTGGAATCGTCGGTTCTGTCGTAGAAATCGATCTCTCCTCCGCCATTGATGGTAGCTACAATGTTCGGGTCTTGTGGCATGTACCTCGCCCGGTTTATCTCGTGGTTGTTTGCAAACTTTTTGGTGATTTTGAGACGAGACATTGGTTTATCACCACTACTTGAAACCGGTATTTGAGTATTGGCAATTTTCAAGTAATTAGTGTCTTCGCCAGAAGTATGTGTGCCCAAAAGTAACGAAGACTCATAAGCATCTCCCTCTATAGTATGCTCGGGAAGCCATTGAATGGTCAAAGATGGCCAAGTTAGCGCAGTTTCGCTCACGAATTCGTACATGTATCGACAGTTTTTCCGCCATAATTGGTATTCTTCGTTTATGCTCAATTCCTCATTGGGCTGGTTTTCGAACTCTGTGGCGGCCGCCACGGCTTCAGCTGCCTCTTGAATCGACATGCGTGCTACAAGTGTGAAGTGTTTGCTGAAATCCACGCGTATTACACCCACACACCACATATAGCTCCGGCGGCTACTTGTAGTTACTCTATCATATTACACTAAACTATTTTGTGGTAAGCTCGATCTCCGGTCGGCGGTGTCGACGTCGAGCAGCCACGCCGATGTAGACAGTGTAGGGAGGTTATTTTCGTAGTGGTCAATGACTTTGAGTGCATCAGAGATATGCTCAAAGTATGGGGTATTAGGCTCAGTCAAGTTGTAGATATCACTTGTAGCCGTACCAATGGATCCTGTGGTCGATGGAGGACGGAATGGGTTTGTGGAATAGTACCCCAAAATGTTCAAATCATTAAATAGACGTTTCTCCAACCCAGTATTCTTGAGCCTATACCGAATCTTTTCATCCTTATGGACTCGGACAAAAAATGAAAAAGATTCCTCGCTTGCGATATCCTTCCAACAACGTGGTGAGCATCTGTGCAGCAGACGAGTCCAATCCACTCATTCCCTTAAAGTCAAATATTACGTACTGGGTCTGTGTTCTCGTACGTTTTGTAGCTGGATGTACTCTTGTTGAACCGTATAACTCCAAGCGCCGGAGTCGGGCTTGCAAATCGTTGGTATTGGTAAATGTTAACGGCTCGGGAATACGTATGATAAGGCACCCCTCGACTTCCTCGAGCACATCTTTATTGAGGTGTCTTGAGAACTCATCGGTGAAGAAATTGAGGGTTTGAGATGGCTGTTTTTCAGCAGTTGTATCCAGAGTGGTCAACGAGTCCGAGACAAAATCAGCAGCAACAAAATGGTTGGTGTTTGGGAACCGGCCCAAAATTTGGATTCTTGATGATGCTGAATGTTTAATCACCCGGATCAACAGATAGATCAAGCCGACCGCTATTCCTGCTTCCATAGAAACGAAAACGGTGGTCAACACTGTTACAAAAAACGTCACCAATTCATTGTATCCACGAGCCCTCCAATGAAAGTAAATGTCGTACGGAGCTTCTTCAATCAACAGAATACCAATGGTAGCGGTGACAACACTCAAGATACACTTTGGAATGTAGTAAAGGAAGTCAAGAAGACATAGCATGGTGAGAAGAGCAAAAAGACCCATTATAGCACCCAGAACCGTGGTTTTCGCACTCATGGCGTTTATCTTGGATCTTCCGTATCCACCAAAAGCAGGAAGTGCACCAAAGAGCGAGCCGATAATATTGATGAATCCAAGGGCCACAAGTTCACGATTGGATGAGATTGGAAGATCATAGGTTGATCCCAAAGATTTCAGGGCCGTTGTCGATTCGAAAAATCCCAACATTGCACATAAAAACCCAGAAGTACCCACAGCTTTAAATAGAGGCCAACGATGTGGCGATAATGGGTTATAAAGTATGGCTCCATTTTCGTCGACGTCGCGCTTAATTCTTCCAACGATTTGCACGCCGCCTTCATTCCAATGAAACTGCGAGTTCAACCAGGTGGCTATAGCGACCGTTACCAAGATTTCCGGAAAGTAGGTGATTTTGCGAGCGTATTGACTTTTGGTTTTGGAGATGATTTTTTTGAAGGTTCGCATCGAAATCACCGCTATTAACCCCACCAAACTTATTTTGAACGTTAGCATATGGGTGTGATGAAGATTGCTAACGACAAACTTGGCCTTGTCGAAGCATGTATGTATTTCGTCGCCGGTTTCGCTAGCGTGTTTCAAAGCGTCTGTAAGGCCCAACATGTCGACACTCGCACCCACTGCCATGATGATTCCAACACCACTAATAAAGCCTTTCAAAAGCGAGCCATTGAGGACATTGTCGAGAAACCCAAACCTGCCGAGACCAAATCCTAATAGGGTAGCACCACTAATAAAAGTCATCACCACGACCAAGTCCATAGGATCGAGTTTTTTCTTGTGGTGGATTAACGGCTCTACTGCCTGTCCCACTATCAACGAGATGGCGGCTTCTGGGCCAGTGATCATCTGCGGAACGCTTCCAAATACCATGTAGATGAGCGGAGCAATGGTCAACGAGAGCAATCCGCACACAATTGGTACGTGGGCTAAAGACGAAGCATAGGAAAGTGAGAGTGGGAGCTGGAAAAATACCAACGATAATCCACCAATGAGGTCTCCGACAAAGTAAGACAAGTCGTATTTGAATATCCACGACGCAATGGGAAGATAGTATGGAAGAATCTCAGACCACTCCAAATGGTCCAATTGGTGAGGATGCGGTAGCTCGCCATGTAGATGGTCAGCCACATTGGAATCGACCACTCCAGAAGAATGGAACACCACCGACTGAACATCGTCTTGTTGGGTGAATCTGGCGGAGGAAAATCCATGGTTTGGCTCATCCCGACCCAGAGTTGGTGGTGACTCCTCGGCTCGACTCCTTATTGATGAGTAGACATCTCGCTCTCGGGCACTTAGTAATGGCTGGCGTTCCTTATTAACTCTTGTTTGCGAAACGGGCCGTCGACTGGGTGAGGGACTGCTCATTCTCTGATCATCTTTGGGAGATTTTATGGGCGGAGAGCCAATTGGTTTGGACATAGAACCAAAATAGTCATCGGCGTCCAAAGCGAAGCCGCTGTGGGATGCAGGAGCGTCGTTACGCGCGGTGGCCGCCGTGGTTGCAAGTTGCAGCCGTGTGGACCGTTCGCGGCGGAAGGTAGTTGGTGATAGGGAGATTGAGTGGCGAGAAAGGAAAAGGAAACAACAAGCAAATTAAGATATGGGGGAAGGGGGGAGGGTTCATTAACAGTAATGAGAAAAAAAGAGTCATTTGTTTTCTTTTTGAAGATTGTGTGATCGTCACAAACTCGCAAGCTCCTCACTTAAACCGTCTTTTCCTTTTCGTCAACTTTTCTCTCGTCAACTCTACCATTCCTCTTTACTGACTCCTTAACCGTTGCTGATAATTTGGTGTTTCGTGTCCTGCATACACTGCTCCCTCGCCGATACCGGATTTTTCATCGCCTGACTCACCAATGAAGTACATCCAGAAGCGTCTCTTCTCCCTCACGAGGAGATGTCTCGATTCGCTTGTCTTTGTGGAAACGGCTAGCGGAAAGGTTACCTCGGGGTCTCTTTCCACCATCACAGCTGCAGCGCAATTGGGTGAGCCTGTAACTGCGTTGGTTGCGGGAAGTGAAGGAGAAGGTGTTTCGAAGCAAGCTGCCGGTATAGAAGGTGTTTCGAATGTTCTCGTGGCCAAGGACGCCAAGTTTGATCACTATTTGGCGGAAGAGTTGTCGCCATTGATTAAAAGTGTCATTGAATCTCGTAATTTTTCACACTTTGTCACACCATCCTCAGCCGTTGGAAAGTCGTTGCTTCCACGTCTTGGAGCAATTATGGACCTCCAGCCGGTGAGCGAGATCATCAAGGTGGAAGCTAAGGATACATTTGTGCGCCCTATATACGCAGGCAATGCATTGGCGACGGTCAAGTCGAATGAAAAGACAATTCTTTTCAGTGTCAGACCTTCTGCTTTCGCTCCAGCTGCTACTGGTAGCGCTGAGGTTCCTATAGAGGAGATAAGTGCCGACACAGACTCACAGTCTCGGACGGAATTTGTTTCAGAAGATTTGGTTACTTCCGAAAGACCAGATTTAGGTTCTGCTAAAATCGTGGTAGCAGGCGGACGAGGACTTAAAGACAAGGAAACTTTCGACAAGTTGCTAGAGCCCTTGGCTACCAAGCTCAATGCTGCCGTTGGAGCCTCTAGAGCAGCAGTAGATGCTGGATACTGTGATAATTCATTGCAAATTGGTCAAACAGGCAAGGTTGTGGCCCCGGATTTGTACATAGGTATTGGTATTTCCGGTGCCATCCAGCATTTGGCCGGAATGAAGGACTCCAAGACCATCGTTGCCATCAATAAGGACCCAGAAGCTCCACTTTTCAACGTTGCCGATATCGGGTTGGTAGCCGACTTGAACGAGTCGTTAGCCGAGTTGACGGAAAAGTTGTAAAAACAATATAATGTGCAAAAAACAATACAATGTGATAAAAACAATACAATGTGATATTTGTAGAGAAGAAGGGACTTTCTTCTTCATCGACAAATTTTTTTGATCTTCAATTCCTTTTGGTTTCCCTTGGTCTCTCTTCTCCTTCCTGCACACACGCACACTACATCCTCTCAGCCGTTCTGCTCTCTTTAATCTCATCATCATGAACACAGAACCACGCACCGGTGTCCAGCTCGAGCGTGAGCGGGTCACCTGCTTGCTCCTCATCAATACCCAACTCATGAAAAAGGCTATAAACTTATATGTCAACATTCTTACAAATCAACAAGCTCTTCAGCTGCTCCCGCCTCAGAACAAACAGTCGATAATTGAGCTGTATCAAAATTGTACCCGTAGACTTCATTGCAATTTAGCAGTTCTTTCAACTGTGCACGAGAAATACCACTCGACCGTGCCTCTGCTGGCTCAACCAAACAAACCTCAGTTTCCAGTCATCATGTCGGCTCCACCAGATATGCCAGAACTCAACCAACTTTACACCAAATTGCAAGAATTATATCCAGATGCGGTCCGGTTCTTGAAGATGAAATACCAGCAGTTGCGCAAACAGGCTCAGGGGTCGCCGGTGGGTCAGATGCCTGGAATGCAAAACATGCAAAACATGCCTCAAAATACCCAAAGTATGCCGCAAAATACCCAAAACATGCCACAAGGTATGGCTCAAAATAAACCACAAGGTATGCCGCAAAACATTCCCCAGAACATGCAAAACATGTCGAATATGCTGAACATGTCGAACGTGCCAATGCCTCAAAACATCATGCAACAAACACCCACCTACTCGCCGGCTCTATCCCAGGCTCTGCAGCCCGCCATGACACCCAGTAGCGCCACTTTTGGCGGCGGAAATAAAGACGACTTTATGATGCCTTCGCAGCAGTCGCAGTTTTCGGGCTTTAATCCACAGGCAGTGAACTCGGGCTACCAGAACGTATCGCAAGAACCTCAGATGCTGGCCATGTCGCCACAGCAGATACTCCAGCAGGCCAATACCGGGACCATGGACTTCTACTCGTGAATTTATTTTGGTCTATTACTATCAATCGTCCATCGCCTGGAACTCATCGTTGACAATGTCGTTATAGCCCCCAAGGCTTGTCGATGGAAACTCCAAATCCCGCCCTTCGTCGGGGTTCCACGCCGTATTGGTGGGACCCATATTCAACCACACCGCTTCATGGGTGATTTCGTTCCACAATTTGTGCTCTTCGCTGGAAAATGCGAATCCTTCAATGTCCGCCAAATCGCCGTTGTTATTGGGCAAAATCTGTGGTGCCAAATCGGTGTCGGCATGCATTCCTATGGCTGTGTCTTGCGGAAGAGGCTCGTGGTCCGGAACGAATCCGTGGCTAAATTCAGTACTATCATTGTTCAGCGACGTTGCACTGCTGGTCGCTTCTCGAACATCATCGCCATGTTTCTCCACTAAATCAGTCATCACCCCGTTAAAGTCCAACAGACTGATCAATTTGACAAGCTGGGCCCGCCGAAGCGCAGCGGGATAATTGCCAAGACGTTTCATTTTGGTGAAAATGGTGAGTGCGTGGTCAAGGTGTACTTTTGTAGCCTCATGAACGCCAAATGAGGCACTGAACAATATGAGCGTCGACGACGACGTAAAGAGGTACTCTCTGTCCATCCAGCCAAAAAGAGCCACCATGTTTTCCGGAACGAGAGCCCAAATGGATCTTATGGTGTTTATGGATGCTTGAAACGAAGCGTTGAGTAACATCGATACGTTCTTGGGATACTTGGTGAGGTCGATGTACTTGTTGGTGCTGCTGTGTGATTGGAGCTCCTGCAATTTCTTTGTAGCAAAATGGAAGAGAAGCGGTCGAACAGCGAGGTTCATGCCTTGAAAATATTCCGTCATGAGGTTGACGATAAGACGAGATACTTTTATGTCGTCGTCGCCGTAATTAACCTGAAGAAACTCGGGCAATGCTGACTTCCAGTTGAGTAACTTGTGGACAAGCTCTGAAACCACCGGTAAAATATTGACGGTGGGTTGTTTGGTGTATAACGATGATAAAATAATTGCGTTTATCTGGGTGATAAGAACACAATTGTTGATATACTCAGCGGGTGGAAAAATGTATAAATCAGAGTTCCCATCGCCGTGGTCGGTTAAACCCAAATTTTGAGGAAGTTCCGTCGATACGCTATCGTCGGTGAAACTGAGAGGAAGTCCCGCTTTCGAAGAGAGCATCCGCTCATACATATAAACGGTCCACCAAACCCGGCGTCGATGTTCCAATTCGTACTTGTTTAGCAGACCTTTTTCCGCATCTACGTGCCATCCAAGTATGAGCGCCGAACGAAGTGCCAACCCGAAATAAAAGTAGGATGCAATGGTACAGTCTGCCACTTGAAGGTAGAACGCATAGAGCAAGATGACTTCAATTCCTCCATCTTTGGTGGTGTTGTCGATGGCTCCCGATGCAAACAAGCCAGTGAACAACTCGGATGCCTGATAGAAGAATTGTGAGCCTGGAAGGGTATTTTTTTTGTGGGTTTTGGTTTCGTGCTGGTACGGCTGTTTCACTTGTGAGCTCAGTTCTGTGCCCAAGTACATTTCTCCCACGGCAAAGATGAGCATTACTTTGCAGAACCAGAGGGTTTCGAGAATGGCATCGTCCTCGGTGGAATTGACGAGCGACTGGTCATAATTACGCTTGAGAATTTTCATATTTGCAGCGGTGTCGCCGGCGTACAAATTCATAAGGAACAGCTTGACGAGACCCTCGTTAAAGAAATAGAAACATCCATCGTTGTAGTTGACAAATGTATCGACGAGAAGCATGGCGTAGGAGTAAGATGGCATGGTGAAATTAATGGAAAGTCCCGGGCGCGTATTTGTTTTTGCCAAGGTGATTTTGTAGGCGTTTCCCTCTTTTTCAAGTATTCTGGTTTCTCTCTCGCTCAGCGGGTAGTGGCTCGAGTCTACGTTGACTGGAGGATCCATAGAGGTGGTGGTGGTGGAGGCAGTGGATGTCTTGGGGGACCGTTTAGGGTCAATGAACAAGCTGGAACTTGCAAAAGCAGGCACCATATTCTGGATCTCCAACCCAAATAGCGTCATGGAAGACGGTCCCACATAGAGTTTTTCGCCGGTTCGGGCGTGGATAAGGCGACCATACTTGTCCAAGGTAGGGTGAATAATATCAGCTACCGAGCTCGTGGTGAACATATTGAAATTAGGGTCCTTTTCAGGAGGTTGGGTTTCGAACGAATGGTGGTTATTGGACCTATGAAATAGCGAATTGTGTTCAAATGTCTTGGTTACGTCGGCCGAGTCTTTTGCAATTTGCGGCATGGTTTCGTGTTGTTTCAAATCATTTCGGAGCGCAGCATTGTCTCGCTTTAGTCGTCCTATGTCCTGGTGTAGCTTCGTCAAGTACTTTAAAGACACCACCACCTTCTTATCTCCCTCCACGTACTCGCAACGGGTCTTTGCAAGAACGCATTTTTTGCACGGATCGCCGCCCGGGCATCGGATGTGTCTCATTCTGCACCTGATACATGCCAAGGGGGTCCGCTTCTTGGAACTTTGGTCCTCGAGGTCTGCGGGGAGACCTTCAATGGTATTGGTGTCCATATACTCTGATTCTTGTGATGGATTCCTGTGCTCATCGGAGCGGCTCACATCCAACACCGCGAGTACGGGGAAGAAGTGAGGGTGAGTAATACGAGCAATTGCGAGGGCATTAGTGAGTGAAAAGGGTTAATACTGGACTCTATAAGCTCCAAAAAGAGAATAATCCTTAGTTGAGTCTTTTGTTTCTTATTCTTTTCGTTTTTATCTCGTTCTTATTTTCCTTCTTATTTCGTTCGATTTCGTTCTTATTCGGTTTGTCTTGTCATGGTCAATTATGCAGCTAACTGACCTTCCCGACGAAGTTGTCGCTCGAGTATTCTCGTATGTGCTGCCCAATGTGCTCCACGACAAGTTTTTGCCGTCTAAAAGTTGGGATACTCTTTCTGGTTTGCAGCTACTTGCCTACAAGTCCATCGTTTCGGGGACAATTATCGTACGCGGTGGCAACCACACAAACAAAATGGATTCAGTGGGACTCTTTCACACTCAAACCGAGTTGAAATCCGCATTCACAATCAAAACCATGGAACGTGGCTACGACACAATTCGAGATTTGATAATGTACAATATGAAGTCACAAACTCCGGTGCTTCCTGTTGAGCTAGGCTTATACTATCGGTCCGATGGCCACGAGACAGAAGAGTACGTGGTGAGTGAATTGAGGGCAATGGTCAAAATCTTGGAATTATTGGCGGTGGGCTACCTGCTGGCTATCCCAGTAGTCAATGTCCAATTAGAGCACAATGCCGATCCAAGTCCAACCCTTAAGTCATTACGACGTAAAGTCACCAATCGAATGCTGGCGCTCGATAAGCGTTTGTGCAAAGTTTTGTTTGCTCGAGAATTTGCAGCATCTCCATTTTACGATCACCTTCAGTTCATGTCTTCGCGGTTTGAAAACTTGAAACAAATTCATTTTTGGAACGACGGCATTCGAGATATCTCTTTGCCTCGAGTCGCTTCATGTGCGCCGAACCTACAAGTGTTGGATCTCTCGGGAAATTCCATATCGAATTTGGTGAGAGTACCGGTTTCCGAATCGATTACTGTTTTGAGAGTCAGAGCAAATGGCCTAACTTCGCTCGAGGGTCTCGAGTTCAAGTCCTGTGGTTCGTTGCGTGTTCTTGATGCCTCTGTGAACGATATTGGTTCGCTTGAAGGAGTGTTTTTACCTCCCTCGATTCGAAACTTGGACGTTAGTTTCAACGCTATTGCCAAGGTGGGACTCATTATGTTGCCAGCCAACTTAGAGACTCTCAAATTATCAAAAAACAGCATTCTGTCGTTGACTCATCTAGAACTTCCGCCGTCGCTCCAGAAACTCCAGCTCGATTCCAACAATATCACGGCGCTTCCAATTGACTTTTTTCACCATACTCATAAATTGACAGTCTTGGATCTCTCAGATAACAAAATTGACGATTTGGACGAATTGGGTCAGCTTCCTGACTCATTACAACACCTTAAGTTGGATGGAAACCAAATCGACTACAGTAATCTCTCCAACATTTTGCAGCCAAATTTGCGAACATTATCCATGGCATCCACTGGGCTCGTTTCATTGACCCATTTAAATTTCCCGCCATACCTTTCTGATATCAATTTTTCCAAGAATGAAATCAGCGAGTTGGCACATATCAAGTTTGGACCCCATTTAGCCAAACTTGACCTCTCCTATAATAGGTTGGAAAGTTATAATCCTGCACAGCAAAAGCTCGATATACCCGCTACGGCGATGGTTATACTAGAGCATAATTCACTAAAAGATGAGGTAGAGAAGTAAACTATAGAGAAGGAGCTTAAAGTAATTGAAGAAGAAGCTAGAAAGTGTAGAGAAACCACTTCTATAACTTGATTGCAGGGTATAGTTCTGATGCGATGGCTAGTATGAAGAAGTCTCTTAAACAAGTAAATCAAACTATATACTGAGAAACTAAATGGGATATCAATCCTAACGTTTTAAACCTAATAACCATCCATGTTGAAGTAAATGCACACAACTTTGCGATTACTGAGGAGGAAGCACATTGGCCTTAGTTTCGCCAACCATGTTGCCAGATGGGTCGTACGAGCAAATGATGTAGTGACCCCAGTTCTTGGCAGAACAGTCCTTGATAGCACATCCCAATTTGGTGGTGTCCTTCCATACCACTTGTGTAAAGTGGTCGTAAGTTGAGCCCGAGTTGTAGTCGAAATTGTCACCCTCAGCGTACCAAGCGTCGAGAGCAGACACACCATCACTGTAGCCAACCGCGAGATTCTCACCATACTCACCACCAGAATGGGTCAATTGACCAGAACAGTCGTACTTGTCGGCGTAAGCCTGGGCGTATTCATAGACATCTTTGTCCCAGCTCAACTTTCCGGCCAGGTGAAGTGCTCTTTTTTCGTTATGGGCATCCAAGATGTTCTTGGCAAAGGTGGCATCGAGACCAGAAGACTTGGCGATGTCGGCGTAGATGGGGTCATCACTAGAAGACGACGAAGATGCTGCTGGTTCATCAGTCGAGGTCGTAGCAGGCTTAGACGAAGTAGACGAAGTTTTAGTTACGAGAGTGGTTGGGGTTTGTTGGGTGGTTGGAGTCTGTTCACCTTCAGTCTGTAAACCGACCTGGGTAGTACCAACAGCGCCGTTAACGGTGGTAATGTGATATTCAGTAACGTAGACGGTCTTTGCAGTCACCACGGAGGCGAGAGCCAAGGCGGCGGAAAATGATAACTTCATAATAAAGGAATGAGAAACTGACTCGAATGGATTGACTGAATTAACTCAGAAGGAATGTTTGGTCAAGTCAAGGAATGAAGACTAAGATGACCTTAAGGAATGAATGAAGATGAGGAGGAGTCCAGGATATTTATACGCAAGCCACGTTTGATGTGAAAACGATAAAAAAAAAAACAAATGGTTCTAGAGTGCCGTCGCATATGTAGGTAATATCTGCGGGGGTTTCACAACGGGATTGCATGAAAACGCGCTGATCGGAAACACGTTTCAGAAGGGGAACAAACGCGCCCAGGCTGCGCCAAAGTTTAGCACCATCGCACATAATCGCAGAAAAACGCGTAGTACACAGGCGCCGAGCATTGTATATTCGCTGGGCATGAGCACCGTTCGAGACTAATGGTTTGCATTTCCGTGCTCATATCTTGGCCAGGCCAAGCCCGTCTAGACATCGGTTACCAGAGATGGCAAATTGATGATCGGCAGGAGGTTAGTAGCGTGGTCAAACTTTATCTCATATTGACATTTTTTGTGTACACTTTGATCCGATTGGTGAACAAAAATTGTCTCATTTTCACATCCTCATTCTCATATCAATTTTCGTCTCTCTCATTTCGCAGTCTCATTTTCAATTTTTGTCTCATTCTCATTTCTATTTTCGGTCTCATTTCTCATTCTCATTCTCATTCTCATTTTTCGGTCTCATTCTCATTCCATTCTCAGTGTCGCTCTAACTTTCCTTCGCACTTCACTTACTAATTCTCATCTTCTCTAAACCTTAATTCGCAACCTTAATTCAACCTTAATCTCATTCCGGGTACCTTAACGTAAACTCAGATTCTGCAAAAGAAGCCCAATCCTGTAAAAACTTTACCCCACTATTAGCCATCAATTCCATATCACCAATAACGCACAAGTGCCGTTTTGGTCTGGTCATTGCAACATTGAGTCTTCTCTTGTCACGAAGAAACCCAATCTCTCCTTCATCGTTGCTCCTGACGAGCGAAATCAAAATTGCTTCCTTCTCTCGGCCTTGAAACCCGTCCACCGTTGACACTTCAACCGCCGGATTCTGCAAGATTTTTTTGATTATTCCCACCTGCGAGCTGTATGGGGTTATGATCCCAATTGACTCGGCTGTTACTCCGGCATCTATTAACCGGTGGGTATGTTGTACCACCAACTCCGCCTCATGCTCGTTGTATTTGGAGCCCGTGGTATCATCGTCTGTTTGATCATTGAAGCCTTGGCCTTGAGTATCGTACCAAATACATACTTCGGTGGTGTCGTCATTGTGCATAACATCTGTCATATCTGCAAGCGAGATGTCAGCTACAGATTCATGCGCAAGCAATTTACCGCCGTAGAGTTCTCGACTAGGAAACGTCATGATCTGCGTATTCATCCGATATTGGGTGTCTAGAAGCTGCTTGTACTTGGCACCGCCGAGTCCGATCAACCGATCAAAGAGGGTGTGTTCTAGACTGTATTTTAGACGTAGATCTTTGAGTCGATCACCGACTTCTTTCTTTTCTCTCTTTTTTTTCTCCTCGCTCTTTACCGTTGGGGGAAGCTGCATGTTGTCGCCAGCAATCACCAACCGCTTGAATCCAAGGTGGTTGACGAGTGGAATCCAACATTGTGGTTCCATCGACTGCGAAACTTCATCGATGATTATGGTATCAAAAAGTGGCTTTTCTGGCCCAAACGCTTGGTCCTTATATATCGAGGTCAACTCATAAGAACCAGACCCATGCAACGTAGACAACACAACCTGGGCTCCAACCACAAGATCTTGAACAACCTTCTTTTCGCGAATGCGAAGTTCTTTCTTCAACTGTTTCAATTCACTATAGAGGGCTCTTCGTTCTCCATATCGCTTGGTCTTTTTGATTTGCTTGAGTGTATCACTTATATCGGTCTCGATGTCTTGGAGAATTGACTTGCTATCGTTGGTAGAACCGTAGTTGGTTTTGGACATTACATCCAACGAATGCTGCAAATTCGCATTTAATAGTCGAGCAGGATGGCCTATTCGAATAAGTTTTTCAGGGTTTCCCTTGATTTTTCTCTTTTTCTTTTTGGTATCCAACTCTTCCGTGAATGCTGGGGAAAGTCGCTCGAGAATTGTGTCAACAGAAATGTTCGATGGCCCACAAACGAGCACTCGTTCACCTCGGTTGAATGTGAGCTGCTTGATGAGTTCTATCAACGTATACGTTTTACCAGTGCCTGGAGGACCGTGGATTATCGTTATTGGTGAACTATTCAACGCAAATGAAATGGCGTTTTGCTGGGAAGTATTGAGCTGAGAATCAAAGAAGACAGTTTGTGTCTTTGGTGTGGGAGAGATGTGCGGTTCGATTTCGCCCAAAAGCACCCGGTGAATCACATTCTTTTTGGCATCATTGAGCTCGGAAAGCTTTCCCAAGGCGCTGTTCATTCGTTTGTAAGTAATGGAGTTGGTGAGCTTGACGATCCAGATTTTTGTTGACTCATTAGCGGTATTGTTGTACAAGCCGAGCTCATTATCGTCGTCCTCCACAGCAGCAACAATGCTGTTCGACGAGATCTTTGTTATCACGGCATCTACGGCATCAGAAGTATCTTTTTGAGGTTCTGTGGAATTTTTCATGGTGTCGATTCGAACAATATCGCCGACTCGAAGCGACCCGGTTGAAAATTCTGTATTTTCGCCTCTTACCGAAGGATCAAGGGTCAATTCCATCAATAGTTTGCCACCAAGTCCTGTTCTTATTCCATGGACAACCAAGTTCACCACAGCTAGTCCCAATTTGGCAAGCTTTTTTGGAGAGTATGATGAAAGATATTCCAGAGTCAACTCCGAATCTGCTTGTTGCTCCAATTGCAAAGCAGCTTTGAAATCCAGTACCAATTCATTCTGTAGAGACATCAGGAAGTTAGTATTTACGATGAATGTCTACGTCTGTTTGCATCAGTTTTTCGTAGAAACACCACAATGGTGGTCCCATGCATCTTGATGCCATTGCTGTATGATCCGCTGATGTACCAGACGTAGAGGTAAGATACAATGAAGGATCACGTACTGTGTACTCTAGTCATTGACTAGTAAATGAAATGCGAACGATAGTTCGCATTTTGTCGCAACTCAGGTCAGAGTAGCTGGAGGTTGCAATTTATTTGTGAGAAGAGTTTTGAAGCCTAGAAGTTGTAGGACTTATCTATTTCATTCGTGTTACTTCTTTCTACAATATTTCAAGATTTTATGAATAAATTCAATTTTTTTATCATTATGATTTTTTCTATAATTGTCAATTTTTGCAACAATTAGAATATCTGAGAAATTACATTAATGAAAATTTTGACCAAATCTTCACTCACCTAGTCAAACCATGAACATGTCTCATACTGTAACAATTATAAACTTCTTCCAATTCATTTCACTCATCCTCCACCAATTCAAGTCTTTCAAGTACCTGACCTACATTCCACCTACATTCATCCACTTTTCCACTTTTTACTTTTTCCATTATCAACTATATTACATGCTACCTCCGGCCGGGTGGAGGTGGCGGTGGGACAAAGTTCCCGCCCTGTCTGTTGTTAAAATTGGGCATAGGCATTCCAGGCGGCATCATACCCATAGGCGGCATTCCGGGTGGCATTCCAGGCATCATTCCCATTGGGGGCATTCCCATTGGTGGTGCCATGTTACCATTATTGTTCTGCCCGTTGGGCTTGGGAGGAGGTCCACCGCCACCCATTAATTGTGCCATCAATTTTTGAGGATTAAATTCGCCTCGTAATTTGTCTTGCTTGCAACAGTAGGCAGTCCATGAAAATTCGTCGAATCCATAGTTGAAATAATCAGATATATCTGCACCCGGGAACCGCCATGGCTTGTCTTTGAGCTTTTCCAAGTCCACCTGAGTCAATGGCTTGCCATCAAGTTCGGCAACTGCATTTACATCGACAGTGGTGGGTTTGGAGGAATCCTTGGCCACCACTGCATTCGACTTATTCTGGTCCTCGGCGTCTGTAACTGCGTCTATGGTGTCGTTATGGGTCCCAGAGCTCGTGGTGGCCGTGCTGGGCTTGGAACCGGTGTCGCCAATGACAAATTCAATGTCATCGTCGGAATCTTCTTCTTCGTCAGAATCATCATTCTCGTTTTTTGAAGGTGCTGGAACGGTTTCTTTGACCTCGACCGATGGCGCTGTCTTCTGCTTCTTCTGGACTGGCTGCTCGTTCTCGTCGGAACCATAGAGAAAGTCGTCGTCGTCGTCACTCTGTGGCGGCATATTGAAGTTGTAATCTTTACATAAATGAGAATCTAACATAATTGTTGCACACCTGTGCACCCACATTAAATCGCTATAGTACATCGTTTAGTATTTATTCTACAATCATGGATGCTGGCCTTGACCGTCTTTCTTGCCTGATTGCCGCATCTTGCATCATTAACTTGACCCATGGTTGGTGGCGCAACTTGTTTCTGTGCACCAATTTCTGAAGAATGGAGATCCAGGCGGCTTTCTCACGACCATTATCGGTGCCGAATTCAATGGTTTCTCCATTGGCAAATTTAACTTTGAAAGCATGCTCGAAAAGTAATCCATCGCTGAAATTTCTATAGTTCCCGGTGGATCTGGCATTTTCCTTGTCGAGATAGATAACGTCAACAATCTTGGACAAATTTATCTTTGCTCTGGGCTTGAGCGAATACTCGCTATGAGCAATCAACGAAGAGCCATTGAGCTTGAAAAACCGTTTTTTCCATGTCTCACAGTCTCCTCCTTCTTGGTGCATGTAACCTTCGTGAGTAAATTCGGCTTCACGGAGAATCAGCGAAGCAGTATCGTAAGCACTCTTGATACTAGTTGGCAAACATTCCCATTCTTCAACTTTAGGTACAAAGAGCATTTTCACTTCAAGTTGTCCAATCTTGTAGGGTTGGGTCTTGGTCAACTGGGTGTTGTTCACAGCAATAGTTTCCCATTCGTTGAAACAGGTGAGGTTGAAACTGCAAACTTTACCCGTAATCTTATCTTCATATTGATCCAAGTCAACGTAACAACGGGCAAACGAGCCATCCTGGGCAATTTTACGGCTCCAACTGTCCTTGGCTTCTTGAGCAACGAATTTCGTCGTGGTGATTATATCCTTGGAACCAAACATACGGCTGATTCTATTCTTGGATTTCACTATCCGTCTTTCTCTCACCTCCTTTAAAGTACCGTTTGGTTTCTCATATGAAGCCTTCATAGTTAAAATGAACTCCAAAGAATCACACACAGTGAGTTCAAACTCCTTACCAATAATGGCGTTAGATCCGTCAAGCTTGTAGTTTGGTGTTTTGATACAATGAACTCCGTTGTCCAATGTCACACTAAACTCGGCCTGGTGCTTAGAAATGTCAGGTAATGCCAAGTTCTTGATACCAACTACTCGCAAAAATAATCTGCCTCGTTCGTGGGTTGGGGGTGACTGAGCCTGCTGGGTGTACTCGTGCCTTTCTCGATTCGTACTTAAGAGTGTTGCATCTGTCGTAGTAGAATCAAGCGTAGGAACCGACACTGTACTTGGCTTGGGCTGGTGGTCGTACTCTAGAGGCTTCGAAGCATTGGCAATATTGTCTTTTTCTTCAAGTGGAGCTCTTCCCTTGGCTGGCGATCTGATCTTTATAGGCGAAAGCCTCTCTCCCTTTTTGGTTTCTGGTTTGTCTACCACCTTGTAGTTGAACTTTTCCGGGCTGTAAGTTGGTTTCAAATCAAGTTCGCTTTCTTTGTCATTGTCTACCGTCCGTGTAACAGGGCGCGAGTTCTTCTTAGGGGTTACCACCAAGTCAGGGTGAGGATCAGGAAGACGATCCAGCACAATCTCCGGTTGTGGTTGTTCAGGCTTGCTTGCGCTGGCTGAAGGGACTCGGGTACTAGGCTGTGAGTTATTGAAGATGTTGGAAGCACTGGAGTAGAAGTCGTAATCACGGAAGACTTGATCGCTGGAAAGCATCGCCTTAGGCGCTCTGAGCAACTCATTTGCCAAATGAGGCAATACATCTTTATCAACGACCAGCTCGGTGTCAACTGAAGTGTTCACTATAGAGGCATGTTGTTGCATAGCATCGTAATCGTCATCATCGCCGGCGACAACAGCTCTGCTTGAGTTTTTATTTCCCAATCTTATCCTGGAATACTCGTCTTGACTGATTACTCGTTTGGTCTCCAAGATTCGCTTCACATCACCTCGATCCATGCTGGGTAGAGTTTTCATTCCATGTCCTCTTATCGTTGGAGCCTTCACCGTATCCTCGTAGATGTCATTATACATGTTTCTGGGAGACAAAATAGAGGTTGACCGCTTGATTTCAAATGATGGAACCCTGAATTTGGAAGGCTTAACGGTGATCTTTCCTTTAGCCAATGAAGGCGGTACTTTTGCAGGCTCGGGTCGAAGCGAATGTCTGACAGAGCCGCTATCTTGAGTAGAGAAAGAGGTGTCATCGTCAATATTCGACAACACGTTGGTGGTACTTAATGGCTTGTGGGCAGAAATTTTGCGAGAAGTAGTGTTCATGGTTGAATTTGCTTCACGTAACATGCTCTTAAAGTGTGTTTCGAACCCAGAATCATCGGACAATTCTGGCAAGAAACCTGACACTTGTAAGTCGTCAACTTCGGGATCGAGAACTCGTCTTGACAAGACATTGACCTCACGGAATTTATTTGGTAGCAACGACTTTGGGATACGACGTTGTTCTTCAGCAACTAATGCAGATGAATGGGGGACATCTAAATCCTTAAGGATATGGCTCGAACTCAAACGTTTCTGATGCGTCTTTTTCTTTTCATGGGTCCTCCAAATAGTCAAGAAATCGGTTGGTGCTTTCTCTACATCATTTTCAGCGGATAAAGAGTCTTCAAACGCAGAGCCAGACTTTTCAACATTCTTAGTAATGTCTTCGAAAGAACTATAGTTCCCAATTTCAACTTGAGGGAGCGTCAATTCTTCGGGCGGAGCAATGTTAGATGAATTGGCGAGAACATTTTCTTCTTTATCTTTATCTTCTTTGTCTTCTATCTTTTGTGATTCCGACTCTGAGTGAATACTCTCATTCAAGGATTTCGTTGGAGATCTTGGAGGTGCTAAAGAGCGAACCGTGAAGTCTTCGGATGCATCCTCAAACTGTGGTGTAGTTTCTCTTGAGTTTGAAGTCGAAAAAGGTGGATTTTGCTGGTCTTGACCAATTTCAGTAACATCATTCTTGGTGTAATCAGAGTTATCCTCCTTGTCTCCATCATGGCTGTCCTCAAACTTCCAATCCCCATCGACATGATCACGAATAGAGAACTGTCCCGTTTGGTCCACAATGTCCGAATCATCTTTGAGAGTGAAAACAAAACGTTGAGACGTGCTACTGTCGCCTTCGGGTCTTTCTGTGGGTGTTTCTTCTGGCTTTTCTTCGAGCTTTGCTTCGAAATGTATTTCGTTGGTTTCTTCAGTCTCGAGAGGAGCTGTAGTTTGCTTAGTCTCTGCACCAACTAGGTCTGATCTCGATCCATTGAGTAAATTCATGATCGACTTTTCAGTGGTGTCATAGGAGTTCTCATCAGAGCTGACAATCTCTTTCTTTGAGCCTTTCGAAGTGAATTCGAGGTGGTCAGAAGACGAGTCTTGGTTCTGAGGAATTAAGGATTCGACCATGGTATCGGATAAGCCTTTGATACCCTCGTTCAATTGTACACCTTTGGAGCTAGACCAGCCAGCATAAGATTGTAATACACGGTTGTCATCTCTCAATGATTGTAGCGAAGAATGTGAAGAGCCTGAGGATCTCAATTGAACATCCGATGTGTCTGCTAACGACTCAAGGGGGTTCTCAATTTCTTGGGCGTTGTGTTTCTGCAAGTCGAGAGAAAGGTGATGGATATTAGACTGGTTTTGCAATGCGACAGCTTTTTGCATGTTTTCTAAATGTTGATCCAAGTCGTCACCGGTCAGTTTCTGGGAAAGGTAGATATCCATTTTTTCCTTCAAAGGCATTTCATTGTAGTGGCGATTTTTAAGCTCGGAAAGAGTGGACGAGTCAACATCATCGGCAGCGTCGTTGTTAAGAAGTGAGTTGAAGCTGGTATGTGGAGGCGGGCTAGGTGGAGCTACATCCTCTTCTTCCTCTGATGACGACTTGTTGATTTCGTTATTCCACTGGTGATTCAATTGTTCTGGTTCAGGAGGTGAGTGGGACCGCAGGGTTTGGGTATTGGGTGCTGGATAACGATGAATTTCAGGATTGGAGTTAGTGAAAGCAACGCTTTTACGAGGAGAGTTTGAAGCTGATTTTTTCATGATGGAGCGATTGGGCGATTCCAGGGCATCAAGCGAGCGAGTTTCTGGCCGGTGCGAGCCGGTGGGGTGGCTAAGGTCGGTGGTGGATGTCATCGGAGTCTTATTATCAACAAAGGAGAACTCGTCAATAGGAGAAATTTCGTTCTTGTTTGACTCGATAGTCTGATGGACCTGGTCGGACGAGTTAAAGTCAAAATTACGGTCTAGCGAAGTGTTGGGGTTTTCCTTTTTAACGGGAGATTGTCGAGATTCAGACTCGCTAATATAGGTGTCAGACGACGAGCTAAAGTCCTTATCGCGGGGTTCCAACTTGATGGCTTGGTTAGGGAAATTAAGAGGTTTTGTAGGGGAGTTGATAGGCGACGGCAAGTCGAGATCTGCCATCATTGCTGTGTTGGAGTTCATTTCTTTGAGTAAGAGGTCCATGGATTCTGGGTTAGTACGCGTCTAAGAAATAGTCAGGTAAATGAAGGTGTGATGAAGGTGATGAAGGTGGATGAAGAAGAACCAGGAAATGAGCCATAGAGTTTATACTTCAGTAAAGCAAGCGTATCAGGTGTTTCAGCAAGTATCATCTCTTGTTTGGACGTGTTTACGTTTAGTTTTCATTCAGTTGTAACTTACCATTTTCGTGTTTAAAGATATCTTCAGACTTTGACATTGGCAATAGAATCTGAGACTCTTCCTCAGTCTTTATCTGCGGATCCATAATGAGTAGATGATTTATGCAGAAGATGACTTAAGAGTGTCTGTGTATATGAATGTTTGGGTTACCGCAACGGGACGAGATGTAAAGAAACACACGTGAGCGCGCGGGCGGGTTACGTAGCGAGGGTCGTGCGAAGTCTCGTGAGAAGTCGTGGGCGGGCCGTGAGAATTTGTGGAATAGTGTCGTGTAGTAGGGCACAGCCTCGGTGCGGGCTCGCGACATCGCCGAGGTAGGCAAGGATCAATACCGATTGGGTCGAGGATGCAGCGAAGGACAAAGTAGGTATAATGGTAAACAGCAAGAACGTGAGGGGGGGGGAAAGGTGAAGTAACTTATAGGAGTTTACTAGTCTTTTACATAGTCTTTTGATTAGTCTTTTACGTAGTCTTTTCTTATTCTTGTACGTAGTTTCTTTCCTAGTCTCTTTATTTTGTTCCTGTACCATGTCCAATTCTTGTTTTCTGAAATTCATCGAATCGCGGCGCGAAAAAGTGCGTCGATCTGCCGCGACGTGTCGCGGGGCGCCGCAGAGCCATATCGGTAAGTAACGCAACACAAAGAGCCCTGAGAGACTGCCCAGAGATCATGTTCAGTGAGTTGTAGCCAAGGAGAAGACATCTCAGGGTGAGCTAGTTACTAGTAAATGATCCTTCAATGTACCACTTGTCTCTTCGTGTCTTCTTCGTTTTCATGTTTTCCTCTTCTTTTTCCTCTGTTTGTCCCTTCGCACAATGCATGCATTCCACACGAGGCGAAAAAAACATAACCATGCCGCAAACACCCGAAATATAAAGCTGGCGAGCCTTGTGGTGTAAAATTTTTTTCGTTGTCTATAATGCTTTACACTTCGATTTTGGCAGCGTTGACCGCAGCCACCGCCGTTGGGGCCGCTAGTGACAAATGTTCATTCTCTACCACCGTCAAGGCAGCCACTGCTATTTCTGACTTAAATTCTTGTGAAACCTTGGATGGTACTATCAAGATTACTGGTGACGATTTGGGTGATATCGACCTCAGTGGGGTCCAAGAAATCAAAGGAGATATCAACTTTTTCAACTCATCTTCTGTCACCTCCATTAATCTCAATCAGTTGAAAAAAATCTCGGGTTCGTTGGCAGTTAATGCTTATACCCAATTGCACAGCATTGACTTCACCAGTTTGAGTGAAGTCGAGAAATTGTCTTTGATTTCATTGCCATCATTTGCCATTCTCAACTTGAACACTGGTGTTTCGAAAGCAGGTTCCATCGAGATTTCAGACACTGCTCTTTCGTCGTTACAAGGTCTTACCAACTACGACACCGTCAAGAGCTTGAACGTAAACAACAACAAGAACATCACCTCCATCGACTTGGCATTGCAAACTGTCGACGAGGACCTCACTTTGAGTTTCAACAGTGACGACTGTGAGGTCAAATTGAACGAATTGATCTGGTCTTCCAATTTGACCATCCAAGATGTCAGTGACTTTTCTGCCTCCAACTTGACCGCCGTCAATGGTACTTTGAACATTGCTTACAACAAGTTTGACCAATTTGACCTCAAGGAATTGACCAATGTAGGCGGATCTGTTCTCGTTTTCGCTAATGACGAGATGACTTCGTTCGACTTGAGCTCCCTCAAAAACATTGGAGGAGAATTGAGAATCTTCAACAACACCGAGTTGGAAGACATGAACGATACTTTTAAGAAGTTGGCCAAGGTTAAAGGTGCCGTCAACATTAACGGTGCTTTCCACAACTTGACCATGCCTGGGTTGAAGGAGGTGGATGGAGACTTTACCGTTGTTTCCACTTCTGACGAGTTCAGCTGCCAAGATTTCAACAAGTTGAAAAAGAATGGTGACATTGAGGGACACAACTACAAGTGCTCTGCCCCCAAGAAGGAACAATCTTCCAAGTCCAACTCTTCCAAGTCGAGCAGCGGATCTGGATCTTCTTCCTCTGACAGCTCCGATTCCTCGTCCTCGTCGTCATCTGATTCTGGAAAGAAGAAGAGTGGATCCACCAAGACCATGGCTGGAATGACATTTGTGTTTGCCGTTGTGGGAGCAGTGATTGCCATGGCATAATCGACACTGCCAGAAGAGCAATAGAATTGTGGTAGATATTGAATTAGTTTTGATAGGAAGAGAAGTAGTTAATTGTTACATTAGATAATTGGAATAGAGTTACTGAAAGTAGAAATTGATGAAGCTTCTCTTGGTAGAATACCAAAGTATCTTTTCTGATCAGTGCTAGAAGATAACAGTAACCGTTACACTTCATCTTACTGATCTAGTAGTTCTTGTATGATTCAAATTGTGTTTTGAAATTATTTTCTTAAAATTACTTGTAGCCTTTAAATTTACTGTAGTTACTCTGGAACAGTTTGAGTAGTTGACTCAGTTACATTTTATAGAACCGAAGTATCGTAGAACTTCACACCACTAGGGATCGGATTAGCACTTCGTTAATCATTCAGAATATAGACGTTCACATAGTTGGATCTAGTATGAAAGTTACATTACCTTCTAGATCTACAGTTTCTTTGCTGTTCCTGCATTGCCCATGGCGCAGCATGCAGGTGTTCTATTTACTACCGTTTTGGTAAAGTACCCGCGTACAAAAATAGCTTGGATTCACATCTGATTCACCTCCTGCGCACCCCTACTTATTTAAACACGTAATTTCTGATTCGATCTTCAACCATGGTGGACTCAGTAAGAAAAAAGTTTGAATTAGCTGGTCAAAACCATCTTTTCAAATATGTGGATGATTTGGATTCTCGTCTTCAGCAACAATTTTCTTCCCAGTTGGAAACAATAGACGATCCCTGCAAGCTTGTAAATACAACAAAGGAAGCTCTTGCATTCTCAAGCACCAACGGAGCCACCAGAAACTTGACTCAGCTTCCCACAGACTGTTGTGCTTCGACGTTGGATGCTTCTGTGGATCAAAAAAAATCATGGGAAGAAAAGGGTCTTCAAGCAATCGCTGATAATCAGGTGGGAGTATTGTTGATGGCAGGAGGCCAAGGTTCACGGTTAGGATCGTCAGACCCCAAAGGTTGCTTTAATGTGGGATTACCTTCGGGGAAATCTCTCTTCAATATTCAGGCTGATAAAATTTTGCGACTTCAACAAATTGCTGCCTCCAGGTTTCCAGGGTCCAAGCCGGTGCTTCGGTGGTATATCATGACCAGTGGTGCCACCAGGGAAGCTACAGAAGAATATTTTACCAAGAACTCGTTTTTTGGGCTCGAAAAACTGCAGGTGACCTTCTTTGATCAAGGCACTTTGCCCTGCTTCAACTTGGACGGAACCAAAATTTTGCAGAATTCCAAGAGTAGTATTTGCGAGTCTCCCGATGGAAATGGCGGCTTGTACAAGGCGCTTGCCAAAAACGGCATTTTGGACGATTTTGTTTCCAAAGGTATTAAACACATCCATATGTACTGCGTTGATAATGTTTTGGTAAAAGTTGCCGATCCAGTCTTCTTGGGTTTTTCCATCCAACGACAGTTCGATTTGGCTACAAAAGTGGTTAGAAAGAGAGATGCGTGCGAGAGTGTGGGTCTTATCGTGTTGGACAAAGATATCAATAAACCATGTGTCATTGAATACCTGGAAATTTCCAAGGAATTGGCCAACAAAACCGAGCCCAACGACCCTTCAAAATTGTTCTTGAGAGCTGCTAATATAGTCAATCACTACTACTCGGTGGATTTGCTTCAACGGATGGTTCCTCAATGGGTCGACTCTCCAAAGCACCTTCCCTTCCACATTGCCAAGAAAAAGATTCCTTGTTTGAACGAGAACGGCGAATTTGTCAAACCAGACACACCCAACGGAATCAAGCTTGAGCAGTTTATTTTCGATGTATTTCCCTCGGTAGAACTCTCCAAATTTGGATGTCTTGAAGTTGAAAGATCAGAGGAATTTTCGCCGTTGAAAAACGCCGATGGTGCAGCCAACGATACCCCAACTACATGTCGGAACCACTACTTACAACTCGGCACAAAATGGGTCAAGGCCAATGGGGGAATAGTAGAGGATGGATTGGTGGAGGTCAATGGAACCACCAGCTATGGAGGAGAAGGGTTAAAGTTTGTTAATGGCAAGTCATTTGCTGCGGGAGATATCGTTTGAATGAGACATATATTTGAACTAAGTAGTAGTAACAGTTGAAACTTCAGGCAGAGGAAGCCAAAATGGATCCGAAGAAGAGGAAACTGCGGAGGATGTAGATTTGGATGCACATTCGGCTCTGGCATGAAGTCGAATTGGAGCATTTGGTTTTGATTCCTGGGAAAAATCACGAACCACCACCAAGGCGCACGCCACGGATAGAAGCAAAACGATAGTCGTAAAGTATTTTGAAAGCATTGTGATGTGTCTCTTGGGTTCCTTACCTTCTTATACAGCTTCGTATGCAAAGATGCATCTGGTGCATATTGCAACCATTTGTGCGTATTTCCTAATGCGGACCCGACAATTAGAGAAAAACGACGAAAGGGCATTGGCAATGCCACGGGTTATTCCACGGGCTATACCACGAGTACAGTGAATCTAGATCGACAAGCAAGGGTTACTTTGGATATTCGGTGAAATCTCTTAAATCATTTTTTGATATTTTATCAATATTACATTATAGTTCGCGATTATGATCACATTATTATCACAATTATTCATTACCATTTCATTTATATTTCATATTTCAGATTTCATTGAAACTCATATCTTCCATTCACCTAATTCGACTGGTTATCCGCATGAAACCGGTGTTCTGAGCCGTTAGTATTGTAGTAACTGGTGACTGAATAAGACCCAAAGTATACCACGAGAATCACCACCACGGCTGCCAAAGTAATTTTTGTTGTTTTGTTCCACTTTTCCATTTTGATGAAAGCAAGTTGAAAGCACAGTGAAAGCAACAGTTGCGATTAAATATGTTGGATTTATACAATATTGGACAATAGCATTGTAACAATAGACACGCTAGTGTGCAGGTATTACGGAACAGTTTTGTGCCACAGCAGCGACCAACGGTCGCGTGTAAGAGAAAAGAGATCAGTAGTCAAGCTATAAGTAAATTTTGAGGAAAGTGTTAAGCTCTTGACCCGGCTATCCAATAATGCACCACTAAGAATGTTGGATGTCATTTCTTCGATTCATTCAATTAATCCATTCATTAGTTCAGTTCTCTGTTCATCTTAATCCATCGTTCTTCATTCATTTATTATTTTACTGTGTATAATCTCTACTTATTTTCTCACTTCTCTTCACTATATCTCTTCAACTTTTCTTCATTTTAGCGCGCCTCGCCTGCACGGAACCCCACCTGCGCCCCGCGTTTGCCGGTCGCTTGCCGCACAGCGGTAGCAACTTTCAGAGTCACCGCAACGCAACCACACACCGCCAGGAACAAAACAGTGCCACAGATCGTTTGCAGAACCGAATCACAAAATAACGGCTTCGGCACTAAAACCGTTGAAACTCAATTCTGATTGGCCTGCATTATGGATTATTTTTCGGGGTAGCCCCGCACTGTGCATGGCCAGAAAAGAAAGAATAACCGTTGAACTTTGGGTGGATAAACCCATGTATATTTGGTGATTGTCACGTATAAAGCACAACTATGTAATCCATGAATGGCTCCACAGCCTGGTTGTCAAAGATTGCGAAATTGCTGCGCTTTAATGGCTGCAATTCTGCACGGCCAAGAGACGTGCATGACACCCATTGCACCCGCACGTACGTCAAACTCCAGTAAATTTGGGGTTTGCTTCTTTATAGTTTTTCGTTTTATTTTAAATCCAACTTTGATTCAAAAATGCCCCGTCGCCAGAGCACCGCGCCCACTCAGCCCGTGGTGGGTACCATAGACATTGGAACAACCTCGGCGAGAGCCATTCTTTTCAGCCAAGAAGGTATCGAAATCGCCAAGCATCAAATTGAATATTCGACGTCGGCTTCTGAGGCGCCAGCGGAATCGAAAAACAAGGAACAATTTAGAAGAAGATCGTCGCTTATGCGTCACAACGAGCCTATTTTCACCTCGGAAGGTATTGCAATTTCCATTTCTGACGATGTTGAAATCGAAAACAATCGTGCCAGTGTAGGACCAACTTTACGGTTCCCCCAACCAGGATGGTCCGAATGTATGCCCGTGCATGTTCTTGCCAACGCGGTCCAGTGTTTGGTGGCATGTTTGATTACTTTGCGTAAAGTTAATCAGAACCCTGATCTCAAAATCAAGTACAAAGTTAAGGCACTTGGTATTGCCAATATGAGAGAAACCACCATTGTGTGGCTGAAAAGGACGGGAAAGCCATTGAGCAATGGTATCACATGGACCGACACCAGAACAGCGGAAATTGTACAACATTTAGAGAAAATGACCGACGATGATAGAAAGGAAGAATTGAAGCAAAAGACAGGATTGCCGCTAAGCACCTATTTTTCCGCTGCCAAGTTGCGGTGGTTGCTCGATAATGATGATACAATCAGGGAGGAGTACGAAAAGGGCGACGGAAACCTCATGTTTGGAACCGTAGATACTTGGTTGATCTACCATCTTTCCAAAGAACGTTCATTCGTGTCTGATGTTACCAATGCTTCCAGAACCTATTTTATGGACTTGGAAACAAAAGACTACGATGATGATCTCCTTGATTTCTGGGGCATTGATCCCACCAAAATTTGCTTGCCCAAAATCGTTTCCAGTTCCGAACATTATGGTTCGTTCGCAGCACCAAACTTGTCCAACCTTGGATTCCACAACAAAATCACTCCCGAAGCCTATGAGATCTTGAAGACTATTACTGGTGTACCCATCTGTGGTTGTCTTGGAGACCAATCGGCGTCGTTGGTGGGTCAATTGGCGTTCCGTGCTGGGTCTGCAAAATGTACTTATGGTACCGGATGTTTCTTGTTATACAATACCGGAACCAGAAAGTTGATTTCTGACCACGGAACTTTGACTACACTTGGTTTTTGGTTTCCTACGTTAGAAGGTGACGATGCTCAGCCACATTATGCTTTGGAAGGATCCATTGCCGTTGCTGGGTCCATCATTCAATGGCTTCGAGACAACTTGAAACTCATTGAAAATGCCAAAGATATTGGACCACTTGCTTCTCAAGTGGACAACTCTGGTGGTGTAGTTTTCATTCCAGCATTTTCAGGAATGTATGCTCCATATTGGGATGGTGGTGCTAGAGGTACCATTTTTGGTATGACCCAGTATACATCATCTAGTCATATTGCCAGGGCTGCTTTGGAAGGTGTATGTTTTCAAGTGAGAGCCATCTTGAGAGCCATGGCTAGCGATGCTGGAGGAAGTGAGGATTTCCTCGAAGAGGCATCCTCGATCCAGGGTTCAAAGCGGCCGCTTTCTAAATTGGCCGTAGATGGAGGAATGTCCAAAGCAGATGAAGTGTTGCAAATCCAAGCCGACATTCTCGGACCATGTGTGGATGTCAAGCGTGCCAAGATCTCCGAGTGCACGGCTTTGGGAGCTGCCATTGCTGCGGGACTTTCGTTCAAAAATCCAGAAGACAGAATCTGGAAAGATTTGAATGATGTTATCGAAAAGATCGACGGTCCAACCGACGCCCAGAATTCGTTCAAGGCCAAATTGCCAGATAACGACAGAAGAACAATGTGGAAACGGTGGGAGAATGCAGTTTCGAGAGCCAAGGGCTGGTTGGATGATGTGTAGGTGTATATTAATTGTCATAAACTATAGAGTACTTTGAAGTTAAGGCTGAAGCATGTCAAGACATACTTTATGTAAATCAACTGTGGAGAACAGAAAGAGTGCTACCAATAATTGACGGGTTTACTATCAGAGACTATTCGACAGATCACTCAAAAATTCTTTGATATTCAGAATACTGCTAGAATCACATCCTTTATTGACCAAAGCTTAATTATCCAGTGCCAGAGAGAAATATAGTACTTCAATTCCACTTTGTTTAAATGTGCTGCAATGGTATTTGTTCAACTCACTTTACCATTGATTTCTCCTATAGTAAATCTTCGTGGTTCATTTACAATTGGGGCTCAGCCATGAAGCCACAGTGCTTGTAATAGTACCTGAAATACTGTGTATGGTATGAAACCTGTCAGCCTATCGGATATAGCTTTAGCCGTGTTCCGTATTGCAACATTTAACTTTTCGCAGCCATTTATTGAGCTCGAAGCGAGAAAAACTAGCCAATGCAATTAACAATGGACGTGACAAAATATCACAAATAATAAAATATCTTAATAGTTAAACCTCTTCAATTTTGAAATCGTTTAGTTTGGCCTGGCTTGATATGTTTGAGCCGTACCCTTTTCAATTAGTAAGTGGTCGGGCTTAAGTCGGAAATAAGGCTCAATGGGGAAATTGCAACCATTTAACATGGTTCCACTCATTAGTAACAGCCACACAATTTTCCGCCTTATCACCGCAGCACACACCATCCACACGGTATATAATACCTCAATTGAGTACAAAGAACCACAAAAAATGGCAAAACAAGTATTTTTTATTGCTGGTGCTTCTCGTGGAATTGGTCTTAGTTTGGCTACTTTATTAAGCAAAAATCCTGAAAATGTGGTTATTGCAACCGCTAGAAATCCTGCTTCGGCTTCGGGTTTGCAAGAATTGAGCAAAGCAGACAACGTCCATGTTGTAACTTTGGACTTGAATAATGAAAAGACATATGAAACTGCCAAGGCAGATGTGTTGAAAATTTCAGATTCAATTGATGTATTCATTGTCAACGCAGGTATTAGTAACGCTCACGCCAAGGTTTTGGACACTACAAAGGAAGAGTTCCTTAGTCACTTCACTACCAATACTCTTGGACCATTCTTTTTGCTCCAAACCTTTTTGGGTTTGGAGCAAAAAGGGTACTCTGAAAAAGGTGATTTTCGTTTCTAGTGCTGCTGGTTCTGTAAGCGTGGAGCCTAGTTATGTTAGCTCCGCCTACGGTATTTCTAAGGCTGCACTCAACTATGGTGCTAGACAGATTGCTCGTGATCTCTCAGAGGAGAATTTTATAGTGGTCCCTGTCCATCCAGGGTTGGTTGGTACTGATTTGCTTTTCAATGCTACCGAGCCATTTCTCAAGAGTAACCCACATTTTAAGGATTTTCTTGGCCCTGAAAACTACCTTACTCCTGATCAAAGTGCCAAGGGATTGGTGGCTTTGATTGAGAAGCTTAAGAAGGAAGACTCCGGCAAGTTTTGGAACTACGATGGTACTGAGGTTCCGTGGTAGAAAGAGTTCATAAATGCAAGCAGTAGGTATAGATTATAGAAATGTATGGATAGAGTGGTATTATTCATAAACTATAGAATATTCTTCTTCAACGTCAGAAAAGTTTTCAATGTCAAACGAGCTATTGGCGATATCGTGGCTCGGGTGTGGCTTGGCCTTAAATAGGTCGTTCACAAATCTTGACGTTTTGTCACCGAAAGCTACCAATTTATTTTCTAGTTGCTTGTTCCTGGCATCGGCTAGAACCGTGCGAATTGGTATTTCTGTCGCTGCTTGGATTCTGGTGGTTTGGCTCTGTATCAATGTAGAAGCCTTTTTCTTAAGTGTCTTAAGATTTTTGGGAGTTTCAGAGTCTCCAGGACCAATTTGGGCCCACAATTCCAAGAGTTCAAATCTGGCTTTTGCAGCCATTTGCTCGTATTTTACGACTTCTTGCTGCTTCGCTGCATACTGCCTGCAGAGGTCTGTATTGTCACAGGCGACATACTCCGCCCCATAGTTGACGAGCATTAAGCTCTTTAAAATGGTGATTGTTCGTTTGCACCCAATTCGCATCTGTCCCAATTGGGCAAATTCCAAATAGTGTCCCATCACAAGATAATTTTGCACGTGCGACAGAACACAAGACCAAAAAGTTCGCCGCGGTTGCTTTGGAAATCAGTGACAATTTACAATAAAAATGACATTTGTTGGACGTCTCAAAATTTACCTTACGATCTTCGTGGTCCTCTACACCACTTACCTCTTTTCGTACAAATGTGCAAAGTTAAATGAAACTGCCTTTGAACACGGTGTGGAAAAAGTCTTACATCCTTTGTCTCATTCTCACAATCAATTGTGTGATGGATTAAACAAGGGAGTCAATTTTGCTACTCCTTATGTTGGACATGTGCAAAAGTTCCTTGACGACCATGTACACTCCACCAAATTGTTCCAGGGCTACAAGATCCACGAAAAGGTGGTTTGTGCTCAGGGCAAATATTACAAGTTTGTTCACCCATGGGTGATCAGATACTTTCAATTGTTTGAGGTTGCCGAACAGCACGTTGCTGACCACTTTGTGGCTCAGTACGGCAAGGTGAAGGGTTACCTTGGCAAGTAATTAGTGAATATATAACTTATATGACGTAAACTGTGTATTAATATCTACTTGGAGTCTGAACCACCAGAGTCTGAATCACGACCGTCTGAGTCAACGACGGTGTCGTCAGAACCTGCGTCTGAATCTCCGTCTGATTCCTTGGTCTGTTTCAAATGTTCCGCTTCTATTACGTGGTTGGGGTCTTCCACCACCACGATCTTCTCTTCATCATCGTACTCGTTGACAATTACTCGCGCACGATCATTGACTTCTTCTCCTTGTCCATTATCTTGGTGTTCCTTCTCTTCTTCATTACCTTGGTCTTTCTTCTCTCTCTCCTGCTCAATCTTGCGCTCCAATGCCTCGCGTGCCTGGTATGCCACATTAGCTTTGGCTCGCACGAGTCGCAAATACTCTTCATTGTCGTGAGTGAGGAACCCAACATGATAATGGATGTCTCTAAAATACTTGTCCCATTCACTTAAAGCACTGGGTACAATTTTGTTGTCGGCTTCAAAGTACTTCGACTTGTAAGCATTGGCTTCGTCGTAAATCTTATCGCGGATTTTAAAAATCTGTTCCTTGGTCTTGTGGAATTGTTTCCACGCTTGCCATCCCAATGCTTCGTCAAAGTTCTCTTCCACCTCCATGAAGGAGAGAAGGGCCGTCAACCGGTTGGAAAATTCCAGTACCGTGACATCAGCAAATGATTCCAATATATCTATGGTGTTCTGAATGGCTTCAAAATACTTGACTATTACATCTTTCTGTGCATCGGCAAGCATTTGTTGAACTGACGAAAGTGCTTCCAGCGACTCTTCAGTTGCTGCTGAGATTCCATCTCTCATATCTTGTCTTGATACACCAAATTCTGAGGGAAGTTCATTGGACTCTTGAATATCACTGACATCCTTGTTAATATCGCTGATCATCTGATTGAGCTTCTTGTAATGTTCATAGTTATTTTGTTGCACTCCTTTCAAGGTGTCTGAAATTGGCCCCTTGACCTTTTCCATTATCTGATTCAACTGTGGCAAGAAATCACTCTCAAGACTGTTGTAAGCGAGCTGAAGAGTTTTGTCCACCTTAGACTGCCAGTAGTCAAGCTCTTCGTTGAGTAAATGTTGATGCGAGTTTTCGCTCACTTCATTGTTGCCCAGCTCGTGCGACTCAGAAACGACAGTGATGGTGGAGGTAATGAGTACTGTCGAGGGCTCAGAATCAGACTCTGAGTCGTAAACTTCATCGTACTCGGTTTCTTCCGTTGCAGTCTCCTCCGTTGGTGCGTCTTCCGTTGGAGCCTGTTTGCTTGATTCGGGTTTTGTAGATTCTTCGACTTCTTGAATAATTTCCTTGACCACATCCGCCACGTTCTTTTCCCTGCTGATAAATTTAGCCTTCAAGTTGTCCAATGGCTTTATTAACCCCTTGAGTTCAGACTTGAGAAAATGGGACTTTTCTTGCAAAGATGTGCTCCGTTCGGCCAAAGACAGGAAAAGTTTGCCTATGCCTTCAAACACAACGTCTAAACCAAGTACAATATAGTAGTGTCTCACGTTTTGGCCAAACGCACTGGTGGACAATTTGTACCACGTCGAGTGAACATGAGGAGCCACATGAGCTCTATAGAACTCACCGAAGTACACCGTGCTGCGTATTTGAAGAACTTTGAGGTGGTGTTTCAAATTCTCAAACGCCACACCGAAATGGCCCTTTGCGTGGGCACTATAATGGGCATAAAGACCACTTGATTTGGGAATTATGACGTGTTCAACATACTTCAGGAACTGATAAGTGTATCCAGACACGATCACGTACGGTTCGTACAAAGCTGAAGAGACCTTGGCCGAAACGCCGTAAGAATTATCGACATTTCGAATGATTTCGGTGCCTTTTTCGATATTAGGAACCACGTATTTTCCATACGATTTAGAGATCCCCAACTTAGTATCGTACTCCTGGATCACAGGGTTGTTCTCTACGAACGAAACAACAACATTGAGTTGTTTACAGGCGAAATGGTCAACAAAATTAAGGGATTTGGTGTCAAACACAGACGTGTGTGGACAAGCAAAATGGAGTAAATATGTCACATAAGTAAGAAACAAGGTTGGAACTAAAATCCACAGGATACAATTTCGAGCCATGGTTAGTGGATTGGCTTGAAGATCGATGTGTGGCGCTGGAGCCGTTAAAGAAAATGATGACCGTGTTTGAATATTGATCACAGCAGAAAAAATAAATCATCAGTCACGTGACGCACGGCGAGAAGGAGATGCAGATATGGAAGAGATAAAGTTAGAGTTGAGAAGTTAAAGTTAAGTAAATACCCGGCATAGCCCGGTTAAAATTTAAATTCTATATCTAGAGCAACTGTATATTCTCGAAAGGAACCAAAAGTTGGTTTTTTGGTCGCCATTGGATACCCCAGAGTGCAATGAAGAGAAAGACGCTTAAGTAGCTTGCAATGAACGACGACCAAGAAAAATTGAAAAACACCACGAATCCGTTGACGAGAAGGATCACAGCTGTGTTTATCCCTGCGTACCATGACCAAAAGGTAGAAGTCTGGGTGTCAAATTCAAGACTCAAAATGGCTGCAAATCGAACATGGGAAAAGGCAGAACAGCACCACATCAAGAGACCGGCGCAAGCGCAGATGTTCAAGAGCCACAGAAACACTATTTCCACCGAGTGGAAGCCTGTGGCCAAGGAAACCAAGCCGAAACTTGCGGTGACAAGAACGGCAGTGACGGGGACTCCGAATTGATTTTTCTGTTTGAAACGTTTTGGGACAATTTCGAGTGCTAGAAAGCAGCGGGAACCAAAGTATATGTTTGAGTTTGCAGCCGATAGAATTGAAAAGAAAATGACCAAATTGATGATATGAAGAAGGGCCGAGCCTGGGGCCAAACCAGCATTGAGTAAAGCGAGAATAAACGGCGACGAAAAGATAGAATCGTCCGAGAGTAGCAACCGAGGATCACTGGCGTCCACGAGTAAAGTGAGTAGAACAACGCTAAGGATGTAAAACACCAAAATTCGAAAATAGATTGCCCTGACTGATTTGGGAATTGATGTGTGTGGATCCTCCATATCACCAGCAGTGATAGCTACAGACTCCGACAGTTGGAATGTGAATGCAGCAGACACAAGCAGCGCCATAAGTGCAAGAATTCTTGACGAAACCGCACCTTCTACCAAAATGCCATTTCCCCATGGATGGTGCCAATTTTGAAACCCAATTGCTTCAGTACCCAAACCTAATATAGCGCCAACGCAGATGGCGGTCCAAAGCACCAAAGCGGCCACTTTAACTAGGGTAATGTAGAATTCGACCTCGGCATAGTAGGACACATGCAACAAGTTGAGGGCAGTAAGAATAAGCCAAATCCCCAACGAAACCACCTGGGGACACGTGTGGGCCCACGGAACCCAAAACAGAAGCACCTGAGCCAATATGGTCAATTCCAATGCAAGAGTCATGGACCAAGAAAACCAATAAATGCCACTATTTGCAGCACCAATTTGCGGCGAAAGAAACATAGCTGGAAACCTGCAAAGTGACCCAGTCAAAGGGAGAACCCGTGTCATTTCCCCTAGTGCCCGGATAACCCCGTAACATACACTTGAGACGTATAAGTACGCCACTATGGCAATAAAGGGACCATGAACCAAACAGGTTTTCACGCCTACAAAAAGCCCAGTTCCTACTGTGCCACCAATGGCAAGCATGGTGACCTGGCGGGCGGTGAGGGACCTCGAGCCATCAGCAATGTTACGAGGATCATTGTCAGTTGGCAATGCTGTTATCCGTAGCAACGGCTGAGATTCCATTGCCGTGTATACAGGAGCGAGAGTGAAATTTGTTCGCGGGGTAGGATAAGAATCGTGCGAATCGTGCGAATCGTGCGAATCGCCCGAGGCGCAGGCTGGGGTTTAGCGGGAGGATGGAGGTTCGGGAATAGGATGGGGTTTAGTGAAGTTGGAAAATTGCTTTGGGAAGTTCAAGTTTGCTCGATTTGGATTGAACTAGTTTCTTAAAGGAATGTTTTTGGCGGTTTGTAGTGTTCTTGGTTTGTCTTGGGTTGTCTTGGTTTGTACTTGGTTTAATTTAGCTAGTTTAATTTCTTAGTTTCTTGTCCTGTCTCTCGCTAATCCTCGGATCACTTACATAATACACTTCCGCTACTCCGAAAATCTCTGGTGACAGACACCTCAAATCAGGATACTTTCACAAAAATTCCCCCATTTTCCTTATCTTGCATCGATATCGTTTGTGAGGGGCTGTCGGTGGTAACATCATGCAGCCCATTGGCCAACTTGCATTCGTTGGGTGTCCTGATAATGCAGGCGCCGGAGGGTGGTGTCCGGCGGCGGCCGGCGCGCGCCGCTGTGATTGGCTATGATAAGGTCGCAATCGGCTGTCTTGTGCAAATACACCCGTCGAACCAGGATTCGACCGGAAAAAGCAATTCTACGCATATAGGGCGGAACTAGATATCATATATAAGTGATATCCAATCGCACTTTTCCTATTAGAGGTTACTACTTCTATATCATCCACTTCTAAAAAAAACTATAGGGTTTCACTCATCCCTGAACAAATATATACACTACAAAATCGTTTTTGTTTGTGTTTTGACTCTGCTTGTGTGTCATTAATTTTTTTTTGAGAAATTAATTTTGAATTTGAATTCAAAAAATTAACAGTTCGTTTATCATGTCTGTACCAAATACTGAACAAACTGCCATTCTTCAGAAGTATCTTGACCTTCCCCAAAGAGGTAAGGTGTTGGCTGAATACATCTGGATTGACGCTGATGGTGGAATGAGATCTAAAACTAAGACTTTGGACAAAAAACCATCGTCGGTTGAGGATCTTCCAGAATGGAATTTTGATGGTTCGTCGACTGGACAAGCTCCAGGTCACGATTCCGACGTCTACTTGAGACCTGTCAAGTTTTACCCCTGTCCATTCAGAAGAGGTGACAACTTGATTGTGTTGGCTGAATGTTGGAACAATGACGGTACTCCCAACAAATTTAACCACAGACATGAATGTGCCAAGTTAATGAAGGCACATGAAGAAGAGTCTGTTTGGTTTGGTTTGGAACAAGAATACACCTTGTTTGACCAATATGACCAGGTTTACGCTTGGCCAAAGGGTGGTTTCCCAGCTCCTCAAGGTCCTTACTACTGTGGTGTTGGTACCGGAAAGGTGTACGCTCGTGATTTGATCGAGGCTCACTACAGAGCTTGTTTGTACGCTGGTATCAACATCTCCGGTATCAACGCCGAGGTGATGCCTTCGCAATGGGAATTCCAAGTTGGTCCATGCCAAGGAATTGACATGGGTGATGAGTTGTGGCTTGCTCGTTATCTCTTGATGAAGGTTGGTGAAGAATTTGGTGTCAAGGTGTCGTTGCACCCTAAACCATTGAAGGGAGATTGGAATGGTGCTGGATGCCACACCAATGTTTCCACCAAGGTCATGAGACAAGAGGGTGGAATGAAGTACATCGAAGATGCCATCTCCAAGTTGGCTAAGAGACACAAGGAACACATGTTGTTGTATGGTGCCGATAACGAACAGAGATTGACTGGTCGTCATGAAACCGCATCCATCGAGTCTTTCTCATCTGGTGTTGCCAACAGAGGTGCTTCCGTGAGAATCCCAAGATCTGTCGCCAAGGAGGGTTACGGATACTTTGAGGACAGAAGACCTGCTTCCAACATAGATCCTTACTTGGTGACTGGAATTATGGTTGAAACCATTTGTGGATCTATTCCTGATGCCGACATGGCCAAGGAATATGCCAGAGAATCGTCTGACTAAATAAATAGGTGCTAATTGTAATAGAAGAAACATTCGAGTGTGATTGATGTAGAAGACTCCCTTGGAGTCTTCTTAAAGTGTCGTCTGTATTTTATCTGAAGTGTCGTATTCAGTATTATCTGAGGTGTCGCATTTAGTTACTCCAAATTGTTAAGCTATCACAATTCGCCGATCTAGTATAGTGGTTAGTACACTTCGTTGTGGCCGAAGAAACCCAAGTTCGATTCCTGGGATCGGCAATTTTTTCAGCTCTTTTTTAATTTACTTAAAAGAAGCAAATAGCTTACTGTTCAGGATAAGATCCATATAAGATCCTCATACCACTTACTCAGACCCCTACCTCTCGTCAATTGCTTCTTCGCTTTAAGAGGTTGTCTATCTGGGTCGTGCGAAAATCACTTTTCATTATCGCTCACGGGAATCTCCACGGAGCCATACAACAGTCATGACTGTAGAATACGTAAGTTAACAGCATTGAGGGCTATTCCAGTGAGATTTGAGATCTATGTCCTCCAAAGAATTTAATAGGCACTTATTTTTCACCATTTACTAACACAGTCGCCACTCATTCTTGATAGCAGTTTTTACACGGACACCAAAAACGTCGTCAGGGAGAGAATAATTCCTTGGGAAGGGTTATTTCGTGCTGGAGTGATCTCTGAGGATGATACAAACCACATCAAGATTTTGGAAAAACAATCTCCCGAGAATAAAGTGAAAACTGTGCTGTCGCAACTTGCTCTTTACTCCAACACTCTCCTTAACTTGTTGAACAAATTGGATGTAAATGGAAGAGATGACGTGTTGAAGAATATCTTGGTGTTGTTGAATGATTTGTTATTGGAATTGCCAAATCAAGAGTTCATCGACTCACTTTTGGCCATGTCGAAGGTGGACCCTTCGCTCCCATATGATCCATTTTTGAAGCATTTGGGCAATAATGACAATTATATCAAGGCATTGTGCTTGCACAGCTTGACAATTCTCCTTTCTAAAGCCGACAAACAAGGCAATTCGGGTGCTGAAATCGATAACGAGGTTTTGATTAAACTTTTCGATACGTTGTCTTCGAACCATTTCATCGGTAGCAACGAGTCTAGTTATCAAGCAATTGGAATCCAGATCTTGCAAGAGTTGGTAATAAGCAAGAATTTCAGACAGGTGTACCAGAAACACAATTTAGTTTCCAATTTCAAGTCCATAAACCACTTGATTTCCAACCTGGCTAGACTTCCCAATTCGTCCAGTTTACAGTTATCTTACAACGTATTGTTGACTACGTGGGTTTTGTCGTTCAGCGCAGACATTAATAGGCTATTGATTCACAACTACCCGGATCTCATTGGCAGCCTCTTGACCATCTCCAAGGACTCCATCAAATTGAAGATTGTCAGAATGGCGGTTTCCATTTTAAAGAACTTTGTCTCAGTGTCAAGTAGCGAGAGCGACAAGTTCAGAACCATCAAAATCATCTTGTTTGATGATGGACTTTCCATAATGAAGACTTTGCAGGAACGTAAATTTGCCTCGAGCGGTAGCGATGATGAACTTTCCAATGATTTGCAATATCTCGTCGACACTTTGAGCGAAGTTGTTTCTGAAAAATTGTCGTCTCTAGATGAGTATCTCACCCAGCTCGACAATCCCAACCTCATCAGTTGGTCTTCTCCAGTGCATAAATCGTCTCAATTCTGGTTAGAAAATTCGGGTAAATTCAAGGACAATTCTTTCAAACTCGTCAAGCGGATCTTTCAGATATTGGACCTGGAGGCCCATGTGCCAGCCAAGGTGATTTTGTTGAACAATCTTCAATCTTTAATCAAAAATTTGGGCCAAGATTTGGTCAAGTTCATCAACGAAGCCAACGGTGGTGCGTATAAATTGCGTATTATGACGCTCTTAGACAAAAATGATGGTGATAACGAATTGAAGTATGAGGCTTTGAAAACGATACAACTCTTGGTGGGCCATAACTTTTAAGTAGAAAAGATTATATTCTCTTGTGGTGTATGCACTCGCAACCGTCTATTATATGCACTCTTGTTCATCAGTTTTACGCGCACTGATCTCAAATCTTTAAAACCACTAAACAATCACAACATGCAGTTATGTCATACCTAGGAATGCAATACCAGGCAAACCGACTAGCCACGTTTGAGAACGGAGTGCGAGAAGGCAAGAATAAGAAAAGGCAATACTGGACATATGAGCTTCCAGATAGACATCATTTAGCGGAATTTGGATTTTATTTCACGCCAACAAAAGTTTATAATGACCAAATTACTTGTTTCTGTTGCAAAAAGAAAGAGAAGAACATCGAGGGCGTTGAGAATATAGCGGAATACCACCTCAAAAACAACCCAAAGTGTGCTTTCGCACATATTATTATGGCCCAGTACAATCATTCAATTGAGGGAAGCGATGCTTTCTGGCAAAGTGACCAAGCTGAAGTTCTTAGAGAACCATTTAGTAGAAGTGCGGTGGCTTTACGACGGAGAACGTTTGGTAAATATTGGCGTTTTGACAATGGAGCTCCTGTATCAGCGACCAGCCAGGCATTGGCAAAAGCAGGGTTTTTCTATTGTCCAGTTGACCAAGGAGATGACCGTACTCAGTGCGTTTACTGCAAGTTTTGCCTTGAAGGATGGAGTGAAGAAGACGATCCACTCGAAGAACATAGAAAGTACCAAAGTGATTGTTACCTACTTCATTGTGCACTGAAATTACCTGTGAAGCAAACTACGAAACCTATGCGAAGACACTTGAGAGAAGGCTCGGCATCTCTCTCTGAAGGAGAAGGAATGTCGAACGCGACTACAGATGGCGAGTTTTCCGATGCAAATTTTACCCTGGCAGACAACCAACTAAAGGTCGATCAGGCCCTAAAAATCCAGGCCACAGATGAGGCTAGCGCAGTTTGCAATCTTTCCGCTCTGGAAGAACCTGAAGAAGAAGTCGAACCTCGACGAAAAAGTCGGCGTCTTCATAAAAATACTGTACCAGACACGAGCCAAGAGGAAGGTCATCTGTCCCTCCTTCTCTCTGACACGGAGACGAAGTTGGAATCTCGAGTGTATGGTTCCAAGAGAAAAAGAAGAAGGGCAACTCCCAGCTTATCTGAACGTAATGGTGTCGTTCATGACTCTCTAGAAAGTGACAAAGATTTGCTTTTTAGTAACAAACTGGGACCAGCGGAGGAACAAAGCTCAATAAATCTCTCGAGTCAGCAGTCAACGGATGCAAACAAAGTCCCCGAAAGTTCAAGTGATGAGATTTATGTTAGTGAAAGCACCAGGAATGTTGAAACCTCCGCTTCGTTTGCGGCTACGGAGAGCGGTGAGACTGACTCACCAATTTCAGAAGACTCATCATTTGAACCTTCGACGAAAAGGAGGAAGTCAGCCAAAAAGCCAGCGAAGAAAGATGTTTCCAAGCTTAATTCAACCACAAGTAAGCCGCAATCTCAAAAAACCAAAGCTAAAGATCCCTTCGAGACCTCATTTGATGAGACCCGATTTAACGATGTGTTGAAGTCTCCCAAAAAGGCTTCCAAAATCAAATTGAGGTCCAGACTATCTCAGCAACCAGAGCTTGATATCGAGAGGAACCTCGGTGATTATGACGACAATCATTTGAATTCAATTGAGCACGAAGTGGGGCATATATTTAATGGAAGCGCAGTTAAGGTTGAGAAAAGGGATCCCAAAAAGATGGTAGAAGCTAGCAAGGAGAAGCAAAAGAGAAATGTCAATCTTGACTCGTCTTTACACGATATTTCGGGAGGTATATTTGACCTTGAAAAGTCTTTTGATGAAAATAAGAAGCGACAACTGGAATACAATCTTGTTATAAAGGATGAGTCTCTAAAGTTCAAGGATGCTACATCACAGGAACACATGGACAGAGATCACAAAACCATGGATTTTAATACTGATCAAAATAATGATAAGCCTTTTCGTGTCGCTTCGCCCAATAATGCCTCAGAAGCAACGGAACCAAAAGAAGCCGAAGAAATACCTCCAAAGTCAACATCAAGGTACTACACAAGTCTCTTTAGTGACTCCTCTAGCGAAGCATCATTTAGGGAGAACACTGCGCCGAGAAAAGTCGATTCTCCTTTACACCAACATGAGTCTGATCCTAAGGATGAATCGGAGCATAAACCTGCTTCTAAGCCTGATGCTAAACCTGATCCCGAATCTAGACATATGCCTGATCCTATGCCTGATCCCAAGTCTGATCGAAATACTGAAAACACTTCTAAGGACTCTGATGAGAAGTCTGCTCATACATCAGATAAGTTTGACCCCTCTACAAAGGATGCCCCATCAAATGCAATCGGTGAAATATCAAAGGTAAATGCTAAATCACCCATCTCTCCTTCTGTTTCAAATGACGGCCACGAGTCCTCTAAAAGTGCCAGTGAAGAGTCCAAGCTAACGGCACCAAACGACCACTCTTCAGCAACCAGCAAAAATGCGTCCTCGGCGCTGATAAATGCTGAGATTCAAGAAAAAAACCGTACTTCTACGGCTGCACCAACTTCGGTAAACCACAGCTTGGTAAGACTGCCAGTAGAGATGCCAAATAAGGAAAGATACCGAAGCTCACCAATCTTGGAGTCTTCAGTTCAGAACTTGCGAAAACTGCCAGCGAAGAGCCCTCATGTCAATTCTTCTCAGATAGATATTCGGAAATCTATTTTACCAGAGTTGTCTTCCAAAGCAGATTTTGCAGCCGAACCTTCACCAACTCACATCTCGACCAACAAAGAACGAGGTGGAAAACCAGCAGAGTCTCCAGATCATAGGAATCAGAAAAGCGAAACACTTCTGGAGCAAATAGACCGCTTCTCTGCCAGTTTCAGCAACGTATTGGAAGCAAGTACACCGCAAAAAAAAGTTGCAGCAGGTCTGCAATCGTGGGTATCAAGACCCCTCTCCCAGCTATTAGAAGTTATAGACAAGCTTGAAGGGGCCTCTGAGTACCTCACTAATATCGTATCGTCAGAGTATGATCTACATAATGATTTTGATGGCCGTCTTACTTCGTTCATCTCTTCGATGCCAGAGGAGGAAGAAGATATGACAATTCAAGAATGGGTCAAACATAATGCAAGCATGTGTCGGAAAGTGGCCAAAGAAACATGCAATAGTCTCATCGAAACATACAGGGAAGAATTCAATCGAGCTTTGCGTATACTTGAATCACTACCTACATCGGACTCACCATAATGAGAAAGTCATTGTCACCTCGATAATTCATACACTATAAATCGCTATTTCATTGGTGTCTTGTTTCACATTGTAGAAACTAACTTTTTTTCTTTCATTTTTTCATGAAACTTCTCTAAAGAGAGACCCATACATGTATAGGGGTCATTTTGTCGTAGTAAAGTTCAAATGTTGTGAAGTATTTCAAAGCTGTGAAGTTCAGTGTGTCATAGCTTGCTTAGCTATGTATAAGAATACTAGAGGGTCCTAACGAATTTGCATGTCCCTTTATGCCCCATATAGCGTGGCTGCGAAATTTACTTTCAATCCAAAGACCAAAAGTGTCAAATCCAGGCGATGAACTACAATTTCTGGTACATCAGTAGCTTGTTGGAGTGAGGACCTGGTTTTTTTGCTGGTATTCCAGTATTTTAGCCCGATGGTCAGACTAGTTTCTGCTACAGCCACTGTCTTTATCTTAACATTCTTCGTGCCAAAATCGACTAAAGTATGCTACAGATTACACTTCCTACATAATAAAGCGTAACATATCAAAATGAAGAATCAAGCAAAAGCATATACCAACTCTACATCGGTTACTAGTTATTAACTCTCCAACGGTTTGTTGGTTTATCGGGTTTTGCATCCGTGCACCAGTGTATACCTGCAGGCTACGGAATACTTCACTGACCATTACTAGAGCCGCATTACCAACGGATCACAATCACGTATTTTGGTCACGAAACTTGACAGAACGGACCCCTCGATCCGTGCGAGAGCATTCATACACTTCCAAGTCATTTAGCAAACTCTAGCCCACATTTACATGCTCTGAAACTGAACCATAATCAATGTCATTTTGGCCATTTTCGAATTCGTTCAACAGCAACAGCAAGTTGCGAAAAGTATTGGACCAGATAGTGGACTTGTCGAAGACTACTGTGGACGATTTTCTTCTGGATCCGGAAATTCTGCAAGAACTCGTGAGTGAGCTTCATAGTATCAAAGCATCATACAATAATCGAAAAAATAATGTGCTCCAATTGCAGCTGCAACGGAACCAAGATAGCAATTGGAACGGATCTGATCTGATTTCCGTGACTTCCTCTACCAATGAAAACTCAAGTAATCGAGATGGACAGGGTGCCAAGTTGTTGGAGATTCTTTTGGAACCACATATTCTTACTGGATTTATGAACTATATTGTCGACAGTGTGGAGTTTTTCAATCACCTAAACAAGCACCGGGAACAAGAACAAGTGGAAAAGACCACAAATCTTACGGACCAAGTGATGGTAGAGCAAGCGGAAGTGACAGATAAAAGTGGAGACGAAGAACAAGACGAAGAAGAGTCAGAGGAAGACAGAATACGCCGCTGCATCCTGGTGTCGTCGGAAATTTTATCGGTAGACCTTTGGCTCATTTCGAACCGCATTATAGAAACTCCAGTTATCATGGAAAAGCTTTGGCTGATCCTATACATCCCCCACCTCAGCGACAGCTTGCCCACGGTGACTTATCTTGTGCATATTTTGGATCAGCTCATGGACACAAATAGCATTGAACTCCTCAATTTTGTTCGTCGACAGCCTGACTTGGTCGACATGTTTTTGTCGATGATCGAAGTGCCTATGATTATGGATTTTTTTCTTCGTATTATCCAAACCGATAAGGCTGAGTCGCCCACCGGCATCATAGAAAATTTGGCTCAGCAGAACCTCATTCCCAAATTGATTAGTATACTCAAACCGCATCCGTCTCAGTTTGAAGCTAGTTGTGAGATTCCAAACCATGAGCTTTTTTTCCGCCAAACTGCCGCTGCCGATTTCATGCGTGCTTTGGTGACAATCTCCTCCAATACTGCTTTGGCAACAGTCCTTGAAACGAACATTGGTCCTAATTTGCTCACCCACGAGCTAGTATCTCCTACGATAATCAAGACTATGATCAACGATATCATGCTCTATCAACCTCCTACGGGTCTGACTCGCAACGGTTCGAAAACCAACAAGCACGGGATAAATAATTGCGTCGGAATCATCATCGAGATAATTCGAAAAAACAATTCAGACTACGACTTGAATTGCGGATCTTACAGCTCTTTGTTACAAAATACCAATGGAGATGGCCCCACGGAAGTCAATTCATATGTAATGTTCCAATGGCTTAAAGACTTTGAACAAAACCCGCCCGGCCCTCGTGATCCCATCTACTTGGGCGAGATGTTGGCTATCTTTTCTGACCATCTTGAAGATTTTGTGAGCTTGATGGATACAGCAGAGGAAGAGCCAAACAAGTTGGGTTTCACAAGGTTCAAGGTTGCGGAATTGGTGGCCGAATTGCTTCATTGCAGTAACATGATTTTGCTCAACAGTAAGAAGATTCGAAAGATAATGAAGGTACGAGAACATGTCAGGTTTCAACGTGATAGAAGACTCAAGAAAGCTCTTAAGGAAAGTCTCCCGACTTCTGTTGATCATAAGGATGGCGCTGTAGACGCCTTGGCTTCGGGTCTTGATGATGTTTCTCTCTTTGACTTTAAAATTGACGACGATGAAGATGCCTTGATAATCAGCGACCTACTTTCCTCGCTTGACGAAGATGTTTCTGACGACGATGAGCCTGTAATATCGCCGGAAGAACCTTTTGTTTGCAAGAAACGAGATCTTGAGACCAGAAAGGATCCATGTGTCGGCGACTACTTTAAAATCAAGCTAACGGACCTGAACATCGTGCTGCAAATTATCGGCAACTTCACCAAGTTTCCATGGCACAATTTTTTCCATAATGTGGTGTTTGACTTGATCCAGCAGGTTTTCAATGGAAAACTCAACTCCTATAACTCGTTCATTATCGTGGACTTATTTCGTCCCGAAAAGCACAATCTTACAAAAATGGTTGTGGATGCATACCGTGATGCTGGCGAACCTCGACCCGGTTATATGGGTCACCTTATTCTCATTAGTGAAGAAATCGTCAAATTTACTTCACTCTACAAGCCTGACTTGATCTCGCCGGTAATAGTGAGTGCTGTGAGCACACCAGATTGGGAGTGGTTTGTCGGCGATGTTCTACTCAAGACCAGAGAACTGTACAATGTTGTACTAGGAGCCGAATCAGAAGAGGGAACTACCGCTGGAAATGACGAAGACGAGAACGAATCGTATGGGTTTGATTCCTCTACTGTGGGGTACATTGATTTGGGAGCATACGAAGGAAAGGCCAAGAAAAGTGCTATATTGCTTGGAGACCGAACGAACCACGACTTATTTATTAACGAAGAAGGACATGACATAGAAGATGAAACAATTGATCATCAAGTTCCTGACGTTGGAAGAATGTCGCCTGGGAACCTTGCGACGATGAACGACGAGCTCGAAGGCGATGAGGACACATCTCGAGATTACGACGATGTGGAGAACCTTTCTGGATCCGACTCGTCAGACGACGAAGAGGACGATGGAAATAAGTTGCGGCGGGTACCAAAGCATAATGAATAGCTTATATATCATTTGCGCTTACGAGCGTTGGGTCTTCCGTAGACCACTTTTCCGTTCGGCAACTCGATGCGCTCACCTTTCTTCTTCTTCTTTTTGATTTCCTGGGGTTCTGATTCCGAGACAGGTTTGGGAGGTGGACTCAAGTCTATAATACCCAAAACTTTGCCTAGCGAAATGTTCCACAAATATACAGGGAGTGTCACCAACACCGATTCTTTTATACTGGGATTGACATTGACGTCGTTTTCGTCGATCAAGATTCGTTCTCCATCGTGAACGAGAAAAATTTCACCCAGGGCAGAAACTATAAATTCCTTGCCATTGGCATCATTTTGGATTTTTCTATCGCTTCCGTCCGCCGGAGGAACCGCCGAGCCACCCCAGGCCAGATTTTTCAAGTCGGTTTTCAAGTTGACAATTCTCTTGTAATCTTGGCTTCTGCTGATTTTGAGTGCGACCCACTGCAAAACTCCTACCAAAATGTAGAGCATAAAAACAGTCAAAACAAGCCCAGGGCGAAATTTGGAGTAGTAGTAGCCAGTACCCTTCCATTTGGGAAACCCTTTATCGAGAAAGTAGTCGTATCTGCGTTTTAAAGACTGGTCTCTTAGTATATTTCCAACTAGAGAAAGCCGTTGAAACCGCTCTTCGGCCGTTTTCCGGGCACTTTTCGAGCTTCCGCCAACCTTGTCTGGGTGCAATTGACGCGATTTACGCCTATATGCTTTGGAAATTTCTTGAACGGTGGCAGATCGATCGAGGTCCAACCACGAGTAAAAAGTGGAGCCCTCACCCAAGTCGTGTGTGACTTTATCGTTCAAACCAAAGATCTCGTAGTCCTCCTTGGTCCACGCAAGGCAGAAGGACACGAGCACTAGCCATGAAACTGTATAGAAGAGCTTCATTTTGTGACCATCAGTAAAGTTGAAGTTGTTCGCGAAGTGAAATATTCGCGAGAATATTTCTCGAAATAATTGAGATTGAAATTTGAGAATTGAATTTAGCATAGCAGCGCTTAAGTATAAGTGCCACAACAACCACAAATAACAACAAATTACCGATTTACCATTATGCCATATTCCCTTTCATTTCCCGAAAAATGTCTTTTCTACGTTAATATCGTGGCGATGACTCTTTGGTTCTGCTGCTTGGTAAGATTCATGGTGCTTCTTCCTCTCGTTGGAAGACGGTTTTTACCCGGGGGAATTGCTGATTTCTTTCACACGGTGGCATTGATCCCACTATTAACGTATTTTGTTGTTCGAATCACAAAATGGAATGTTTTGAAGCTCCGCAAAAATGCCGTGTTCAGCTGGGGTCTTTTTAATGCTCTACACATGGCATGGATATGCTACGGAGTCATCTACCCACACCCCAAGATTGCAAAACATACTACCTACTCGCTTATATTGTTCTCGTGGTGTGTTCTGAACACGATTCAATATGCCCATTATGCATTTTTCGTCAAGACAAAACGAAGCCCCACATGGCTCAGATGGAGTGCTTACAACAGTTTTTACTTGACGTTTCCTCTTGGTGTGATTGGAGAATTGGGCCAGATTTTCTTGAGCTTGACGTTTGTGGAAGAAGCACTGTTTTTGGACTGGTCCATAAGGCTCACGGCGGTATTATTCGTGCCTGTTGCATACGCTTTTTACAAGCACCTCAGGGAAAAGGCTGCCTATCATGGACGTCCTGGACGTAACTCCGTCGCCAGGCAGTAATTACACCTTGACATTCAAACGGGCACCCACAATTGAAGCACGACTGAGAATCCAGAAAAATGTTCCGGTGACGAGCAAGACACCAACTACCCCCACAAACACAGTATAGTTGTGCACGGACCCGTTGCCAATGATGGCGGCGCCAATGGGCAAACCCACCAAGTTTCCAAGACTGAGGACCGCATTTAAGATTCCGTATCTTTCTCCAAACTCGGAAACCGGACTAATTTGGGCAAGACAGGAAGGTACCATGGTCAAGATCAGACCGGAAAAATAGCCTCCCACCGCTGCAAAGGCATAGAGGACTTTGAGACTGGAGCCAAAAGGTAACCAGAGCATAAAAACACAGAGATCAAGCCCGAAAATCATGACAATGTTGACGTTGAATTTGCCATAGTAGTCCGATGCGAGGGCCGGAATCCATCGACCAAGAATACCCGTAGCGTTCCACACGGTAAGTAGCAAGTATGAGGTGGACTCCGACACGCCCTGGGCCATGGCATAGGTAGCAAAATAGGTTAGAATGAGGACAAGCGAAAGTTCGGTGCAAAACACTCCAGTTATCATCAAGGCATAGGTGCGGTTTTTGAGTTTCGAGAGCGAAAAAAGCCCGATTTTGTTGGAAAAGGTCTTCCACTTGGACTCGGAGTCGGCTGGGGGATCGGGTTCACGAGTCAAGCGTTCTCGTGCAAGAATAACCGCACTCACCATGCATCCTAGACACACAAAAGCCAAGGTTCGAATGGCCCAAACGAATCCAGATGTCAGGTACATGTGCCGAAGCATAAGCGGAAACACCAAGCCGCCTACCGAGCCGCCACTGGTAGCTATTCCGGTGGAATTTCCTCGGCGTTTGAAGAACCAGTGGTTGATGACTGCGACCAACGGAGTGAGTCCAACGCCGTTTCCGATCCCGATACAGATAAACGAGAGGATAAAGTGGGATATTTTGGTGCTGCTGGCTGTGCCCATGAGTCCAGCAAAGAGCAAAATCGTGGCAATTACCAAGAGTTCAAGAGCTCCATGGCGGTCAAAAATGGGTCCGATAAAAATGCCAATTGCATAGGCTAGAGCCAAGTAAATGGAGAAAATCCACGCCACACTGGACGCCGCCACGCCTGCCAACTGATGGGTGGAAACATAGGCTTGAATTGCTCCTATGGAGTTTATAAGTCCCATGTTTACAACAAGTCCGAGAAACGATCCACACAATACCAGATAAGCTTTCCAGCCACCATCGGGATAGTTTTCTTCTTCTATGGTAGAAACGGTGTCTGTGTCTGTCGATGTGGTGCGTCGCTGCGAAAGAACGTTTAGGTGGATGTCATTTGTGTGTAATTCTGTCATGTCGATTGTAGTGAATAATTATACAAACTATAGTCTCTGCATATAATCACTGAGTCACTTCAGCCATTCCTTCAGCCAAATGTCTTATCACCGTCTCATTCGTACATCTTTCTTCATTCATACGGCTAGCCGTATTCATTCAATTGTCCTCAGCTCTCGTAATTTGTACAACTGTCCTCAGCATCCTGTCAGCGCAAGCGCTGCCAGAATTATTCAATATCATTGATGCTTGCATCTAACAACGCCCGGAGCCCCGAAAGGTCCACGCCGTTTTTGTCTATAGTTTCTTTGATCACCGCCTTGAACCGGCTGACAAGCGTCTCGTAACGTTGTACTGTTCTGTTCGACGACTCGAGGAGCTTTTCGTATTTCGAAATACTGTCCTGAAGCTGCTGCTGGGCCTGTTTTTTCCGCTGGCGACATTTGGAAGCGGCGACCCGATTTCTCTCCAAAAGCCGTTCTCTTTTCCACGCTGCTGTTCCGGGGATGGGGCCGTCGTTGGGGTTGTAGATTACCTCGTTGTTGTAGATGAGCTGGTGGTTTGGCGGAGGAACTCCAGCGGCACTTATGGGAGTAGATCCATCTTCCGGCGTAGACTGGTGTAGATCCGGATTTAAACCTGGTTTTTCTCCTGGACCCGCGCTGCCTGGTCTACCTAATGGGAGCCTGGCGTCAGCAATGTCGTTGCGGGTATCCATGAACGCTTCATGGTTTGTGATCTGGCCGATTTGTCCGTTGGAGATAGAGAGCCGTTTACGGCGTGGAACCCCGTCGCTGGAGTTGTACGACAACATCATGGTGGAGTCAAAGATGGGCGGGTTTGTTATCGGGTAAGAGTTGAAGTCAAACGGATTATGGTATGGTAATGAAAACTGGGGCGGAAGAGTCTGGGATGGAACTTGGGCTTGAGGTTCGAGCGGATAACTTTGGGAAGGATCGGAAATGGAGTCGAGGTTGCGATTTGGGGGTTTTTGTGGTCTTGTATTTGAAGGTATTTGGGATCTTTGACCATTAATTTTATCCGGTTTGTTTGTAAAGAGATCGAGTTGCTGGTGCTCCTCCGCTGATTGCGGAGGGTGGAAAGCCATTTTGGACATGTTTTTCACCACAAAATTCATATGGAGGTGTTTCAAAACACCGATGCAAAATTGCACTAATTTATATAGTGATCACGAAAATGCACAAAAACAAGCTGAATGTGATAATACCGTAATAAACCCGGGGTTGTATCCAAATCTGGAGGATTTTAGGGAGTGCAAGCCGATTTGAATCACAGGCTGGGGAGGGGGGAAAATAAAATAACCAATGACCAAACGATGATAGAAAATTATTTGAAAACGCGCCCAGGGCAGATAACCAAGCTTAGGACAGGGGTACGTTAATATGCTTTGGAAACAATCGGGTGGCGTTTTTTGTGGTGCGCCTTCCAAGTTTCTTCTCCTTTCGCCAAAATATTTTCGAAATGATATGTGCGGATATTAAGTGAGTGCGGCCAATGGTTACGAATTACTGACAAATACGGATGCGACACCTATTTGGGAGTCGGGGTGGCCAACGGTGCTTTCTTAGCATGCATATTAGCTGATGAATAAGCTACACAAACTATATGCATTAGCCTAAGATGGGTGAGAAAGAGTGGTTGCATCTTTTGGGTTACGAATCTCACATAAGTTATACGACCTTTTCATGCGGACCCGATTGCCCAAAACGCAGGGCCGGAATGTGGAAGTGTCTGCAGTCTCCGACAGACCCTGACAATGCACGGCGGGTATTGTGAGCCCGGTGAAATTCAGTTTCAGTTCCAGCGAGGGGACAATGCAATGTGCCACAGGATGGGTTAGTTGGGGTCAAATAATATATGCATGGAGCGGCCATTTACCATTTGCGCGATGAATATTTTCGGCCCGGTCCGAAATGAAGCATGCGGGGGCCTGCAACCTATGCATACCTTGCGCATTCATACGTAGGCTAATCGTAGCCATGCAGAGCATGCAGTCATGGCGCAGCTGTAGTGCAGCTTTAGCGAGGTTGGAGTCACCATACTCGGAAAAAAAATATGCCGTATATCCGTCGCTTCGCGTCTCTGCTTCCAGCCTCTCCCCCGGAATGGTATGCTGCATCAGCCTGCTCCATCTGCGTCCATGGTATGCTGCGTAACTGCATTACGAAGCCATTGCTTGCTTTTCAACTGATTGTACCTTCTTCACTGTTAGTTTGCATCCGTACACCGTTCACCTTTCTCATTTTCATTTGTAGCCGCGTGTATGGCAACCGCCTGCGATTACATTGTAGAATATCAACGAGGATTCAAATTCTTTGGAATTCCTCTTTATTCACAACGTTCTCTCATCCCGTTTGCTGATCCTTCAGAGTTTGAAACTCTTGGCGGTCGCAAACTTTTACTAAGTTATGGTAGCATACAAAACTATCCACTTCCTGACCTAGATTGGAATTGGGACTGGGAACGTTGGTATGTTTTAATGACCGACTCGGTGGACGACCAGGGCTGGATGTACGCTGGGTGGTCAGGATGGTCGTCAAAGTACCGATTGGGAACGGGAATTCGTCGCCGAATATGGGTGCGTCGCCGCCGGCGGGGTTCAGCTGCCGACAGCACATCCACTGCGTCGCTTTTGGCTGATGCCGGCCAGACAAACAAGTGACCACGATAAGAAGGCCATTTCCGGAATGGACCCTTTCTGCAAATGGACCCTCCGGGAGTAGGACCCTCGGTTCTGGTGCGAGGGTCCTGCGGCTTGTGCGTGTTGCAAACATGCATGTTGCAAACGCGCTGCTGCGCTGTTGCGCTGCTGCGCTGTTGCGCTGTTGCGCTGTTGCGCTGTTGCGCTGTTGTGCTGTTGCAGTTTACTCTTATTGCTTCTTGGAACTGCTGCTGCTGCTTTTCTGCTGTTGCTTTTGCGCTTGCCACTATAAAAGCAGCCATTTTCCTCCCTCTTCATGCTTTCAGATAAAGATTTGGCATTGGCAATTTTCATCGTTCGAGCCGCAAAAACTCACCACATTCCGCCCCACGATTATGCTCGTGTTATCATAGATTTACATCATTATCGCCAATACAGTGATGACATCATCTTACGTAGAATCACTCCAGCAAAAACCCACATTTTTCTAGGCGCCTACTTGAGATTGTCACGATATGTATTTCTCGATTTGAACCCGGAATTGTGCTTTACCAGCTTGCCACAAACGATTTTTCACCGATTTAAAATGACAGGTCTATTTTTGAACTGGATGCGAATCGTTGACAGTTTGGAATACTCGCTAGCCGCTTCTTGTATTCTGGAATCCCACCAACAACGTGCCCACATTTTAAACATGTACTCGTTGTCATTGTCAAAAATCACCAACCAAAACCACTTGGAACGAGTGGTTCGTCGAATGCATCAACGCTCATTGACCGGAATTCTCCGACTTTCAATCTTTAGCCATACCAAAGTTTTCTCCGAGAACTCTCGTGTCACGAAGCAAGCATTGCAAACGCTTGCCCGGAAACAAAAGAATACTCGTCTTGAAAAAAAACTTTGGACTTTGGCACCATTTCTTGGTCAAAACAAACCTTTTAAATTAAGTGATTGGACCCATTTGATCCCCAAAATCTACTCAGAACAAGCCATGTTGCAGTTCTTGCGGGTATTAATCCTATCATCAGAAGTAAATCCGGTCCCAATTGACCATAAAAGTGCTATATTGTGTGTTTTGCTTGTCTCAAATAACCCAAACTTCATTCAAGAAGCTTACGGCTTGATGAATTCGATTGCTTTTTTGGAAAAAACGTAATAGAGTCCACTGAAAAATGTGGTTACGGCGACTACCATACCCAACGCATCAATTCCAGAAGAAAGCAAAATCGCATGGTCGCTGCTAAGCAAAGTAGCTACACCGGGCTGGATCACAAGTCCTCCAATATAAAACATTTGCAAGGCAGTATTCACCTTGGAGAGCATATTGGGATGCACACTGACGGAAACAATCGACATATCCAAGTACCTGCTGATGGTTTTGGGTGGTGGAAGCGAGATGTACCGATAATAAAACCCCATGAAACTGAGCATAACGTCTCGTCCTATAATCAAAAATGCCAAATAAGCTGGCATGATCAGTGAGTACCAGAGTGAAACCGTACACACCGTCATCAAGAGCTTGTCTGCCATTGGATCAATAATGGATCCTACCTTCGATTGCATGTTAAACCGTCGTGCTATAAATCCATCTACGAGGTCCGTGATACAAGAATAAGCAAAGATTCCTATGGCTGTCAAGGGCTGGCCTTGAATGATGTAGTAGCCCACAAATGGTGCACTGATAATTCTTGTGAATGTCAAAACGTTTGGAAGAGTGTATATGTTTTCGGTGATGGAACTATGTGCTGGTTTTATTTCAGCTTTGGTCTCGGGGTCACTGCTTTGCTCTTCTGACTTGAAGCTCAGCTTCTTCAATTGTTCATCGAATGTTTGTTCCGGTATGCTTGGCTTGCTTGCTTTCTGGTTTCGTTTTGAGGATACATGGAGCAATGACGCCAAAGCTGGACGGCCGAAAACGAGTCTCGACCGAAGGTTTGAGGTGGTAATTCGGCTAGCAAGAGGACGTACTAGCCGTACATTGTGCAACAGGTGAAGAAACATACACCTGAATTTCAAGTCTTGTGCCAAAAAGGTTCAACATCAATACACCACGGGAATGGAACCTCTACTGTACATTATTAGATACTTCTACGTGGAAAGTGGCTCACCGGTTTTGCTGATTAGTGATTCAGACGTTTCCTGTGGTCCCAAACCAACCAGGGTCAAAATCAATTTGGAAACCCCCTTGTGAATATTTTCATCGGCTGCAATATCCACCGTTTCCAACTTGCTTGTGTCAACTTTGTCCCACCCAGGAATCAGGCTGAAATGCTTGTGAATGAGTCCTAGCACTTTGCTCTCATTCTGTTGCTCATAGTAAATGACGGCGTTTGGTCCCGCATCAAAGGTGTACGCAGCAATGATTTTTCCTTCTGCATCGTTCAATTGGTGAACTAATTTGATGATTTTCTTTGAGGTGTCGGTCAAATAAAAGATTGGTGGGTAAGAGTCAAGACAAACAGCGTGGAACGAGTTTGAATCTTGCATAGTGAGTTTCCCAAACACCTCAAAATTCTTATCGTGGATCGACTTTTTCATCTCCTCAAATCTTGCAGGCACAACATTTTTGATTCTGTGCTCGAATAAGTCGGAAGTTGCAACCGTTGTCTGCATTCCTGATGTCGATGGAGTGTCTTTTTTGTCGTCGCTCACCACCAAAATTGCAGCCTTCATCGTTGGCCAATGACTGACAGGTGCCACTTCTACCGCCTTGGAGTCTTCTCCATTCTCCAAGTCACCCATTTCCCAGGCAACGTAGCCTCCGAAAAGCGAACGGCATGCAGATCCAGAGCCTTTTCTGGCAATCTTTGAAATCTCCGACATGTCTTGGGGCAACTTGAATAATTTAGCAATGGCTACAACCAACGCAGCGAACCCAGCAGCGGAAGATGCCAACCCAGCAGCAGTCGGAAAGTTGTTTTCCGACACAATGTGCAATTTCCACTTGGAAAGTTGGGGTAAACTAGGGTCAGTACCCTCCATCTCTGCCCGTAATTTTCTCAAGTCAGCCAAGCATGCTTTTGTTCTTTCTGATGTCAAGCTTTCTGGCTTTCCATTGAGCCAAAGAATATCTTCCTTGTATTCGTCGGACGTTGCTACAGAAGTAAGAGTCCGTAAATCGTCCTGGGACAACGTGACGGAGATGGATGAATTGGTTGGTAAATTGAGAGACTTATCACGTTTTCCCCAGTATTTGAGTGTCTGTGTTAGTAAGGATTGCAATGCAAAGTGAAACACAAACGTACCGCAATATTTACTGGCGCGGTGGCCGAGGCAGTGTAGAACGACATGAGGTGGTTAAACGAGGTTTCGCGATAGTTGGCGAGGAAAATTTCCACACGGCGCCGCGCTTTGTGTCACTTTTTCTATTATAGTACATATGGGTTGGTTAAGGAATTATTGTTTTCTGGTCCATTTCCATATTCTGGCTTTACAGTCTCCACTTCCAGTGGCAAAGATACCTTCGGTTCCATTGGAGTTCAAAGATACCGCAACAGAGATCACCGAGTTACGGTGGCCTTGCAACATCAATAATGGGTTACCAGAGAGTTGATCCCAGAACACAACTCCACGATCCTTGGATCCCGACAAGATAAATTCGTTATTGAGGGTCGAACAAACAGACAACACAAAGTCTTTGTGGCCAACATAGGTGACTTCGCAAGTGGTTCTCTTTCCGCCTGGCGAGTTCATCTCCTGCTTACCTTCCAAGTTCCACAACTTGATGGTTCTATCCAACGCACCGGATGCAATTTGCTTGCCGTCGTTCGAAAACACAACGGAGTAAACCGAGTCTTTGTGACCGTTGCCGTTTTCAATTCCGGAGTCCAATCTTTCCACAAGAAATCCGGTGGTGGAATCCCAAACTCGGACAGTGTGGTCCAACGATCCGGCGGCTATCAACTGTCCGTCTGGAGACACTGCTACAGTGGTTACGCCGTCCTCAATGGACAACGTCAACGAGCATTGAGACGATCTCAAGTCCCAGATTCTCACGGTGCGGTCTCCGGAACCGGAAACCAATCGGTTACCATCGGGAAAGAAATCCAATGAGTAGATGTCCTGTTCGTGGCCACGCAATATTTTGATGATACGTTTGGTAGTGAGGTCCCAGATTCTAATGAGCTTGTCTTCGGTTCCGGTTGCCAAGAGTTTTCCATCTGGAGAGAAACACACGGAACGAATGTACAAATCACCGTTGGAGTTGGTCGATTGCACGGTCGAGTCGTTTGCGTCGTTTTCGCCGTTTTCCTCATGGCCGCTTGTGTTGTCGTCCACAAGCTTAGCCACCAATTCTCCGGTAGCCACATTGAAGACTTGGGTAGTTTTGTTGCATCCAGTAGCGATGAACTCACCGTTTTTGGAAAATCTCACACAGCACACCACCGACGAGTGGTCCAACGAATGAACCAATTCCACATCGAGCTCGCGGCTGAAAGCCGGGTTGAACAATACGTAGTATTCTGGCTTTTGCTTCTTGAAATCGGGGTGGGCTTTGTTAACATCAAGATCACACAAGAATGGCGGGATTTCTTTGATATGGAGTGCCTTTTGCAGGGGATCCACGACATACTGGGTCTTGTCAATTACCGGGATGCCGGTCGAGGTGTCGGGAGCTTTCTGAAGAGTGGCTGGCATGGAGTTGGCGACAGCTGAAACTGGAGGAATTGACGTCTCGGTGGTGACACCAGTGTGGGTGTCTTTGTCTTTTTTGCCCTCCTTTTTGAGAGGAGCAGGGAGAGGCAGGTGCTGGTTACCCTGGTGGCCAATATAGGAGAAGGGAGCGCCGTTAGCCTTGCCTGGAATCTGTTGACGATCGCGATTCTCCAACTCTGTTTTCAAACGCAAAATTTCTTCTTCGTAAGCCTCTTTGATTTTACGGTGAGCCATCTCGAGTTCGAACACGGTCTGACGAATCTGTTGCATTTCTGCCGTTTGTTGATTGTATTTGAGGTCATAATCCTCTTTGACTTGTTTAAAGTTGGACGCCTCGTTTAAGGCAAAATCGAATTCTTGCTTGACAGCTTCCAACAACTCACCTAATCGTTGCTGGTGCTGCTGCCGTTGCTGCTGCTGGGCAACATTACCCGATGCGTACACAGACATGGTTAAAAATCACGGGAGAACAATTTCTTTTAATGGGAACGCTGGCGAAAAAAATCACAACGTTTCCTGCAGGTGGGCTCAGAAGGTTCCAGGGACAAAATTCAGGGAGTAGATGAAGCGATTTACGAAGCGATTTGGCCACGTATTTCGGGATGTTTTGTTTGCGATTGTAAGGGAAATTTAGTGTTTGAATCGGATGATTCGGAAATTCTTTTCTCTTATTTTAGTTATGACAGGGCGCGGCAAATTGGTGACGCAATCTGATGCAAAAAGCTTAAGCGAATATTGTCAAACAATGACAAAAAGGTCAACTTTAGTTTTTCAAAATTTTAAGATTGCAACGGATGCGGCAAATTTCAAGGAATTCGCGCCTTCTTGTAGTTGGCATTTCATGAGCCACTCCCTGGACGCCTATCGAATGGGGAAAGTGGGGGTGTGAGAAACATGGGGTGCTGTGCACGTGCCGCCTGTGCAGGCGGTTCGCACCCCCGGAATAGCAACGCACCGGTGCAGTGACGTGCGAGAAGATCCGATCACCGGATGCACCCGCGGCGCCACCAACTTTTGGCGCAGTATGCAGGTGTGCATCCAACCACTCTGACCTTGTAGCGTCATGCAGGCACCACTGTAATCACAACTACCAACTATGGCTAATTTAGGGAACCGTGTCTTTCGCGGAAAGAAAGAGCAGGAAGCGTACAATCGCACTTTTGCAGGTCGATACCAGATCCTTTTAAAAAAGAACCATTTTGTGTTTTTTGGTTTACCCTTTCTCCTTTCTATAGTGGCGGGATCACTCTACTTGCAAAAATTCACCAGCGTTAAATGGGAACGTTACGATGAAAAGTATCGTCAATTGGGAGAAGACGAGATGTTATCTATGATTGAAAGACGGCGTCCAGTTGACAAAAAAGAGGATTATTATCGTCTTCAAGGTTTATTGAAACAACATGAAGAAGAAGTAGGTGACGATTACGAAATGGTGCGTGTAAAGAGGAAGAAGGAGGATGAACCGGTTTGGTAGGTAGCAAATACCGGTTATTTTCCGGTCCTATACATGTACTGATCATGGTTCATTCATGTCATGTATGCGCATTCGAGTCCCAAATTGGAACTCATCGCGAAAATATCTCTTGACCATGGTATCATTTTCGTGTGAAGTATGCAACGACACCGTATTGAAGAAGAAGCTAGATGCTCATAAGCAGCGTTGTAATGGCGCGTATTTCACATGCATCGACTGCTCGGTGACTTTCAATGGTACCGACTACCGGGGGCACACATCATGCATAAGCGAAGCGCAAAAGTACGAGAAGGGCTTGTATAAGGGCAAGAAGAAGGAACCTAAGCCGGAACCTAAGGATGTGAAGTCGGAACCTAAGCATCCTAAGTCGGAAACTAATGAGTCCAAGCCTGAAAAAGCCAAAAAGTCAGACACTAAAAAATCAGAAAAATCAAAGTCAAAGAAAGCAGACAAATCAGACTTTGTCTCCTCCAAACCACAAAGTCTCTACAAGGTTATCAAAAAGATGGAAAAGAAAGACAAGAAACACTTTCTTGAACGCATCCACGTTTTCAAAGGCGATGACGGCCAATTGAAAGTGTCGGTTAAATATTAAATGTACATATGAAGTCACTTTTTTTCCACTCCTTTATTCAACGCTCGTCCCATCTTGGCATAGAATTGTGCCAACGTGTTGTATGGGAACATGAGGTTATCGCAAAAGTATTCTGGTAAAATGTTGGTCAAATGGCGAGTTCGTTGTTTAGCAGCTGCATTTCCAGCATCAATATTATCCAAAAAGGTGGGAACATAGCTTATGTCTGCCGCATGAGCGGTGTCTTTTCGTATTATAAGTCGATAGTTTACAGTTAAGCGGTTATCATCGTCATCTTCAGTCGCATTGGTAGAACTTTGGGTGATATCAAAGTAGAACGATGACGAATCTTCTTCGTAGTTGATGATTCGGAGCCCAGTAAGAAGCTCCAAGATATCAAGGGTGATACCTATCAGTTCCAACTCGCGCGAAAGTTGGTCGGCAGAAAGTCCATCATTTTCGTCCAAATTTTGACCAGTTTTTCGCCGTATTGGAGAAACGTATTTTTGTTGCAGTGTCTGTTTAACAGGGGTATTTGTAGGGGCAGCTGATTGCAATTTTATTTCAAGTAGTTCAATCTCTTCCTGTTTATTGACGAGTTCCTGTTGTGCCTTATCGAGTTGTTTTGAAAGATCTCGAATAAGAAGTTGGTCATGTTCAATTTGGGCTTCTGCTTTGGTTTTAAATTTTGTAAAAAGTTGATCCTGCGATGTGGAAGTAAGGGTATTTATAAGTTTGACAACCTCCTGCGGACTGACCGCCGATAAAATATCGTCCTCGGTTATAGTGCCGGAACTCGCAGTAAAGTCCGGTTTGGACACCAGATCCGGGTTTGTGTGCTGCAGCAGCGACGGCGGAGTGCCCTTTTTGGTACCGGAAGTCTTACGCTTGGGAGGCATTAAGATCGATGTCAACTGCGCGTCCGAATAAACAGTGGGCTATATACCGGATATTGATCCCATCGCGCATCCTGCACCACAATTCTGCACCGCATTGCACCGCACTGCACCTGTCGCTCAAGCTCGTCCCTGCAAGTGCGCTCGAACTTACCTTCATCCGACCCGGTAATCCATGTCGTTTTCCCCGAGTGTTCTCGCCAAAAAGCTCCTGTCGCTCCAGGAAACGCAGGATTCTATTGTCACTATTTCCCAATGGGTCTTATTCCATCAGCGTCACAGTAAAGAAGCAGCATCAACATGGGCCACATATATCACCGAAGACCCCGATGCACGCAGCTCCAAAAAAAGATTGTCACTCTTATACTTATGCAACGATGTAGTGCAACAAGCACGTCACAAACGCAAGCAAGAATTCATCGATGAATTTGCTGCAGTATTACCGGGGGTATTGATGAAAATTTATGCATCGTTGGACCCCACCATACAACCGAAAGTGGGCCGTTTAATAGGGGTGTGGGAGCAGCGGCATGTGTTTTCGGCACTGGTGATTTCCGACCTCCGGGAGGCCGTAAAGGCTGCATCCTCTCCAAATGCATCAGCCTCTGCATCCGCCTCTGCATCCGCCTCTGCAAACACCCCGCTGGCCCCAACTATAAATTCTGTCCCTGACCTCCGTCTTCTTACAGAAACTTACCTCCATCTAAATAAACTTGTAGATATCACCCTGGAAACTTTATCGCAGGTGGGAATGATGTCCAAAACTTACCTTTCCCCTACATCATCCGAGAGCCTTCCAGCTCCTCGAGAATACATTTCAAAATTAAACCAGTTGGAACAGTTGTGTAAGTCTTCCACGGCAAATATCGAAGAGTTGAAAAAAGTTCGCCTTGATGCCATCAAGCAATTGGATGGTCTTCGGGCCAATATTAATGATTCTTTACAGGGCGACGAGGGAAAGTTGAATATTATTCAAAAGCGATTGACAGCTTTGAAAGAAACCAGATCTGAGTTGTTTGACATGATAAATGGGGAAAAAGAATCCGAGCCTTCTGGTCCAGGATCTGAACCAGAATCAGAGCCGGAAGCACCTCCTCTCGACGATGATGATGAGGTGCCAACTTACAATGACAGTGATGAGGAACAACCACCAAAACGCCAAAAGGTATCGCACAATCTGTTTCGTAATTCCAAGTCTCCTTCTGATAAGAAAGTTGCCTTCTCTGATAACATTGAGATCAAGGAGTTTCGCTCCGAGGACGAGTCAAGAGGCATCAGCATCGTACGGAGTGTAGACGACACCGATGACGATAGCATATACGATAATGATGAGGTATTGGGTATCTCAAGCGAGTTCACAAGGCACCATAAAGATGATCTCGAACTAAAACACGAACACGAATCTACAGATGAAGATGGTTACAATCCGTCGTCGGGGGTTGATTCTGACCATGAATCAAATGTGAATCCTAGTGTGTTGAATCTTTTATCCAAACTAGCATAACACACGCTAAACTACGTTTACGAAGCGATGCCCATCTAATTCATCATATTAATTAACGATTAAATGTTGATTTGAGATGAAGGTTTACTTGCTCTTTCTAAATGAGAACCCATTATCTCTTGCATTCAGCTTATCCGTTATGGTTCTATCCTATGTACTATATGCATCTGGGAATCCGTTGCACCATCTTTGCAAAGCAACGGGTATGAAAATGTCGGCGTTGTGCTCCAGAGATCAACCCCAACCGGGAAATATCTTTATACAATTTGATGCCCTGTTCCAATTTTTCGGCAGTTGGAGGTGGCCGGTAACCTTCACGAGCGATGCAATTGATCACCTCAGAACTTGAGGGTAAATCTTTTTTGAAATAACTGCGTATTTCTGGTCCTACTGGTTTCAGCGTACTCACATAAAGTAAGTTGCGAGCTCGGGTACAAGCAACGTAAAAGAGCCTAGCTTTTTCCTCGTCGTGTCGTCCTTCGTTGTTCAAAAGAGAGGACCAAAACGAAGAATGTGCGTCCTTGACACCAGCTATGAAAACCACAGGAAATTCAAGTCCTTTTGCTGTGTGAACGGTGGAGATGTTGATCATATTTCGATCGAGTATGGGTGGTTCTTCGTTATAATTGCGCAAGAAATATTCGAGAAACAGAGTGGTGGTATCCATGTCGAGCATAAAGCTCTTATGGCATGCACAAAGGGACTTGTAAAAGCCAGCCAAGTTGTTTTCCAACTCGGTTTGAGTGCGAAAGTCTGCGTCAGCACCAGGTGATCTGTGCGTGGATTCAGGCTTGTTCAAGTAATCCAACAAATCAAGATCGCTTGTGATGGTGAGCAACGACTTGAGGATCAGTAATGGAGCCAATTCCGCAGCCACTTCTCTGGTTTTGTCTGTCCAGTCGAGAAGTTTCTTGGTTGCTTCCAAAAATGCCCTGTTTTCGGGTCCCTTGTACACATTCAAGATGCTGAACTTGCCTCGAGATTTTTCGCCTAGATTACCGAGTTCTTGGCGTAGGTAATCCTCCAATCTACCGCCCCAAACCTCGTTGTTCCAAGAGTTGCTCATGTGAAACAACTTGGATACTCTTCTAGAGTTTCCCGCCCGTCGATCAAGACGAGGAAGCAAGCATAAGAGAGCAAAGTTCAGGCCCATGCCACCATTGAGTAGAGATAACAAGTCGAGCAAAAGGTGCACTCTCGATTTGATCCACGATGACGACAGCGAAAACCGGTTACAGCTATAACCATAGTTTTGCAAGAGGGTGTGAGAGATTTCGTCCAATTCACGGTTTGCTCTGGTGAGGATAGCAAAGTCCGAGGGAACCAAGAGTCCTCCCAGAACGCAAATAAGACGAGTGATTTCCGACGCGATGAAATCGTGCTCTTCGCGAGACGATTTGTGCAACAGTAACACCGGTTTAATTCCTGGTGGCTTGAGAGATCGAATTGAGTTGGCGGTCAGAAGCCCAGCAGAAGAAAGACCCACTTTGCTAGCCACTTGGAGGACTTCTGGCGTGCAGCGAAACGACTCCCCGAGTGACAATTCTGTGACGTTCATGTTTAGATAGGTGCCAATATCATGCAATAGTTTGGGATCGGAACCCAAGAATTCGTAGATGGTTTGGTTTGGGTCTCCGGCAATGGTAAGATGTTTTTTGGCCGACACCAGACGACCTGCGGTGGGATAGGCGACTACCGCTTTGACCAAGCTCAACAATTGTGGATACATGTCTTGGAATTCGTCTACAATGACAATCTTGTAGTTGGTGAGCCTTGCGATGTTCCGAGTCAGATTCAACATTTCAAGCGCATTCACGATAAGATCGTTATATCGGATCATTTTGTTCGCTTTCAAGTAATCTAGCACCAGGCCAATGTACTCGGACGATACGTTATATTTTTTAGCCTGGTCTTCAATACTGGCGCCAGATTTCACCGCCTGAAGAATTTGTTCAAGCTTTGAAGGAGTAATAGATACGGCTTTGTGGTCCAAACCAGGTCTTGTCAGGAAGATTTTCGAGAAGCTGCGCCAAGAAAAATCGTCTACAAGTACTCGGTTGGAGAGAAACGTTGAGTTTTCATCGAGAAGCAAGCTGCAAAATGAGTGGAAAGTGAACACATCAGGATACGAATTTTTATCATCTTTGAAGAGGTCCTGTAAACTTTGACGGATAGAATTGACCGATCGGTTGGCCATACTCAACACCAAGATCTCCTTGGGATCGAATTGCGACGCCAAATTGGCAATTCGTCGCACTAGCGTGGAAGTCTTGCCTGAGCCAGGACCAGCGTTGACCACGAGAATCGAGTTTTCGTCGGCCGCAAAGCTGATAACTTTGTTCTGGGCATCCGTGAGAGTGTCTGTGCCAAGTTTGGAGTTTGTAGGTTGCTCCAAAGGTGGATTTTCACTGGCATTATTTTCGGCCATTTGATCCACACCAGCCTCAAGTCGCGAATTTTCATTATCAACATCAAAACGTGAATCTGAACCCCGTCGATATTGCCGCCTGTGTACACGATGCCGGGTCTCGAAACGTTGAAACAAGTCTTGGAGCTACGGCAGGACCCGCTGGCGGACTCCCAGAGCTCTGTCGAGGATATTCATCAAAATACACCAAAGTCGCAAAATCAGCTTCTTAAGTCGTATGTTTCAACTTCACAAGAACCCACATTGGCGCTCATTAGAGCACGTAAAACACAAGCCAGCTTTGAGTCCTGGTCCAATCTTTCTGCTGAAGATCTCTTGGAGCTTAGAGCTCGTTTCGACAACTACAAGCGAGAATTATCGTCGCAAATGGCCCAGTTGGCTCCCATAGAATCCATGTTATACGATTTTGGAGACGAATTGGGTCGCCTTTCCGGAAGTCTCAAGCTTCTCCAGCAACAACTGACGCAGCTCTCTTCCAATTTGATCCTGCAAAAGACAACCACCGAGCATTTGAACCCTATTATTTTGGACCTCATGGTTCCTCCAGCAACAGTCAAGTCTATCATTTCCAGCCCTGTTACTCCTGAATGGATAGAGAACATAAGAGTACTCAACGAGAAGCAGGCACTCGTGGAGAGCGTTACTTCAGGGAAAAGTGAATTGGCTTCTTTGTATGGAAGTTCAAAAGCGTTTCTGGACCTCGAACATGAGTTGAAATTGCTCACCGCCAAAACCGTGGAACGCATACGAGACTTTATGATTTCCAAAATCAAGCTGCTAAGGTCTCCTACCGCTTCGGCTTCGTCGCAGGCAGTGCAAAAAGATCTCCTTCAAGTCAAAGATGCATTCTTTTTTCTTCGTCAACACCATCCCGAACTAGCCAACGAGCTCCAATTGGCCTACATTTTCACTATGCGGTGGTACTACCGTACCCGGTTCGCCAAGTACTTGTATGCCATCGAAAAGTTGAACATCCACCATATTGATCTGACCACAGTTTTGGGCAGCTCGTCGTCCACCGCGGACGACAAAACTGATATTTTTGGTTTACGAAATTGGGTGGGAAAGAACTCATTACAGCCCCGAAGTATCACCACTCCTCCCAGAATGACCATGAACGAGTATCTCCTGTCTATCGACAAGCGAATACAAATCCTCGACGAGAGAAACGACCCGGAAAAAGCTGCTCGCGCTATACCCTCTCAAATAGCAGAAACCACCCCTTTTGTGTACTGGATCGAGTTCGTGTACCACCAGTGGTGTATCGCCTTGGTGGACAACATTGTGGTTGAGTATCTTTTCATGGTGGATTTTTTTTACCACGGCGATGAGAAATTCGAGCCACTTTCAACGTTGTATTCCAAAGGTGCAAAAGACGACGATTTGACTAAGGATTGGTCGCATTATATGCTTGACGACGTCTTCAATATGGGTGCTCAGTTTGTATCATGGCTCGTACAAAAGCAGCCGCTGGTTCTTCCAAGAAGTGTCGCTTCAACCTCCACCAGCCGAACCGGATTCACTGGTGCAACTCAGGGCACTTGCGACGCCTACGGAATCTTGTTGATGATCCGAATCACCCAAAGTGAGCAGTCGCTTCTCCATAACGAGTTCCACATACCTGTGGTGGACAACCACTTGAACTCGATTCTCTTGACACTTTGGCCCCACTTCACCAAAGTTGTCGACCTCAATTGTGAAGCCATGAAGGCTCTCAGTATGCGAGCGCTGAGCTACAAATCCACAGACTCGGCGTTGGCGCCTTTACCTTTGAGCCAGCAGTTTGCACACTTTTTGCTGGGGCTTTTGAAGTTGGCATCACCTCCCAACATGGAAGGAGATTTCCGAGGCGAACCATTATCGACCTCTATTAATAGACTCAAGAACGACTTTGAAAGCATCTTGACTCGCATCAGCAATCAGTTGTTTGCAGGCAAGCGCAAAGGAGCAGAGAAAGAGGTGTTTCTATTCAACAACTATTTCTTGGTGGTAAACATTCTCAAAAATGAAGTGGGTGTGGGAGAAAAGTTTAGTGAGCTTATCAATGAGCATGTTCAGCATTTTGAAATGTTGTGCAATGCATACAAGCAGCAATAAGTAGAATGCATGCTGTTCAGAAAACCAGTAAAAGTATATTGTAGAACTGTATCGAGAACCAGTGGAGAAGGCTAGTTGTGAGAAGACTAAGAGAGAAAATAGAACCTCATCTACATTCAGCTTCATCTTTATGTTCAGCTTGAAGCCACTTTCCAGCGCTTCATTATATTGTACAAATCTTTGCAAAAAGTCCACACAACTGCAAGTACGTCGATACTCCCTCAAGCACTCTCATATGCACTAAGCCCACTTCTTTGATTATGTCTAGTCTTTTCAGCTCGCTGATCCCGGGGAGAGTCTTGGCTACACGGAACGTCAGGGTGACAATATCGATGGCTGAATATCCCTTGTTCCACAAATCATCCAACAAACGTAAAGCAGTATCGATGTCTCCTTTTCCGTCATTTGAGCAGCAGCTATTGAGTATCTTCTTGATAACCAACGGATGAGGTTGGTCAACGATTTTGAACACATTTACATCGTCCACGAACCCAAAACCGGCCACTGTACTTTGCATGTTATTGATTGCTTGTCTCATATCACCCTCAGCAGTGAAGATTAATGCCTGTAATCCCTGGGAGTTGTACTTGACGTCCTCAGCCTTCGCTATTTCCAACAACCGCGATAACACCTGGTCATCGGCCAACTTGTTATATCTTAAAATGGCACATCTGGATTGCAAAGGTTCGATGATTTTGGACGATTGATTGCAAGCAAAGGCAAATCTTGTGGTGTTGGAGTATATTTCCATGGTACGCCTCAATGCCTGCTGGGCTCCTGGAGTCATGGAATCTGCTTCATCAAGAATGATGATTTTGTGGCGGCCGGGAGGAAGCAGAATTTTGGTTTGCGCAAATTGTTTGATTTTGTTTCGAACAACATCGATTCCTCGGTCATCAGAGGCATTCAATTCCAACGTGGCTTGGTCGTACATCGTCTTACCGAGTAATTCGTACGCTAGACAGTGTATAGATGTGGTTTTGCCAATTCCAGGAAGGCCAGAAATGATCATATGGGGCATATTTCCATCCTGAGCTATGAGCTTAAGACGTTCTACGGTCTCCTCGTTTCCAACTATGTCATCCAACTTGTGTGGACGGTACTTTTCCACCCATGGGAGTTCCAAAGAAAGTGCTAGGTTTGGCATGAATGAAGAGATGAAAATACGCGCGCGCGGTGATTCAAGTGAATCTTATATTACGAGACTGAAAATGAGAATAATTTAAAGTGAGAATGAGGATAGATCAAAACTAGGAATGAGAATAAATTAGAAGTCTGAAAAAAGGATGAATTAAGGTCTAGATTCTTAATCGAAGACTGTTTCGTTATATTACGAGGCTCTTGTGCACTTTTATGAAAATTAGTTTATCATAATATCGTTTCTGTGTCTCAATCATGATTTCATACCTGAGAAGATTTGCCATTTTTTAATGGTGAGCTTTCCTTGCTGTGGCAGAAATCTGCCGCTTGTCTATTGTGTCTTCAGGCTTTCATTCCATTATTGCTTCCTTCTCTTTTCCATCACCTTTCTTCTTTCTTCGTCACATCATCTTCATCACTTTTCTTCTTCGTCACCTTTCTCTTCTTCTGGTTATTTTTCTTTGCCTGAACCGGCGCAGACGTAGCCAAGACCTTAGCCAAAGGAGGTGCGAAATAGCTGCTGGCCGTGCCCGTCAAGTACCCTTCGAGCCAAGGGACTTCGACATCCAGAATGTTTGAGTCAACCAATTCGTACAAATGCGAAGCCAGGCTCAAATTGGCCCTTATTCCTATTATACTAACGTTTTCCAACTTCAAAGCTGACGACAATTTCGCCATACTTCCTTTTGGAAGCTGAACTAGTTTTACTCTTCTACCTTCTGACCATGACGCTGTATACGATAGAACTGGAAACGGGCTGAGAAGAAGTGCCAGAGAAATGTCGAACTTTGCCACAAACACATACTGGATATACTTTGGTGGAGGATCGGAATTTTCCGCTTTTATTCGTGATTTTCGACCCTGTTGAGCTTGATCTTCAAGAGCCTTTACGGTACTGTTAAACCCAACGGTGATATCTTTCTGTATCGAAGGCTGTTCTAGAGAAACAGAAGAATCCAGTTTTGAACCATTGACCTTTTGGAGCTTTTTGGCCTCGTTATATCGTCCGATCGGAGTGAGCAAATGCTGGAGAAGGTCCACCAACGATGTCCCTATTTCCGGTTCTACAAACGGCCATACGTTTGACTGTGTAAGCGGGTTGTCGAGGACTGGTTTAAACACCTGCTTTCTCTTCTTTTCCGACTCTTTGAGCGAATTGGCGCCGCTCTTCTTGAGACCTGACATGAACTGAAATGATCAATCTCATCGCATTTCGCGACTATCTACAGGTTACCAACATCGCAGTGCATTTATCAATTATACAAGTATTTTACTGTTTTTTGTCCTTGTCGTCATTCTGGTCTGGGGAATACAGCGGCGAACGAGGCGAGTATTGTGGTGAGTTTGGTGAGTACTGGGGTGACGTGGGTGAGTAGGCTGGGGAAGTAGGTGAGTACTGTGGGGAAGTTGGTGAGTAACTGGGCGACGTTTGGCGAGTAACTTGGCGAAGTTGGTGAGTAGGATGGAGATGTAGGACTGTAACTTGGCGAGGTAGGCGAGTACAGTGGTGAGGTTGGTGAGTAACTTGGTGAAGTTGGCGAGTAGCTTGGAGAAGTTGGGCTGTAACTTGGCGAAAGTAGGTGAGTAGGATGGTGAGGTTGGTGAGTAACTTGGCGAAGTAGGACTGTAACTTGGCGAAGTAGGACTGTAACTTGGTGAAGTTGGACTGTAACTTGGCGAAGTAGGTGAGTAGCTTGGAGAAGTTGGTGAATAACTTGGAGAAGTTGGGGAGTAACTTGGCGAAGTTGGTGAATAACTTGGCGACGTGGGACTGTAACTTGGCGAAGTTGGACTGTAGCTTGGGGAGGTAGGACTGTAACTTGGAGAGGTAGGACTGTAACTTGGCGACGTTGGTGAATAGGTTGGCGACGTGACACCATAGCCAGGAGAGGCACCACCATAAGCTGGCGACGTAGCTCCATAAGCGAATGGTGAAGTTGGTGAAGGTGAACCTGGTTGTCCGCCATAAGCAGTTAAAGCACCCGCACCATCGGATACAGGGGCTGTATGAATTGGTGAAAAACCTGCTCCCTCTTCGAATTGGATCTTGTCGTCTTCCATATCATATTCTCTGTATGGTGTAGCACCTCCATCGTCAGCATAAGCTCCAGCTCCTTCCGCGGCACCCACTGGAACACTCATGTTCGATGGAGATGATTGCAAGATCTTGTCATCCACCATCACATCGAATGCGCCGGTTCCTAACGGTGCCAATTGTCCAAGAACCACATTCTCAGAGATACCATGACAGTCGTCGAGTTCTGCAGCTGCACCAGCTTCAAGCAAGATTTCCACTGTCTCTTCAAACGAACAACGCATCAAAGCGCCGGTATCGGCTCTATTGATACCATGTCTTGTAATAGCCATCAAGTGTCCTCTTGCAGTCATCACATCCACCAAAAGAGCCATATGACGGTAGTTCACATACGAACCATCAAAGGCAATGACGTTAAGAATTTCCTTGAACAAGGCAGATCTGGTAGCCTCAATACCCAAAACTGATAAAATTTCAATAAAGTTATTGGAATAGGTTCTCTTCGCATCTACTCCAGGTACTGCCATAACATCTGCCAAGTTCACACCATCTGTTTCAAGCACCCACTCTTGTCCCTGCTTGAATTCACCTGTCTCATCTGGTAAACTGAGTTTGTGTTGCATCATGAATACTCTAGTAATGCCCTGAATACCACGCAATGAGATGGACTCCAACATGTGTGCTTCAATCCGCTTCAAAATTTGATCTTCTTCGGCGTCAACGTCCTCATCCAAGGACTTTGGATCACGAACAACACGACAACGAATAATCAACTTGTCAGCGGTATCATCAGACCAAATCACAAACAAGTCTTCACCAAAGTTCTGCGAGATCTTTTCAGCGACTTGGGCCATTGTCAATTGCTTGTCCAACATCTTGGCTCTGTCCAACTCAAGACGCAACAACCAAGGTGATTGCTTCTCGATAGACTCTTCAACCTTCTCATCGGGAATGGCGAAATAAGCTTCGACAGTGTCGTAATCCTCCTCGAGAACAGTGCTTCGAGGATCTGGATCATAGAAAATCTCCGTGGATGCAGTAACATTCTTCAAAGTGGTATGTTCAATAGCAGATTGAACCACCTTAGCCTTCTCGATGTCTGCAGCTATGTCCTTTTCCAAATACACCGTAAGCGCGGGGGTCTTAATGTTCTTGGCCACATTAAGAATCTCCTTCAAACGAGGGACACCCAACGTAACGTTCTTAGAAGAAACACCAGCATAATGGAAAGTGTTCAACGTCATTTGAGTGGCAGGTTCTCCAATAGACTGGGCAGCAATGACTCCCACCATCTCTCCGGGGTGTACAAGAGACTTTTGGAATTGGGTCTCGATCTCACCCATGGCCCACTCGAAAGACATACGGTTCAATCTGAACTCCTCTATAACTCTTCTCGTGGCAAGTCTTGATCTTACAAGACATTGGAAAAGAAGGGTAGCATTTTCCTGCGATTCCTTGACCAAAGGTGAGTCACCTCTGAGGACAAGCAATTTTTTGCAAAGTTCCTTGACACCCTCAACTATCTCTTCCAATCTCAAATCGGACGCTTTATGACGGCCGCCATGGAAAAGTTGTTGTGCGTTCTGGATTATACGACGCAAGTTCACAGGCAATGGCCATGTATAGTCACCGTTAGTGAAACAGACTTCCCGCAAGTAACGACGGTCATTGCAAAGCTGCTCATATTCCTCATCAAGAACTCTTTGCAAATTCACGTCACCTCTGACCTCTTTTCCTGACTCTAACAAAGAATCACGGATGCACTTTTCAGGGTCTAAAAGGTCAACTCTGTATCTGCGTTCGAAGGATTCGTCGGTTCCAGGAATAACGTCCACCGATTGAGACTCCACTTGAGTTCCATCAACACCGTCCTCTCCATAAACGAATTGAATGATATCACCCAAGGAGTTTCTCGTTGTACCGTCGTAATGCACCATGATGTCCTCCAATGCCTTGACCAATCTACGTTGAATGTATCCGGTTTCGGCAGTCTTGACGGCAGTATCGATAAGACCTTCTCTACCAGCCATAGCGTGGAAGAAGAATTCTTGGGGAGTCAAACCACGCAAGTACGAGTTTTCAACGAATCCCTTTGATTCAGGAGAATAATCGTCCTTGGTGAAATGAGGCAAAGACCTGTCGGCAAAACCGAAAGGAATACGTTTACCTTCAACGATTTGTTGACCCACACATGCAGACATTTGTGAAATATTGATGAACGAACCTTTCGATCCCGAAACCACCATCTGCTTCACATTGTTCAAGTCCTTCAAATTCATTT